TGGTGCTCACGAGCTTAAACCTTCGGAGTTTCAAACAAATGTGATCCTCTATTCCGATTGCCTCAAACTAAAAGCAGCGAGCGGCGTGTAAAGGAGAATTTTAATTGCTGGCACTCTTTTTTATTGTTTTTATTTCTTTCTCTGGCTACTTCTTCTTTTCGCACTCGCGCACACACGAAAATACCACGCGGCCAAAGAACGAGGAGGCGCAGCGACACAGAACAAGGGATGGATGAATCACCGCTTAATTTTCAGCATAAATACCGACGAGAGAGAAAAAGAGATCTGTGCACGGATAAAAATATCTATCTGGTCGTGCCACCGACGACGTGCAGGTTTTCTTTTCTTTCTCTCTGCTGTTTCGTGTCTGAGGCGGGCGGGCAAGCAAGCAGGCGGATGATTAAGTTTAATTTATTCCGGAGCAGCCGTGGCAGAATTTTTCTCAGGGACATCAACAGAAAAAGCGCCGGCCGGCAGCTTCTCCTGCAAATACTTGCCGCGCGGCCTTTCGTCTGCCCGCCGGCCGGCCGACATCTGAGCCACTCGAGTGACAGTAAATAAATAATTGATTAAATAGCGCGCCTCACTCATGCGACCGCTCCGATTTATTAATTAGCTCATTACGCATTCAAGTTACAAACACCAAAGGACGTGCTTCTCATTGCCCAATCAAACAGCAAACTATAATTAATAAAAAGTATTTATATTATCAAAACTAATTTTGGAGTGGGAAAATGCTGCCAATAGAAAAAGTTCGCGTAGTTTTGACTCCAGCATACAGGCAAATAAATGCTGAATTTAATTTTTCAATTACCCGAGTTACATTTATTTTAGGAAAGAATTAGTATTGGACCTTCTTTTACAAGTTTGACTCTTTTTATTTCCTGGTCTCTAATTGCAACCAGGCTTAATTGCCTCTCGCATGAGCGTAATGAGCGTAGCTCGCTAAATTAATCCCCACTAACGAGCCGCGTCATTCACTGCGTTTTATTTATTATAAGCTTATTTTCGCACACGTTTCCGTTTAGCACAAAATTGCCAACTTAACTCGGCTTATGACGATTTTCAAGAGTTTTCGCACTTCATACTTGAAAGTGTTTGACGAGCGAAAACGTTGCGATTTAATACACAAAGGGTCGTCGGCGAAACAACTCAATTATAAACACTTCAAAAGGATGACGCTAAGTGCGTAATTAATTAACGCTGCAGTCGGCAGCAGCAGGAACAAAAGTAAAGATTAATGACCAAATTTTATAATGTAGCTTCCAAGTTAGTGCCAAGTAGGCGGTATATTTTGAAAGAGGATTATCCGAAACAATAAAAAAGGAAAATCAATTATTTCATCCAAAGCGCACGCAGCTTATATTTTTCGCCTCCTGCTCATCGAATGTGAAAAAATTCGAAGCGCGGTTGCCAAATTGGCATTTCCGTGTGTATTCTTTCCTCTCACTCTTCTGGGACATAATGGTGGTGGAAAATAAAAGATCACCCTGAAGGCAGAAGCTGCTCTCCCTCCGGTAAACAACAAAGGCCGAAAACGTCTCTAAAAGGAAAAAAAATAAAACATGGTGGCTGTTTGCCTTGGATGCAGCAGGCAGGCAGGAGGAATGCGTCCAACAACAGCCGGCTTTCTCTCTGTATATCCACCCGGTAATTGACGGATAATTGAACTGCACTGGCGTACGTGGTTGCATAATGCAGGCGACGCATCGCGCTTGAAACAATGAAGCAGATGAACAAACGAACGGCCAGAAAGTTCCAACGAACACGGGGGCCAGAGAACGAACAGCAGGAAGTAGTATCGTGATCGAGAAACACGTGGTCGGCGCCTCTAGGGCACGTTGGTCTGCAGTTTGTGGCCATCGGAAGCGGCTCACGTGTGCCAAAATAATGTGCTCGGGCGACAAGGAACAAAAGCATGACCGCGAAGAGGGAAAGCCAAATCCAAATAATTGGAATTTAAATATTAAGCAAAGTTATCTATATATTTAAAAAAAATGGGTGTTCAGTTTAAAAATTGCACGTTAAATTTCTGTTTGAAAACTAAGGAATAATCTCGGAATTTCTTATTTTCTTTAATTACACGAAAACTATTATTTGAAAGGTTTTCTGGCAATATAATTTTTGCTGCACTCTAAAACAAAAAAATAGCTAAAAAAAATTATAGAAATTTTGAAAAATGAACTAATCAAACTGGGCTTATCGTGTCATTTGATAATTGCAATTTACTAATAAATATGCCAAATTAACAGTGGTATTTTTAATTATATTTTTTAGCACATTATTGTTATACGCCCGTCCTTCTTTTAGTCTCTCTACTCATGTGGATGAATGAGAGGAAATGCGGCGTCGGCGGCGCAAACATTAAAAAGCAATGCAGTCAGCGACCGACCGACAGACCGGCTGCTGGATGGAGCTTCCTCTGAATTTGCCCAGGCACTAGAGGCCCCCCATCACAGCACTTGCCGTGGAAGAGAGAATGCGCCCCGCAAAATTCCGGCGCGTCTGCAGCAGGGCCCGTGTGCCATGTGCACAAAATCAATTGCGCGCGGCCTGGCTGCGTGCGCTCGGCCCAACCGTGCGAGCGGCGCATCCATCGGTGTGGCTCAATCTAATTGGCTCTCTCGACAGATCGAGAGAGAAGCTTTTTTGATCTAAATTTTATTTTGGGCCGCGACAAAAAGCACCGTAGAGACACCCGCAGACGTGACTTTCTGTTCGTGCGTGCACGAGGACACAAGGACGGCTTTTTGGTATTTTCGGTAGAATTTCCAAGACATCAAAGGAAAGATCCAACTCGGTAAGAGGATCTCTGCGCTGATGGAGACTTTCAACGAGGAGGACTTTCTTTTCACTTTGAGACACTTCTGGGCCTTAGAGACAAGTTGGATTTTATCAAATATCGCCAACTATTTGCTCAAATTGGAGGAAATAAATATAGGCTTTAAACGTGTAAATCTGAAGGAATCCGGACTCCGGTGAAATATTATTGAATGAATCAAGTTTGAGACTTTTAAGCTTGTATCACTATAATTATATATGAATTGGCTCATCGCTCTTATTTTATTTTTGGGAATTAATTTAATTTGTGACAATCATAGATGCGAAACTTTGTTATTTCGTTGCATGAATAGCACCAAAGTAGTTAATGATCTAAAAGACTGTAAAAGACTATTGTTAATTTTGCAGTTATAAATAAACATGGAGTAAGCAAAAATAAAGGCAAATTTGAAACTTAACTAATAAGGCAAAATTACCTGCACATATCTTCATTAAAATTAAGCCAAATGTTTCAGATCGAGTTCATGCGACTCGGCTCTATTCAAATAAAAATTTTCCACACCTCCATCACTTTGCAATTTTCAAATTTCCACCCCTTCATTATCACGTGCAGATCTGCAAGCTCAAAAACCTGCAGAGGCTTTTGTTTCCTTCTCTTTCATTCGCGCATTCTGCGTGAATTGTGAAACAGGGGCAGAAAGGGGTTGCGCGCAGGGGTTGGTGGCCGATCGCTCGGTATGCAGGCGCACTGTGAGTACCACAGAGGAGTGCGTACGTACATTATGTATGTACCGTGCAAGTACGCAGAGTATATTATTCCCCCCAGAAGCGCTCACTATCAAGATGGTGGGCACGGGGGTTAGCAGAAAGGGTTGCTTCAACCACTTTTCAGATCGATTTCGAACGTTCGGGGCGGAGGCAGGCAGACTCGTCTCTTCTTTCTTTCGCCCAAAAAAGAAAGAAGATGTGGAGGAGCGTGGTTGTTGGATTCGTTTCTTGGATCGATTTGCAAAGAATTAAAGGGCATCGTGAACTAAAAATAAAGAAGTTTATGTACTCTTGCAAGGTTTCTTATTTTCTTGCTGTGAAAATCGATCTATGGCGAGTGTATGCAGTCCGAGTTTATTTTGTTTAAAGCACGAGGGTTTGTGTTTGGAATGCAAATAAGTGAGTAGCCTCATCTGGTGATTAGCGAGCAGTCAAGGTGAAAACCTTTCAGTCTCTTGGCACCCCGGCGAGAATTGGGAGACTAAATTCGGTGCGAACAAAATCCTAACACAAACAGTAAAAAGAGATCCATTCTTTGTGTTAAATAATTAATAAAAAAAATAATAATTATATTAATTAATAAAATAAATTAATCTATTTGAAGTTTGAACCACGTGCTATTATTGCGGCTTTGTATCAGGAAAAGATAACGAGGAATTCTGGTCCAGGAGGAAAACGCTGTTTTCTCACAAGTCGTTCTCACCACGGTTTGGAGGAAACGGGTTTGTGAGCCGCGATAAAGCATTTCTTTGCATACTTATTATCGGTCCAGCCTTGATTGATAAGCTGCCGAGACGTTCGGTCTGCTGGCATGGGAAATTCAGCGGAAGGCGCGAAAAGTCTTACATGCTGATTAGGACTCTAATTGGCTCCACGGTTATCTCAGCGATACAAAAGTAAAAATAAATTAAGTTTGACGGAAACTTTTACTGCAAGCATTTTAATTTATCACGAATTCCGGTAGAGGAAATTCCAACTCTTTTAGTTGAAATCAAAATATATTATGATAGACCGTCAATAAAATGTTTTTTAAAGTAAAAATTTGAAAAATATATGTTATCGTGTTTTTCTTTTTATTTACGTATTGCTAGAATTTTTTTTTCCGAATTTGTGCATAAATGTTTAAGAATTTTTTTAGAAGATTCTGCGGATCGCAAAAATTCGGTCATGCAACTCTAATCTGGCTCCAGAAGGACCTGGTTCTGGCGGGAATGTACGAGTGTTCGGCCAAGTGCGGCAGCGACTCGTCAAAGTTGTCTATCAACCGGGTCAAATTTCTGAAGGAAGGCGCTCTCGGCAGGGGTCTACCGGCCGTGCACATGGCGCACTGCAGGCAGGCATAAAAAGCACGTCTCGAGCGAGACGAAACGTGCATGTGTGTGTGCCGTACCGCGGTGGCCGCCATTGCCGCCCGATCGACCACGAGGGTGCGAATTTTGAGTGGAACTCACCTTGGCGTCCGACGATTTCGGCGACGTGCTCGCTGCTAGGAACGGGCACACACTCTGTCATGTTCTGGCTCTTCTTGTTGCGAGAGTCGTCGGCGTACGCCTGGTTCATCTGGTCGCCCTGTTCGGCGGCCGAGTGCGAGCTGAAACCCAGCATGGAGAGCTCGAAGGCGAGCTGCAGAGCCCGCTGGTCTTCGAGACCGTTGTCGCCGGCGTTCCGGTCCATCTCGGGGAACAGACTAGCAGGCATCACAACAACTGTGGCGCAGTTTCATAAAAGAGTCCCTCTCAAATTCGGAGAGCCCAGTGCGGTTATTGATGCCCTCGTGGTCGATAGATGCAAGTGAGCTGCTGCACCGGTTGGCTCGCGCGCGCTGCTGCTGCCGGCTTTACTTCTACTGAATTTGACTCACTCACTCGCGGCTCCTCGCCGGCCTGCCCGGTCGAGACCAGACGTGTTTGAGCCGGTGGAGGGGAGGCGCAGCCCCTATTACCCCTCTAGCCGCCGCCGCCCGCCAACTTCAAACTGCATGATCGCAATTGGGCCCTGCTTACGTCTGGTGGCCGCACACCGTCTCCTGATTGGTGTTGGGCCGCCAGCCGAGCGAGGGTGCCCCGCGCCCTTCCTCCGCCGGTGCCGGGCGGGTCGCGCATTAAATGGAGAATGCAAATTCGCCTCCGATGGGGTGGTCGGTCCCTTCTCTGGCAACGCCAACCACCCCGGCTAATTCATGCAATTTCAATATTGTCATAGCGTCGCAAACAAGGCCGGCATGTTGTCACATTGATTGATTTTACTATTGACATCTTGTGAAACATTTTATTTTACTAAACCACTTAATGTAAATTAATGACAATTAATTTTGCCTTACTTGGACATTTAAAAACAGAATGAAAAGTTTTAAAAATGCACACGCAGAGAAATATAAAATTAATTATTCACTTTCAGGAAAAATTTATGGAGAGGGGCACTTTTTTTGGGGAAGGTCCAAATGCAGTCTGAATTTTCCAGTGCAGAAAGGAAAATGTGAAAATGCAAACGCCACCAAACAATGTGCTGAAGTCCAGTCCGCTCAAAGAGTCAAAACTTTTAACATTTATACACGAAGAGCCTCCTCCAACTTCTTCCTGGCCCCAAGCACTCGTTCCTCTTGACGCTTAATGTCGTCCTCGGCAACTGATACAGCCTAAAAATGACAAAATTGTGACTATGAAATAAGTAATAAAATTTTTATTTCAAGTTACCTGGACCAAAGGTTGCTCTGGGTTCAGAAAAACACCTGGATTTCTCTCCAGGGCAGAACGGGATCCGATTTGACCAGTAATTGGCTGCACTGAGACATGAAGCGCAGTGGCAACAGACTGCAGGATCGTCTCATCAGCAACGTAGGGCCCAACCGGTTTTAAGCCTCGGGGCAACTCCATGGAGCTGAATTCGTTGCCGTCGATGTCGCACGCCTTCAGACCTTCCAGTCGTTTTTCCCAAAAAAGCTTTAGAGTAAATTTATTAGCATTTTTTATATAAAATAAATTTTTCATCACTTGTTTTGGTTTTTCCTGTGGTCCATGCTTGAAATCGGACTTAACTTTTCCCTCTTGATTTTTGTACAAAGAGACGGGCTGCTTGAAAATAGATGCTGTCTGACGGATAGGTGGAACCAAGGAAGAATCGCTTCTCACTCCCCTGTTTTGAGTTTGCAACGCCTCGCGGCGTGCTCCGCCCGATTGATCATAAGGAGCACTGCTAAAAAAATATTAAAATTAAACCTACAAACTCGTTTCATTTCCAAGTGTGTACCTAAAGTCATAGGGCGTTCCGCTCTTGTGTTTCTTGCTAGATTTCCTGCTCAGCATGGTGTTAATTTTTCCAGTACGAAAGTCAAAGGTCGCCAGATCTAGTCCATCCCCAATGTATCGTGCCAATTGCGGCTTGCTTCTGAATTTTTTCCCACTTGGACTGAAATTGTGTATAAATTATTAGCTCCTTCTATACAATAAATTTATCTAAAAATACCTATAATAATAGACATCAACTTTTCCAGCGGAAAGACCCGATTTTCTTATCACCTCTTCTCTTTGCCAACCCTTGGGAAGTGCGGGACAATCGTACTTTTTTCTCTCAACTGACATGGTATGCGCCTATTGTATGTAATTAAGTATTTAAATGATAAGTTAGTAAATCCAGATTGCTATAATGAAGATTTTGAGCGTATTAATTGCATTCAGGTGTCGAAAAAACAAGATAAAGCATCAAAATTTCCAGGACATTGAATGCCAGTACATATAGCACAGAAGGAGTGCAAAAATGCCACTTATTCTGTGACAAAAAGATGCATTGAATGGAAAATTATTAAGAGAAATAAGTTGATATTGAACAAAATATTTCACTATGTACAGAAAAAGTAGTTAATTCTAACCTAAGTCCTAATCATTAGGCCGCTGTTTGCGTTTTTCGAGTTGACGATGAACAAGAAAACAAAAGCCATAAGCTTCAAGCTTCACCGACAGACCGACACCGATGCAAGTGAACCAACATGACAGATTATTTATGAAGTTTATTATAATAAAAATATTTTACTGACACAAAGCCAAGAAAAAGTAGCGGAATACGAAAATTTAAAATAAATTATAAAAGTTTAAAAGCAAATTTAATACTTAATCCGCCTAATTCACCTAAAGTATGTAAGTTAAAAATTGGAATTTTTTACTTTAAAACAGAGTCATGTTGGTAATTAAACCGCAAAGGGGGAGTGTCAGACGTTACATAAAATTTTCCTGTGCCTAAATTTTGACCTCCGTTGACCTTGTCGGCACTGTCGGCAGCCTCCAGACGGTCAATCAGTCCTTCGAACGCCTCCGTCTCATTCAGAAGAAACCGCAGTTATCTTGAAACCTAAGGTAATACCTCTTGGCAATTGCTTAAAAACAGTAAATTCATTATATAATTTTAAGGATACGCACACCGAAAAAAAAACACCTTTTTACGCTCATACGTGTATGCAATTTTCTCAAATTTCGCCCACATCCGGGCACATGCAACTTGCGTGATTTTGATCAAGTGATCAGGCAATTCTCACGTGAACTTGGGTTAGATTGAGAGGACCACACAAAACTTCAGCGAAAGCAAAATATTTTACATAATTTCTATGTACGTAAGTTTTAAATCCAACGTAATTTGTTTTTTGTTTATAAAAAAGCATTATGTATCATGTATCAGTCATGCATATTATTGGCTATGGTGTGTATAGGTTTTGTAACTCTTTATAAAATTGAGAATTATAGCGTTTTGCGTCTCCATAATACCCTCAGCGCAATGGCGTAAATATAATTTAATTTAATCCTGAAGTGGACAAGTGGAGCGAGAATTTGTACTGAATGGCTATACTCCAGTTTTAGCGTTCAGTCTGTTCGCGTAACCAGAGACGGAACCAGATTTCTCACCGACCCTTTTGTCTGTCAGCCAAGACATTTTATTTTCCAAAGGTATTTTATTGAAAAAACTGATCACTTGCAGATGCATTTTTTTATTCTTCTTATAATAGAGCTAAAGTTTTTCAAATAAATAATATTATGCAGCATAAAATTGAGAACTTAAGTGGATCAAAGACGTCAAAATACAATGGCATGATGTATAAGTACAGCTGCATTAAAAAATTAATAATTTAATTCAAATTTAATAAATTTTTACTTTCATACGTAACGTAAAATCATACTGCACACAAATTTCAAGTCGATTAAAAGATGCAATAAATTATTTAAATTACATTTCTAATAAAATCAATAAAGATTTCAGGGTCATGGCCAAGCATTTCCAACACAAAAAGAGTTCTAAAAATATTTGGGTTACATAACTAGGTCATCAAAAAATACATTGCAAAGTTAAGTCGGTAAAGGTCATACCAAGTGCAAAGAGGTGAATCTCTAATGGACAGTGCTGAATTTTCCTAGGAAGGCTGTCAAAAGGGCACCAATTCGGTAATCCTAGGGGGGCACTTTCTGATTGCCAATGCCACTGATTTTAGCAACTAGGGAGGAGATGAACTGTGGTTATTTTTAAAAACAAGGAGAGGCTCGTGGTTGACTTTTAATAGGGTGAAGAGCAGCACTAGATGCTGGGTCGAATTTGCATTCGCGGATTGGTAGTCAGTTTAAGCAGTAGTTGTTCAAGCAAAAATTTACAATTTCCACAATCGTTGAAAATGGTTTGGACGACGCCTCTCTCTGAAAAGGTTGTTGCTCTTACACATTTTGTGTGGGACCGGTAAGAGCATAAACTTTGGGGAATTCATTTCTAAATTCAAAATTTGCTCAAAATTTGGCAAATCAATTAATTATTTCTCATCAAATACAAATTCTGTTTCAGATGTCGGACGACACGAAGACCGCTAAGCCTGATGCTGCCTCGCATCTGGAGCATCTTTGCAATCTGGACATCGACAGCAAGTCCAAATTCATTCGTCTGTCTGGAATTATTTGCACAATCGGTAATTTAATTCTGCATTTAAAAAAATAAATATTATAAAGCAAGAAGAATTATTCTCTTCCTTTTAAAGATTATTTCTTTATTAATTATCAAATCTTACTTTGACTTTGACTTTTTGTAAAATTTAGGGCCTGCCAGCCAAAAGCCGGAAATGTTGGAGAAGATGATTGAAACCGGCATGAACATTGCTCGTCTTAACTTCTCTCACGGCTCCTATGAGTACCATGGAAGTACCATTGCTAACATTCGCCAGGCCGCTGCTAGCTACAGCCAGAAGATTGGCATGGAGCACCCTCTGGCCATTGCCCTGGACACCAAGGGCCCTGAAATCAGGACAGGTCTTCTTGAGGGAGGTGGTTCTGCGGAAGTCGAACTGGTCAAAGGAGAAACGATTAAGCTGACCACCGACAGCGCACTCACTGACAAGGGCAACAAGGATTGCATTTACGTGGACTACACCAATATTACAAAGGTGGTCAAGGTTGGCAGCAGGGTCTTCGTTGATGACGGACTCATCTCACTCATTGTTCAGGAAATTGGTATGCACAATTAATGTTGTTTTACATACTTTTTATTTTATACTTGATTGGTTTCAGGGGATAACTATTTGAATTGTCAAATTGAGAACGGAGGCTCTTTAGGCAGCCGCAAAGGTGTGAATCTTCCTGGAAACCCAGTTGATTTACCAGCTGTCTCTGAGAAGGACAAGGCTGATCTTCTCTTTGGCGTGGAGCAGGGTGTTGACATGATTTTTGCTTCCTTTATTCGCAACGCTGCTGCACTGAAGGAAATCAGAGATATTCTTGGTAGGCTATCCATTTCAAAGTAAATTTTTTATGCTTAGAAATTTTTTGGTAGGCGAGAAGGGCAAGAACATTTTGGTAATTTCCAAGATCGAGAATCAACAGGGCATCCAGAACTTAGATGAGATCATCGAAGCTTCTGATGGCATCATGGTTGCTCGTGGTGACCTTGGCATTGAAATTCCACCTGAGAAAGTATTCCTTGCCCAGAAGAGCATGATTGCTCGTTGCAACAAGGTGGGCTATTACGTTTCATCTAGTATCATTTGTGCAAGTTATTTATTAACACATATAACTCGACAGGGAAATCGATCCCGAATTTCCTTAGTTTGCATAAATTTGCACATAAATCATACAAAATTTCATTTTCAGTAAAAGATTATCATACATTTTTATTGCATCTTTATAGATGGGCAAGCCTGTGATTTGCGCCACCCAGATGCTTGAGTCAATGGTGAAGAAGCCTCGTCCGACCCGTGCCGAGGGCTCAGACGTGGCCAACGCCATCCTGGACGGTGCTGACTGCGTCATGCTGTCTGGTGAAACTGCCAAGGGTGACTACCCCCTTGAGTGTGTTGCCACAATGGCCAACATATCCCGTGAGGCCGAAGCCGTCCTCTATCACCGCCAGCTGTTCATCGACCTTAGCCGCCTGGTGCAGACCCCTGCTGACTCGACTCACACCACTGCTATTGCCGCCGTAGACGCTTCCGTCAAATGTCAGGCCAAGGCGATCATTGTGATCACCACTTCTGGTCGCTCTGCTCACCTCATCTCAAAGTACAGGCCTAAGTGCCCCATCATTGCTGTGACCAGATACGCACAAGTTGCCAGGCAATGCCACTTGTACCGTGGCATCCTGCCCCTCGTCTACGGATGTAAGTTATAATTGGTGTCAAATTTTATTTCTCTAATTATTATCATTTATAATTATTGCAGTGACTGCCCTGCCTGATTGGATCAAGGACGTGGACTCCCGTGTGCAGTTTGGCATCCAGTTCGGCCAGAAAAGCAACTTCATCCAGAAGGGCGACGCTATCGTTGTTGTGACCGGCTGGAGGCAGGGCTCTGGTTTCACCAACACCATGCGCATCAAGTACGTAGACACAGAGTGAATTCTCTGCCGCATTAAGTCTATATTAAGATTGATAAAAAGATGTGGGAGTGCCATGTTTGTAGGTGAAGATATTGTTAAAATCATAATCTCTGCAAACACTTGCGCTTTTAAAAGCTCGCAGGTGTCTATGCTGGTGGTGGGCTGATAATTTTCATCATTTCTCTAGTCTCTTTTGTGAGGAAATTGTTGATATATCTCTTTTATGTAATCTTCCAAATTGATTCCTAGTCCACAGAAAGAAAAACATGGCTAGTCGATATTTTTAGTATTTGACACTTATATCTTGTTATGTGTAGCATGTTGCATTAAAAGTGAGTTAGGTTGAGATAACACAGTATACTTAAAGTACCAATATAACCTATTATATTGTCTCAACCAAAATCACTTAAACACACAAGTCTTATTTTATTGGTATTTATTGCTTATTTTGTTGAGTAGAGTGTTTGTGATTAACAAGTAACATTATGTCCCAGGTGGCTGCAAGTTACCTTTATCACGAATTTGCATGGTGTGATGTTTACCAAGCATGAACTCTTCCTTTTTATGGATGCTGGAAAAACCTATTTTGATCAAATTAAATGGCTGGTCCATACCTCCTTAGAATCTCCTGTTTGCCCTTAATTCCCTTCCATTCTGTGATCATTATTTTGTTTCTCTTTTTGTTTCAGTATTGTTGAATGAAGTGTCGAAGATGCAACTAAATTACCCTCTCCTTCTTAGACACCATTAAAACTGCAGGATTCTGCTAATTTTCTCCATTTTTTTTTGTGTGTGTGCTGCTTAAGCAAACAAGCGCGCCTTTTCTAACAAGAATTTTAGTGCTATTAAATTAATTCCACAACCAGTATTCCTGTTGCGCTGTGACTGAAATTTAAACCCACCCAGTGAAGTTATTGCAAAAATTTCAGGCAGATTAACATTCTTGTTAGAATCTAAATTGAATAATTAGCCTGTTTGCTGGTTTCCACATCAATTTCCCCCAATATTATTATGTCACAGTTGATGATAAATTGGGTTTCTAATGTGCATATTTATCTAAAAAAAAAAAAAAAAAAATGGTATCTAGTATCCTCAGCCGTGAGTGCTGCAAAAGATGAAATTAATGTTAGAAACCCTACTTCTTTGTATTCATTTTCTCTGTTTGTAACCTCTGTTGACCAAAAGTTTAAAGTACAGAGCTTTCATCAAATTTCACTGCAACAAGGAAAGGCTCTGGATGCGCCTCAAAGGTAGAAGTCGGAGTAGGCAGATTGATGCTGTTTTACTCACCCGCCTAGTTAGACGAATGTTCTTTCATGGTAATGACGAATTTATTTAAACTGTTTGTCCAAGTAACTAAAAATTGTTCTGCTAACTTATTTTGAGGTCCCAAGGACTTAATTGATTTTGAATAGCTCTTATGTGTGATTGTCACAGCTGTGAATTCAGCCGCTTTATGTTGCTTCTTGCAATTATTGAAAATTCATCTGCATTGCAACCTTGCAAGATAAAAAGAATTAGTATATTTTGATCTGTTCTGTGGTCACAACTGATGATGCCACTTGAGGCGTACACAATGTACTGCATTACTAGTGAAACTCTGGTTCTATGTTCTATAGAGAGTAAACAAATAAAATGAAACTGTTGATCTAATAAATAGGGTGTCTTATTTTGCTGTAGAACAAAAATTAAGCAGCTGATTGAAACATAAATATTTTTATTTGTATACATGGAAAAATCTAATTTTGTTAACATTAGAGTTAATCAATCAAATTGATTTTTTTGTTGCTTTTCAATTCAACAATTACAGCCAATTCATTAAGTGTCATTTTACTATAGTGAACGCCAGACGTGTAATTGAACATTTTAATTTTTAATTGGCGTTAATTTCATTCTAAACACCAAAATAGTGAATTACCACCCAATTGCTTCTCACTAGGAGGTGATTTTAAAGAGCCAATTTCGAAGGATTTTTTTATTGCACAGCAATAGCTCCTTCCTTTAAAGAAATGTACATATTATTCATAATGGGAAAAATAAAATTAATTGTTTCCGTCATTCACATTAAACGCTGCTAATTAACAATTTATCCAACATGTGTTAACTTATAAAGAGGCAGATAGAAGTAACCAAACATTCTATGACTAGAAACCAATCAACAAATTATTGTTGCATCACATTAGTTTGGCATTATATCAGTATTATACACAAAATTTGAGGATAGATTTTGATTTTTCAGTATGCATTCTTTTCACGTTGTTCTTGTTTAACATGCATGCGCCTTAGAGCTTTTTATTGCAACACAGAGCTCCTTCAGAGATAGATCTATCTGCATCGTGGATGCTGCATTTCTGTTGTTAGATCTAAGTTCAAAATCTCGAGAAAAAAAGTACAAAAATTGTCCTTAACTGCTGTAAAGCTCTATTGTTCCATCTGAGAGTGAAGCAAAAATAAATACAAAACTCATGTTATCGCTCGAAATATCATCATCGTTTCTCTTGTCACGTTCTCGTACTTTTGACTTGAATCAAATTTACTTTTAACGACTGTTGCTTCTTTTCTTACAAAATATACGTAACCTTCATTGCCACTCACTCCTCAGTCTGAAGTAATTATATTAAATAATATCATCGCGACAGCATCATGTTTTGTGTGGCTTTCTGAGAGACAAAAATATACCAAAGGTCACCTGTGGTCTGAGGGTTAACTATTGGGGTCTAGAATTCCGGAGTGATGCCTTTTGCGTAATCGCCCTTCACTGTCTGACGTTACAAGTAATGTCAGGGCTTCTAGAGACTGCCTCACCTGAAAAAGATGGAAGAAATATTTTGTGAATTGCAGAAATTAAGCTTATATTTATTTATTTACTTTACCTTTGCTATCTGATTCAAATTCGAGTTCAAAAACTGCTGAACTTCATTGGAGGACTTGCTGTGGAGATGGACTTGCCACTTCATAATCTCTTTATAAACATCGTCTCTGAAATTTAAGCAAATGTATCTTTACTACGTTGGAGAGAAAAAAGTAAATTACCTGCTTGAGATCACAGGATTTGAGTAGAATTGAGCTTGGATTGCATTAATTCTGTACAACAAAAAAGCTGCTGAGAGGAAGAGCATCAAAAGGAGAACTGTTGAGGTGAGTAGCAGTAGTTCGTGCCACTTTACAGACTGAATGTAATTTTTAATGCAGCCTCGGAATCGCTCCAACTTGCTCGGCTTGCTGGCAGTCTTAGGAACATAGGTGCTACTCACTGTAACTACAAATTCAAACAATAAACATTTTGATTTTGTTGCAATTTTTGAAATACTCACTGTTTCGCGTGCAGAAAGTAGCCACCTGAGGTTTTGCAGCTATTATGGTCGGAGGGTCCTCGTTTCCGCTCCCTGAGAGGGACGACTCTTCGTCTTCGTCGGCAACCAGGTTGCTGCCAGATTCGCTCGGCGTTACTTCTTCTTTGCTTATGTCACTGACAGAAATTGAAAGAGGGTCTAAATCAAGCTGGAATACATTAAACAAAATCAGTTAGAAAAATATGTGATAACATTTTTGAAATTATCAATGTTGTTTTAAGTGTTTGTAAAAAGAATTTGAAATTATCAAGCAGCTCTGATTTAGATTATCGAACCAGTTTAAATATAAATTGAAAGATTTTGGACACGTATATCATGTGATAAGCATCAAATAGCAAGTCTCACCGTTGGCGTCGGGAGAGGAATTGGCTCAATTTCGACAATTTCGGGTGCGGTGGCGTTTTTCCAAACCTGCACCATCAACTTGTAAGTGGAATCTCTTGAGAGCAACGATGAAAATACGTGTTTCTCATGTAGCGTGGCAATGCCAACAGCATTTGGAATGATCCTTGCCGTCTTCTCCTTGGTTACTTTCAGAACAGAGGCAGTTGGTATAAGTAGCTGAGAAGGAAAAGTTTTATCAGCTTCAATAAGTAAAGACTTTTTGATATTTACCTTAGTAACATATCCGAAGACGTTAGAGTAAAATGCAAAATAATTTTTTGTGATGTAGAGATGTCCTTGCAGCAGGATGTCTGCTACCAGGGCGCATGAGTAATCTAAAAAAATCCAAATAAATATAAACTTATGACTGATGTATTTGAAAGAAGTAGTAGAAAATACATAAAACCACACCAAAGAGATTATCAATTTATTTATAAAAAAATCAGTCTCCATAAATTTTTTGCAGCTGAAAAGCATTTTGAATGTGTATGCAGTAGGCGGAGGGGCTTTTTGCGCAAAGCGGACGTGATAAATTATTCAGGAAAGCACTCACAATTGAGTACACGTTCCTCAGCAGAGACGGTCTTGAAGTGCCGGTGGAATTTCTTCTGTCGCCCCTTATTTGAGCCAGGAGGCATAGAGCCGACCGGCAGCTCTGACAGGGAGACGGTCACCACCTCTTGCTGGTCTGAAGCCGTCATCCCTGTGACACTGAACTGTTTGAATGGAGGGCTGAAACATTATCAAAATATTTGGTTAAAATAACTAAATAACTAAAGGAATCAATTCAAGTCAATCAATACAAATAATTTTTGTTGTTTTCACGTAAAATAATAAATTTGTGACGGCAATTTGATAAATTAATCTAATTTTGCTTGAAAATTGATTTTCTTGTAGAAGAAATTACAATTTTATAATTAAAGATATAAGCTTTCACGGGCTTTGAAATAAAAAGTAAATTCAAACGAATTTGGCGCATTTGACGTAGGGGCATAAATTTCTCCTGCACCACTCACCTCTATCTTTTGCTCCTTTTCAGCAGCACAATAGTGAGAAGTAAATAAGCAAAGGCGAAAGAAAGAGTCGACCCGTGTCGCCTGAGCAAATATTTAAAATGAGCAAACGAGAGCTACTGGCATATAAGTATTATAAAAGTGCTGCGCGCCGGAGCAAGAATTGTATCAAATAAGAAGCGAGAGCTTGGGGACGTGAGAGTGAGCACTGAACTTGATGGATAGTTTCATAACAGAAACAGCCTCTGCCAGCCAGCGGATCATCCCATTAAGCGATGTGCTGCCGCGACCTTTGACTCTCGATCCCGTCCACACAAATTTGTTTAGCCTCACGTTACTCAACTCACATGACCGACGTGCTGCGTCTAATAAAACGATGAATTCATCATCATTGTTGTTATTGCCCTTTTATCAATTGTCTGCTGGGAGCAACGCTTGTTTCAGATGGGTGAAAGTTATCTACTACCAGAGGTGCAATTAAAGTATTAGGTCAGAAAATAAATATGTGTCATGCAATTCACTCTGCGTTTTTTAGTGGGAGTTTCCTAATAAAAGTGACGTCAAATATAGATCACGATTTAAAAATTAACAAATGAAACAATTTTGGCAAAACGTGGAAATATTGAAATTTAGTTTTGCAATTAAATCTTCTTAAAATGCAATAAATTGAACTAACATGACTTATTTTTTATATTTTTTTTAGATCTGTCAATTATTCTCAGCCAAAGCTCAGCCCTAAACATTCAAAATTACTGGAAAATTTTGAATTCTATTCCAATTCAACCAATTAAAAGCATCCAATTATGATTCAGGGCCCAAAAATTGTAGTCTTTTTTTTTTTTTAGAACTGGGGTAAAATATCATAAGTTGGGATTAAGTTGAATGCAACCAAATATAATTGCAATTACTTTCCAACGCACTGCAGATCAATTTCCACTTTCTACACGTAACAAGAAGCGTCATTAGAAAGCATAAAAAAATGACGAATACATTACGAAAGTGGAGATACAATGCGTAGCCAAGCGCACGTTACCTTACGGTCGGTTTGAACGCCGGACTAAAAAACGAAAGGTCCAGCAATTGGCCGCTGATGCGCTTTCCTAAAAGAGTCATTTTGGCAAACGTACGACAACACGCCAGCAGCCTCCGACGTCGGACTGGCCGTGCACCGCTTTTCAATAATTGCGACGATCAACCATTTATCAGAAAGAGAGGAAGATAATAATGCGTGGTTGAGATAAAACTGTAAGTGCACGGATGGGATTTTCGGTTGGCGAGAACCATGGGTGAAAATGGTCTGCGTGTGCGGCAGGTGTGCTTCTTATCGTGCCTCGTGGAGAATATTTCAATGACTCGTTGATCCGATCGAATGATAACGCCGCGGCCAAGAACAGATGGCTTGAATTTTTAAAAGAAAAAGCATCTTATCGACTGGCAGATTTTGCTATTCAACGAGGTGTTCGATCTCTCACTCCAGTAAATGCCTGATAAAGGAATACACAAGGTTAAAGTTTAATAATTATGTTTAGACAACTTGTACATTAAGTCATCACAATTTTTGGTTGAAAATCGAGAACGTTTAAGGATGGCGGTAAAAACTGGAATAGAAGGTGCACCGGCAATTTCTACTAAAAAGAAGGATTCTAAAATAACAGCGCGTATAGCCCTGAAATCTCTACAATTTTTAATAGCCTGCCATAAAGAGTCGAGTGACAATGTTATGTTTACGTTAGTAAGAAGTATAGAAAAATATTCTATACAAAATGGTTTTGCGGTTTCCTTTATGTTAATCTAGCGACCTCCTCTAAAGATAACTCTCAAAAATATTTTCATCAAATAAATATTTTTAATTTAATTACCCTTGTTTGGTAAAATTAAATGTGGATTAAATTAAAAGAAAGCTTAAGTGATTTGAACAATTCTAATACGATTTGCTAAAACACTCAAAATACGCAGAATTCGCTTCGAAAAGAAATAATTTGATATAAGATTAGGTAATATTATTCCTCACAGAGAGTGGGAAGGACATTTTGGCAGGCGTATTAATAAGGTCAGTGATAGCAAATCAAACCATTGTTCCGATTGTTGAAATCCCAATCAGCTTCACTACTATGGGCGCAGTCAGTATGGACCAACAATTCAAACACACCCAAATTTATTACTCAGCAAACTGGGCTAGACTTAAAAAATGTATTCCAACTAAAAAAAAAAACAATTAGAATTTTAACTGCATATTTTTTTTAACTTGATAACTTCAAAGATCAAGATAAATTGCCACTTAAAAATTCAACAAAGAAGACTAGCAACAGTAGCAGCTATAATGATAGCGACGGAACAATAAATTATATCATTCTTTAAATAACCTAAATTTTTCCCGATCGATTGTTTCAACATTGAAATTTTTGGAACCTTATTATGTCCATTCTCAGCATACAATTACTAATAGTAGTGGCTCTGTGAGAATTAGCAGTGCTTGATAGGCTCAGTTATAATTGTCAGCCTATCGTGCGCATATTTGTTCCATATCAAATTAAAGTCGCTACCAGTGTGCTTTAGACGCTTAAGTCAATATTTTTGTACTAATTGTACAGGCAATAACAAAACTTACAATGAGAGTGCCAAAATATCATTTCTTTTTATCCAATTCCGCATAAGCTAATAATAATTTTAAATCCTATTCTCCGGGGTTTTTTCTCCATAAAAAAATTTAATCAATTTTCATGATGCACAAGAATCAGACATAAGGAAGAGCGGATTCACGTGGCGGAGACTTTTCCGAATTATCGCGCATTTTGCCAAAGGTCGCGAACAAACCAATTACAAGGTTGCGAATGAACCGATTACGCGTTTTGTTGTTGCCTCAAAATAACTTTTCTCATTGTCAGTGCTGCACGGGGATGAAAAGACAGCACGACGGCCCACGTCTTAACAACAACGGCTTTTCTGCAAATCGATACAAGCAATAAAAGTTGCAAATACCCGAGTGACCTCAATAACACTTTGGTTTCGCGTGGTGAAAGAAAAATGGTGTTTAAGGATCGCGGACGTGAAAACGAGAGTTTGCCGCAATGCCGAGACAATTCATATAAGCGAAATTTGCGTGTTCTGACCGCAAAGGTATGAGAATGTGTTTTCGTGCGACTTACCCGGCTACTGTTGGTGACTTGCCGCCGGCTTTCTCGTTGCTGCTGTTGGTGTCATCCGTGGATATGTTGCTGCTGTTGGACTTTCTGAAAAAAGGCCAAAAGAAAACTCGTTTTAGTTTCTGAGAACATGCGAGCCGAGCGCGACGATAAGACCACTGTCTCTCGTTCGTGCCGTCCGTGCAATGCATAAATTAAATTGCTTTCGTCTGCATTTCGAGATATTTATTGTTCATTTTGCATGAATTTATCGCACGACACGACGGAGGTTTTATCGTTGCTGGTTCGTGAGAGCGAAAAACTCTCGCAATGTCAAGTTCTTGATTAGTGTTGAATTTGCACTTTCACAACATAAAATATAAAGTCACATTTTACAACAAGTACTGTCCATTTTGCACATTTTGCAAATTGAAATAAATTTAAATAATTTTGTACCACTTTGGACTACTGTCATACGTACTGTTAGCCGATGTTAATTTAATTATTACTTGGATAACAAACAAACAAACCTCAAGTCCGGCCAGGTTTCCCAGCATTAACCGCCTGCAAAAAATTAATGCCAATTTTTTTGCGCCTAGAAAAACCCAGCGTTATTCTTTTTTTGTGTGAAATTTTATCATGAGGAAGCAATAAAATTATTCCTAAAGTGATGAACATGCTAATATAGAAGTTTAGTTAAGTGATTTATCCCATTTTTTCAGGAATATATAATTTTGTGGGCACCATAATGCTTAATTTACCTTCATGATTAGGCAATTTATAATTTATTTTATAGATTAAAACTAAAAAATATTTTTTAATCTCATGAACTTTGTTGTTTTTAATGTGATTTATATGTAAATAATGGACGTTTCTATAGTCTGCAAAAAACCACACAAACAAAAGTGCAGTGTACATAACGCATTTTTCTATAAAAACCTTTTTTTAACACCTATTCTGGTTGGTATATGTAATCAAGTTGAAGCTCTATATTATGGAAAACAAGCTACTTTGAATGTCGGCTGGAAAGCGAGAAAAACGAGCCAGTTTTCAGAGAATTATTTAGTCTTCACGGCAGCACACGCTATGCAAAGAATAAGCTAAGGCTCGGCTGGCGTTATGTCAATGAGGAAATGTGAGATTTTTGTCACATGATCTACTTTTAAATTATAAAAATAATAATGTGCTTTACAAAAATAAAGGCAAAATTTTATTTGTGAAAGAAAAAAATCATTAAACAGTTAATGAAGCAACATAAAATTATATTTTACTTAAGAAGAAAAATGTTACGTTAAAATTATTGAAATGTAATAAATATTAAATAATATTAATATTAATTCTTAAAAAAAATTCAAACAAACATGATTTAAATTTTTAGTTAGTTTCACAATGAAATTTTTATATATTCAGCAACTTTTCAAACTGTTTTACATCATATTTTTTACCCAAAGCTTCCTTGTGATTATTTTAATTTCATATAATGCAGAAAAAAGGTATGTCAAGATTGTTTACTTTTAACTTCAACTGGACAATTGAAATGAACTTAAAAATTCTTTTATGTACACTTTTTAAAACTTTGTCGCTCGTTCAAGACAAAAAGAATGGGTTTAGTTGCTTACATACCTTATATTTGTCAACGAACACAAAATCTCGTGAATCACCATGCCAAAATCTCAGGCTCTGCGAGCAGTTCCGAGTCGCGTGCCAAGTTGTATCAAAATCACAAACAATTATATCAAAATGCTCGCCGTAAAATCCCCTCTATTTGTTAATTTCCTGCTTGAGATAAGGGAATTTCAAAACCCAGGCAGCCACAAAAATCCAGCAGGGAAGGACGCAAAACGCACGGCTGCTTCAACTGGACTATCCAGCTAAAAAGCATCAAATTGTATATCCGTGTGGTGGATTAGAACTATAAAATGCACGCGGCAATGAAATTTCTGAAGGACACGACCGCTAATGTACGGCCACAAATTATTCAAATTAAAATAGATACACGTGAAACAAGGCCGAGTGTGACGGGTTTGGTTACATACGCGTGTAAAAATGCTTTCGAGTCGATAAAAAGCACATTAGCTTTATCATAAAATCAATCGCAGGTGCCGTCAGTCAAAACACGGAAATTTTCCACTGCATAGTTAATTGAATGCATAGGTAAACAAAAACGGAAGGCTGCAAACACAATTTCCAACTAATGAGTTTTTTATTAGGAATGCACAGTACATAAATATTATGTTTTTCAAGAAATTTTTACTTTCTGTAACTTTTTAAAAGACACTTTTAATCTGATACAATCTAGATAATTAATTTCAAAAATTACTTTGCAAATTAATTTCATGTTACCAATTTTAATTTTTTTCTTTCCACTTTTATAAATTATTCATATATATTTACGCATTTCAAACATTGTCCCACATTGAGACTCAAAATTTATTTACTTTCATGAAAAAAAATCAGTATTACGAGGGCATTTTGTTCAAGAGGTAGATTTTTAAAATTATTTCTGTGAGACTTACTAAAAAATGAAAGTTTAAAATTTAATTTATGGATGCGCCCCAGTATGCTTAAAAATATATTAATTTAATAAATTATGAGAAAAAACCCAATAAGTGGTTAGAGGAGGGGTAGCGGTTTATGGTGTTCATCAACCCCAACACCCCGATGTCTATAGTCTGGATTATGAAGTCTCTCTAAAGCAATTTTTTTCACAAGCGCAGCAAAACCAAAGCAAATAAATATAAAAAAGCAAAAATAAATTTCACATATAATTGGCTTACTTTCTGACTTTTATGAAGTTGCGGCCTTCAGGGAAAAACATGCCTGGGTTCAGAACGAAGCCAACAGAGAAAACACACTTATCGCATTAATCTAATTGTATTCCTAAAACGACGAGACAGCATGTGAGTGTTTCAATATATCGAGTTTAAACCAAAGTGAGGCGAGGTCTCCGCACGCACCGCCTTATATTCGCTAAACCGCAAAACCAAAATAAAAATACTACGCGTTTGGCGCTTCAACGACGACAAAGTGCGTCTCCAAAATACCCCTCGAAAGTGGGGCGCATGTATGGACCAAGCCGGAGCTAAAAATAGGCCCACGACAAAAATCCTTAATTCATCTTCCTCGGTAATTAGGTGGCGAAAATTAAGAGACCGAATACAAGAGGTGCGCATGAGTAAAAATAGGTATTATCGACCCTGATGGGTTTAATGCTGTAATTTCCAGCGCATTTGTCCGCCGCCCTCTTGACACTCTTAATTAATAGCCAGCCTGAAGAAATTTCCGTCCGAGCCCCTTCATTAACCCAATCACGAGAGTTCAGCGGACGAGTTTTTTTGCCAAGCCTCTTCAATTCGTTCGCGAAACTGGCACCCCGCGCTTTATGAATGGAAGCAACCGCCGCGATTGTTCTTACGTGGTCTCGCGATCGATACGTGTATAGGCCGAGGCGGAATTTATTTTATATAATAATGAAAAGGCAGAGTTGCACACTTTCGCTTTTGGCGACGCTTGTGGCGTGCGCTGCGAGTGAGTGGGTGATTTTGCTGCGTGTGCAAATTTCCCACCCACCCACTCGCGGCTGAAAGATCTCTCGCCCCTGAGGAGAGGTTGCGGTGGGTGCAGAAACGCCCAGAGTTTTTGACAGAATACAATCGTTATTCAGTAAAATACAAACCTAAGTTGCGCCTCCACACCATTTGGCATTGGGCTCTCCGACCGACGGCCGATTCGTGCCGAATCCAGATCTCACAACGTAGATTCTGCCATCAGATCACGAGATCGCGGACGAGCATCCTTCGGCCTGCTGTTCTCTTTGCCTGCGAGCTGCGTGCAGCACAGACAGCACAGTTAGCCTTAACTGTGAGGGCAGCAGTGTGGCCAACCTGTCTGCTTACTCTCGCTCAGATTTGTTGGCACGATTGCTTGTTATAACATGTGTTTTTGTTTGTTTGCGACTTCAATGCACTGATGCAGCAGTAAGCTAATCGTTTTTTTTGCGGATCGAGCCTCTGTACCAGCACCAGAAGCTGGATATTTTGAGATTTTTACAACTAAGGAGAAAACATCTATTCTATAAAAAATTATTTCAATTTTATAATAACAAGGTCATAATTATGTAGTTTCATTGTTACTGGAAAATTGAACTCTTGCAAATGTCCTTGCTGGAGGACAACTTTCCCGCTGGGGAAAAGATCTTGGCTGACATCGAAAACGTCTTCAAAAACGATCCTGAACTGTAAATTTAAAAAAATTTTGGTAAATGAAATTTTCAAAATATAAATTTTTACAGTGAGGACTTTTTCATCATTCCACTAACAGAGAATCAAAATAAATCACCTGTCATCCACGCTAACCACAGTCTTGGATTAGAATCGTGGTGCGTTCAACACGTGTATTGCTATGTTTATGGAAGACTAATGAACCATAAAACCAGGAAGAAAAGGGAGGGTATGTATTTTTAATCTCGGTGTTTGAATTCGGAGCTTATTAAACATTAAACCCTCTTCCTAGAACATAAAAGCGTAGTTCGCATGCTGCGAGGAGCTCTCTTGATTAATCCAGAGACAACTACTTTTTGGAACATGAGCAAGCAGCTGATTGATGCCGAGAGAATCAGCCCTGAAGAAGATCTTAGGTTCTCAGCTGTTGTGTTGAGTTTCAAACCAAAGTGTTCGGAAGTTTTCACACATCGGAAGTGGGTGCTGCGAAAAATTATTCAGCAACCTGACGTGCAACCTTTTACGATTATCAAGCTGCTCCAGGCGGAACTGCGAGTCACCCAATCGGCAGCTTCCAAATATCCGAGCAATTATAATGCGTGGAATCACAGAAAGTGGGTGTTAGAATTCCTGGTGCCAAAGGGAGGAGATGGAAAGGAGGTTTTGAAGCAGGAGCTGAAACAATCCCACTGGTGGACGTCCAACCATGTCTCTGACTTCAGTGGCTTGCAGTATAGACAATTCATAATGCAAAAAATATTTGAATCATTCTCATACGAGGTAATATTTTGTCTGATAAAGTCACTTTAATTAAATCAATAATTTTCAGGACTATTTAACATGGAGCGATTGGTCTCTTGAATTTCCTGGCCAAATGGATGTGCGCTGTTGCATCAGTTGCGCTGCTGCTGCAATTCTCGAACAAGAGTTGCAGTCGTCAACCGATCTATTGATTAGGTTCGAGGGGCACGAGTCTCTCTGGTACCACCGTAGATTCATCTTGATAAGCTTGCAGAAAGTCTGCACTAGTGTGCTGTGTGTTAAATTAGACTTGTCGGTTTTTACCACTGTTATCATTAGCGAGTATTCCTTTTCCAATAACCTTGCCTGTGACTCGCAAGTACCACACCAAAAAAGACATGCAAAACAGCATTCTAGCTGGATAAATAATGCGCTTGGTATTTCTCCACCCTAGAGAGTTAATACAAAAATAAACTCATTTTCTTTTGATCAATCGAGCTGTATGAACAGTGGAATTTCCCCATACATTGGATAAAATGTAAGAAAGAACGAGAATTAAATTGATGGTCTGATGTGCCCCTTAATATTATTGAGAACAATTGAAAGTTAAATTAATTTTTTTTAGAATTTACAATTTTTGAATCTATTAATTTTTCTCCAATTTGAAAGAATCCAAGTCGTACTTTACATTCCTGTAGTAACAACTTTGAAGTGATTTTTTGATTGCAATAACTTTTGGTTCCTTTTAAATAAATTAAAAAATAAATAAATAGAAACTTCAACAAGGTTTTTATTTTGATATCATGTAAATTGCAGTATTAATCTGTATTAATCATTATACCAATCTAAGAATAACAAGGAAAATGACATAACCAATAAAAATAACAAAATATAAATACGAAGCCCAGCATTTCGCTGAATTGCTTGACGAATTTGATCATTACCCTCCTTAACATTTTCAGTAGCACCAACAACAGTTGTATTGATTCTATCAATATCTTTATCCTGCTGGAGAACTTTTTCCGTGAATATTTCCTGCAGTTCTGCAATGTGGACAACTTTGCTTTCAATTTGACGCACTTCTTCATTCAAACTTTGCAGCTCATTGTAAAGCTGGTTGTTCTCCTCTTCGTAAATCTGCAGCTCCTCTTTCGAAAACTCTTCATCGGTGGCAAATTGCGAAGAGTTCTTTGTGCCATCGACATGGTTGTTTTCATCATCAGATATTGTTTTTGTGGCACTGAGCCTGTTAGCTGTATGCGTAGGACTGTCTGTTTCGAACCTGGAGAACTTTTGAAAGTCCATCGCTCTCTTCACTCGAATTGCTTTTTGTTCGGAATAAATTTTGCACACTGCTTTCAAATAAGCCTCAATCATGTCCAGTACCATTTGCCTGTGCTCCGTCACCTGAACAGAATCTTCGACCTTTAAAGTTTTCTTTTTGAAGTCCTGAATCAAATGGGAGCAAGTATTCATGATCATCTGAGCGCCAGCATCGATCTTGTCTCTCTCGGCGTCCGTCATCTGAGGCAAGTCAGGAAGGTGGCCTCCAAAATTCAGATAAGCCTTCCGGTGCTCCAACAAAAAATCTCGAAGTCTGGTTATGTTGTTGACGACCTCTCTGGCTTTTAGGGTGAATGCCGTCTTCTGAATGCGAGGCAGAATAGAGGAACTCTTGTCGGAATCATTGCCGGTGACTCCGAACGCCCTGTTTCGAGTCCGTACTGTTTTTACACACGCTTTGAAGAGAGCAGTGATATCCATTATTCTGAAATTAACATAGAACATTAGTTTTAGTTGAAGGAATAAAAAAAATAGTAAAATATATCAAATGAAAACACAACTTTTAAAAATTAATTGCATAGATATACATACATACATAGTACACACTTTGTTTAGTTGTGTTTATTATGTATTCAGTTAATTTTCTGCAGAATAGTATGAATTACCTTTACAAAAAGATGGGGCAAAGTGCTTTTGTAAGTATAATTTAATTTTGTAAATAAAAGATCGTAAAATTGTGCCCGAAAATCTTCACAATCTTGAATGACAACACATTCTAGTGGTCGTGGTGGGCGGATGGCCAAGGATAAAAAGGCTCCGCCCCTTTTTTTGTGTATCGCGCCAAGCCACATTTCTCTTCTCCAACTCCGATCGCCCCGTCCGCCGTTCTTCCCGTTCTTCCAGCAAGCAAGCGGGAAAAGGACGGAGGATAGACGAATCTCTAATGTTTTATGCGGTTCTATGTGTGATTTCTAACATTCCAGAGCTAGATCTTGGTGAAGAAGTACTTTTCTTTCATTTAAGTATAGTTTGAGCCAAAAAGTAGCAATACTTAAATTATGGATTTGACACCGATGACAGACATTTCACAGTTGTTCACCAAAGGTATAAACAATCATGTTGTACAATATTTATTTACAATATTTATTCGTGCAATGTGCAAAGTAATTTTTCTTTTGTATACAGATGAGCAGATTTTTGACAGTGAACAGCTATTTCAAGAGGGTCACGTAGCTTTTAATCAAGCAGACAACAGGTGCCAATTTTTTCTACGTTATTGCCATTGCTTATGTTCTTTTGCATTTAAAAGAAATTTAATTTTTGATTTTTTTTGCATTTATGTAATATAGTCATAGTCCCATTTATTTTCAAATGTAAATTTTTGTTTGGAGGTTTTAGTCATACTTATTTAATGCTTTTTTGTCTATTAAACGATGAGAAAATATTTGGCTTTATTAAATAAAACAAATAATTTCAAATAGTTCACAAGGTGTTGGACACATGAGCCAATATTTTCTTACGCAGTTCTAGTATAATTACGATAATAACCATGTATAAACTTTTTTAAATTTGCATCTTATAAAAAATTGTAATAAACATTTCACAAATTAATTTCTTCTAAATATAATATTATACCCATTTAATTTTTAATTTGATGTGTAATTTTATAAAATATAATTATACAGTCATGATGATGATGATGACCATAGATTTAGTGTTTTGCAAAGCTATTGCAAGCGATTAAAAGAGCAAAACAGATCCCAGCAAGAAACTTTAGTAGAAAATGAAGAAACTATTAGAGGGCTTCAACTCGAGCTGCAAGATGCAAAGAATAACACTCAAGAGAAGTGAGAAATAAATATAATTTCACTTTAGTAGAGCTGCATTAATTATTGAATATTTTGCCAGGAATCTGCAACTTGTGGAAATGCAGAAACATTTGCTATCATTAAATCTTGAGAAGGAAGAAATGTTGACCACATCTCAAAATGAGAAAGCATTCAAAGACAAAAATATCAAAGAGTTGCAGGAGCACATAATTGAGTTGAGATGTGAAAATGAAGATTTGACAAAAGCAAGGAATAATGAAATTTCTAAGGTAATTTTTCTTCCTAAAAATTTTACTGCCAACTTTAATAATTAACAGAAGAAAGCTATGGAAAATTACCTTGAGGACTTGAAGTCAAAATCTGAACTATCCTTTCATTCTTTGCAAATAGAGCATGGGATAGAAGTGGATTTCTACAAGGAGAGGATTAATTTTTTGGAAAATGAACTTTTCCATTCCAGGGCTGATTTAGAACAGTGCATTAAAAATTTTCAGGTACAATTGAGAATGAATTAAACCAATATAAATTGAGTTAAAATATAATTATTATTTTTCACCTGTTCATTTTAATTCTTGGTTGATATTTTTACAACTTGTTTGCAGGAAAATAAAATCCACTGGAAGGAAATGACAATAAATGATGGTATAGTAGCTGAGTGCATTAAGTTAACTGCGGCAATTGTGCTTTTCACTTCAGCAAATTGTTCCCAATCTCGTCCTGACTCTGTGTATGCAAAAACGTACAATTATTTTACTCTCATTTTTCATGTATATGTATATCTGAAGGATTTCAGACGGTAGAATCTTCTTGTGTACATCAATAAATTCACCAAGGAAAATTAATCGCCCAATAATATTTGAGCGATCGCTGAAAATGGAAATCTCTCAAAGCTTGCAAAATGACTTACTACAAGTTGTTCGAAGGACCAGGTAGAATTTGCCAGTAAAAGGAAAATTTGCAAAACAAAAATAAGATATTTAAAAAAATTTCAGTGCAAAGGAAGAAATCAAAAATTTGGACTGCAAGCAAGAAAAGCCTGCTGCCAAAATAAGCATGAGGAAAATCATTTTGATTTGTACTCTCACACTACTCTGGTCTATGTTTCTTGAGAATGTTGATTTAAAACAACTTGCCAGAAGTTTTGAATTTTCGCTGCAAGTAGGAGAATTGTATATTGGATTAACAAAAGAATAAAAATATCTTCAATTGCATTTTTTTGAGTATATTTGAAATAATGTGAAGAATGAATTTTTGAGTTAGCTACAGTGTTATTTTTTTTCCAAAGACAAGGAAAAACAACATCCTGATCTGCATATTTTGGCTGTGCACAGCTACAATTTACGAGAGCTGTAATTTATTTTTGAAAACAATGAAATGATGAAAGCCGAGTATCAATTCAAAAACCTTGAATCTACCGTAGGTTTCAAATCTATCACAAAAAAGCAGTACTTAATAATTTTTTTAATTAAAGCAGCAGTTTATTGTTGAGTGCGGAGTGCATATAATTTTTTGAGATAAAAGGTCCAAAAGACATTTAAAACAAAAGATAATTTAACATTTAAATGCGATTAATCACAATAAGCTACTAATTTTAATAAAAATTTCAAAAATTTATATTATATTGACAATTCACATAGTTATAAATCTGATATAATATATAAATTTTTGTAAATTTGCATGTTGCATTGCCGCGACCACGCTCTGCTCATTCTTTTAACGTAGAAGTAGAAAAGAGATAAAATAATATGTATAAAAAATAAATTCGATAAATCATTTCCATTGCAAAGTAATAAATAATTTTATCGGGTTCATGAACAGGACAACTTTGCCTCACACAAGAATAATAATATTTCTTTTATTAAACGCGTTTGCGTACAACATGCACTGCTGGAGCAGCACTACAACGTTTTGCATACATTCCTGCGGGGAAATCCGATTAGATTCCCGCTTTGAGTGAGAAAATATTTTAGTCTTTGCATACAGTGCCATCTATACCGGGTCAAAGAAGCTCTCGAATGAATCAAAATATTCATTCAAGCCAAAAAAGAGAACAAAAGCAAACAAGAGCGTGTTGAAAGAAACATTGATCTTATTTATAAATTTGTCATCCTGCTTTGAAGATTTGAGCATAGAGAATATTTTCACGTAAGCGTATATCGTATTAACTCTTGTGTATTTCAATAAATTCTTAAATTGACCGCATAATTTCAGAAACCTCTACTACACCACATCAAAATCAAAACTGAGTGCGTTGGTGCCCAATTATTCCACCATATCATCATGTCCACAAGATGGTAATAATTTTCAAGTAACATGAATTAAGTACATACGGTTTTAACCATTTCTTCTGCTGCTCACTTTCAGGTATCCATTATACCAGAGAGGAAATCCCCAGTTGCGTGTTTTTCTACCTAACTTCTTCATGAAGTTAGTCAAACCACGCTTCACACAGCCACCCAATGTAGTTACTTTTGAGGTTTCGATGGAAATGACCCGGTATGATGTGAAGAACTACTTGGAAAAAATTTATAAAATCCCTGTCATCACTGTTCGTACTGAAGTCACTCCAGGAGAATTGAATAGAAAATATGGTTATGTTACTAAAGAAGATGATGTGAAAACTGCATTTGTGGAATTGGTAATTTTTTTATTTTTTTCCTGTGCGTATTAACATTTTATTTTTGTTTGTATTAATCTAGTTTGTATCATAGAATTATTATTTCAAATAACCCTTTTGTCGGATGTGAAACCCATCAAGACCTGTCGAGATCATTGGTATCATATTATAATTATGTAGTATGTAGTGGGTCTTAACTGGTCTTGGAAATTTTGTAACTAAATCATCATAGGGCTTATGCTAAATATGAGGAAATTTCTTAATTATGAAATTATTTTGTTTCTTTTTAATTTTAGTTAGTTTAATTTTAATTTATTACCAAGTCATTTTAATACATCTATTTCAATAATAGTTTCAGTTTAATGTTCCTTAAGTGTAAACTTACATAATTTCCAAGACCGGTTGAGACCCACTGATACCAATGTTCTCGATGGGTCTAACGTCCAACAAGGAAAATGGGCGTATAAATTAATCCTATTAAAATTTTCAGGAGAAATCTGTCAATTTCACTTTTCCTGACTTATTTGCTTCAAGTGCAAAAGATGATGACTACAAGAAGGAAATGAAGAATTTAGAAGAAATGAAACGAGCTCATAGAAAACAACTAGATAGAAATGGATACAGGCCTGGCATTCCAGGATGGTTTACTTTTTAATTTGTTTTTGTGCTCAGGTTGTTGCAAATGTAGTCATCATTTAAAATTAAATTTGCGAAGCTAATTAATTATGAAGGTTTCACTTGTATTTGGTAGGAAATGAGAAAACAAAATACTATCCATTTTTTCTTAAATGTTCAATGCTTAAGTTTATTCTCTTTTGATGGTGGCTTGAATCTAATGAGTGCTTGTGTTTTTGAAGTCTTTACGGCAATGTGCACTTGGAGTGGCCACAAGCCATTCGTAGAGGATGAAATTGTACTTTCATTTGACAGCTCATTAGTTCCATTTTAGTTTTTCCAGCTAACCATACAGTTAGTGAAGCATCCTATCTTGAAATTTTTGTATGTAACTGTGAAGTAAGGAAGTTGCAGCGATTGTTAAACAAAACTTCGGACACTTCAGACAATACATACAAATTTCCAACGTAAATATAAAATTTTGCTACAGTGGGAACCAGAGGCAGGATGTAAAATTTACAACTAATTTACAGGGTTTCTTTAATTAAGCAAATTAAAAAAGGAAGGATAATTCTCTTGCATAAAAGGAGGGAAGAGTCCTTATTAACTGTCAAATTCAACAATGGCTTTTAAAAAATGTGGCTCCGTGTGGTTTCCGAGATGTCACTTCCAGCACATCACGACGAATTCGTTTCACCATTGTCATGATAATTGTTGCCGTTCATGACGAACGAAGTTCCCAAACCGTACAAATGACCGCAGTATTTTGCATCATCGATGTTATCTTCGAAAAACATCTAAAATACAAATAGACTTCTGTTGAAATTTATATTTTTAAGCATTTATCAATCTTGCCTCTCTCATCTTGAAAAATGCCATTCCGGTGAGCAGCGAATCACTGCCAGCCTGATGTTGAGGCCCAACTCTTTCCAATTCAAGCTGATCAGCCACTTCTTGCAGGCCTCCTTTTAAGTTTTTACAGCTCTTCATGAGATACTGTTAATCAAATTTTCATTAAAAAATTTTTCAGCTTCAAATTTAATTATTATAAATACAATACCTTGACATCGTAGATATTAGGGAAATATAACCTTAGAAGGTCAAAAAATTCGCTCTCATCCTGTGGCAAGTTCTGATCTGTGAGCAATTTCAGCAGGTAGCCAAAATCATAACCACTGAGGATAAATTAAATTCAATCAATGCTCCGTATCGAAACCACAATAATGTGACTCGTGATCTAAAGGAAAATTAAACAAACCTGTGGAAAGACAGCCATTTAATGTCCTCCATTAGGACAATCCCGGACGTCATTAGCAACTCTGCAAAGTCTTGCGGCTCAATGCCTTCCTCCTCGTGCTTTTTGAACTGGATGCCAGAGTTTTGCAATAAATCTATGCTGTCCTGGGCGTACATATCCTCTGACAAGTTAAACTTGAAGTTGAACTGCCACGTTGAGAAACCAGGCGCCGTCTTCCCCGCTTCATCCAAGAAGGTAAGGCCAAGCTGGATGATGCGTAAGAGGTCAACGTTGCACCGCAGTAATTGATACTGATAGTCTGCCGTACTGCGGAACTCGCCGATTGGTCTCGCAACCACGCCAGGGAACTCGGTGTCCTGTAAATTTCAAATTAAAAGTGTTATTTTTAAGTCAAATAAAAATAAATACAATCAAAATAGTATCAGTTTGTTAAAAAAAATATCCAAATTAAATGAGTGAAAAAAATATATAAAATTCTATGCTTTTCAGGAATACTGTTAAAAAAATAATTTACCATGGCGACGCAGTGATATTTCTGGACAACTTTTCGGATGGTTTTAAACTCCTCATGAAGGTTGTGCGCCCACACATCTCGAATACCACACTCTTCGTTGCTTGGAATGTTTTGGTGGCCACTGTGTGCGTTGCTGCCTGGATTTACAATTTCGAGCACTTGTTTAAAGCTTGATTTTGTTAAAAATATTGGGCAACTCACGCTTGCCTGTGGCTGTGGGCATATCAGTTGGCGACTCGTTTTCCTCGGCAATTCCACTATTACGTATCACGCATCGGCGTCCTAATGTAACTTATCTTGAAACAGCAGCTGGAATCTGAAAATATGACAAAGCAACGTTGTTTACAGACTCTGAGGTCATTAAAATCCAGTGACAAAGAAGAACACATGCGAGTGCAAAAATGCTACTTTTTATGGATTGTTGTTATTTTGTATTATTAGCACCACTGAGGACATTCAAGGCGTAATTACCAAGAAAAATCGCGTGTTGTAATATTTTTCCGGAGTAAAATGTCTCTGCCAGCAATAGATGTAGAACTGGCGACTGAATTTGCCCGTCGCCTGGTGGTGCAGTTTTGTTGCATTTGATTTTTGATTATGACAACTGGACTGCACTCTTTATCTGCTAAGGTGCAAATTTTAAATTCCTTAACCTTAATATTTAAAGCATTTGGTGAGCATAAAAATTGTAAATATTTACTAAAATAATGAAAAATCTGTGGAAAATGCGATAGACAACAACTTTTTTGACAGCAATCGCATCTAACAACTGCATGCATTGAACAGGTTTTATGGACTGTATTAGCGCCGTTGGCTTGGCCGCTAGACAAGTTAGGTTCTTTAAATATAAGAACATTTACCAAGGGGTTGGTTGATGCCCTATCCTGCGAGTTTAGTCGCTTAGAGCCCCAGAATACAGGTCTTCAGCAGCCAAGGGGTTGATATAAACACAATCAGGTCGACATTTGCAATGTGACGTCATGCGCACGAGCACTCTGCGCCCCGCTCTCCGATTGGGTAACGCTGCTGGAATCGACCTCGGTTTGAAATTCAGCGCGAACTGTACGAAGGGATAAGGTTAATCAATTTTTCCTCAACGCTGAGAGGCAAAGTAAATTCTGTTTACAATTCATGTATAGTATATAATACGATATAATATTTAACAAACTTCATTTTGAGTCCATGATTTTTAGAAAATTTACTATTTTATTTGCCTGACATTTTTTCAAATGCCAGTTGAACAATTAAATTATTTTTGTTGATTATTTATAAATTTTCAAACATTACTTGTTTTTAATTTTTACATAAAAATTGATCCAAATATGCTAACTCCTAGGCCATAATAAGTCTCCTAGATAACGAAGTTACATTTCTAAGCATATTATGCAGAAACAATATTGTATGATCACCTAAAAATAGTTCAAAAATTACAAGCAGTTATCTATTTTTCAATTCCGTTTAATTATAATAACATCAATTTATTTACATCAATAACATTTCTCTAACATTGGAGGTTTTATTCCATTTTTCTCTATTTGTCATTGGCGAATTCAGCAGGGTCCTTGCGAAGCAAATGGTGATGTTTTTTCTCCACAGAATCATAGATCAAATAGCCGAGGATAAAGGCTAGAATTTAATTAAAATTCAATTTAAGCAAAGAGAGCTTAATCTATAGGAACTTACGAGGAAGAACCCTGAGTGCTTGTCCTCTAAACCTTCTGAAGGAGTTTCCGATGCCAGTGCTGATGAAACCGGCGAATGCTCGCTGTTCGAATGGCGAGATTTTGTAGGTAATTAGTCCTCGGACTCTGTGCAGCTCTCCAAAATGCTTTCCACCCATTTCTAAAAGGAGTTGAAGAAAATTAGCAAGATAGGATTAAAAATAATAATGAGACTGATAGATCAGTGTCAGTGTGCTGCGTGCACCGATTTTGAAGAGATATGAACAATCGTGCCAAGATATTTTAGCCGAGAAAGTTGAGGTACACACTCACGAAATTTAATTATTTATATTTAAAATGGTAAAAGCTGCATAAAAATATAAATGCTGAAAAATACCTGCCGAGTTTTTCGATTTGCAGATGGATCGAATGAATGAAATATAAATATGGCGGACGGGAGGGGCGGGCCGGCCACAAATTTTTTTCAACCAATGAAGAACAAATTTGAATTAAAGCGCCAAAGGCGCACTGTCAAAGCACAAAATTTTATTATTTTGCCTTGTGAAAATCGTCTGATGTTCTTTGGTAATAAAGTTAATATAGAAAAAATTAAAAATATAATAATTATTAAAAATTCACTATACATGGATTGTGTCAAAATAATCCACATAATCCAAAATTTACTTGCCCAATGAAAAGCAATATATTGCATCCCACAGTACTACATTTTTCTAGTTTACAATAATCTTTTTGGTATAATTGAATACTTCTCTGCTAACACCCAAATTATTTTATCGTGAAAAACGGCAGTCTGTTGATTTTTTAACTAAACAATAAATGTATTAATGGGAATAGTTAGTTTCATTTTATTAATGATAAAAGACAAAGGCAAATTTTTTACTTGTTTAATTGCTGTGATATTAATATGGAAAAAAAGAAAAACAATTTGGTAAGTATTTGGATAAATTTTTAATGAAAGATTATACAAAAGGAATTAATGTTATTTTGCATGTTATTTTCTTAATTGTAGTAAACCTTTCAGTTCCATCAATCCAAAATTCACACCATAGATTTCCTTTTTTTCATCAATGATTTCCTGGGTTTCTTGACAGCGCTCTTCGAAAGAGGGGAATCGGTAGAACCTTTTGTGATCTTCTTGGTACCTTTCTTAGCTTTGTTTGGAATATTGATAGAATCAACAACAGACTTCCTCCTCATCCTCACAGAAATCTCTTCGTCACTCGAAAAATCGACACTTACCATGCTGCTATTGGCAGTGGTATTGGCCTGATCAGCAATAGATCCAGCTACTTGAATGTCCATGTCAACTCCAAGGTCTTTAATTTTTTTCTGCATCTTCCTCAGCTTGTTGTTGCCTTTCTTTGCCCGCTCCTTCACAGCATCATCAGAGAGTTTTTTGTTGCTAGCTTGAATCTCCCGACGCCTTCGAATGGTTCCAGTGCAGTTTGTTTCGTTGATCTTGCGGCCAATGAAGATTTTAGGCCCAGGGTTCTCAATGACTGTTGCTTTCAGTAATTTTGTGAACATCAGGTAGTTGTTCATGGTTTCGGCCACAATTGGAGCAACTTCTTTCACCTTAAATTCAACAAAAGCGTAGCCAAGACTACGGCCTGTTTTGTGGCTTCTGTAGAGCTTCACATTGGTCACTTTTCCAAACTGATTGAAAAAAAGATCCATCTGCTTTTCGTAAAAACCGTGTGGGACGTGCCTGATTAAAACAACGCCTCGCTCATTGGTGTTGCTCTTCTCTTTGGGAACCTTCACCTTTCCAACCTGTAAAAGAGAATTTGTGAATAAATTAGGCATATATAGGAAAAATGTGAACTAAATAAAATTAAATACATACCTTGATTAGCTTCTTGATGCTGGTCATTGCTTTGCTGAAAGCTTTTTGCGAATCTTTTCGCAAAGATACATTTTCTGGCTCCATGTTTGATGACCTCTTAGCTTTTGGAGTCTCCATCATATTAGTTTTCTTGCTGCTCGCTGAAAAATGATAAATAAAGCATGCGTGTTTAGAAGATTAAAATCGCAAAGCATTATTTTTTACGTCAAAAGACAGAGGAATATAATAAACGTACATAAATGCATGAATGATACACAATAAAGAAGTTTAACAAAGTCAAAACTTTACATACTGTACAGATATGAAGATACACAGAGTGCAGAGAAGTCTCCTAAGCTCGGTGCTCGGTTTCGACGAACAACGAACTCAAACAAAACAGAAATGATTTTGGCGACTTCGACCACCTCGTTTTTAATTTTCACGTGGTTTGCCGACTGTCGTTGTAGAGTGGGCGTACCGGCATGGCCAGAGCAGAACTGCCAACAGTGCTAACATAAAAAGTTTATCGTTCTTCTTGTGCGTTTCCGAAATTCAAGGTCGCGAAATCTGTTGGTACGACTGTTAATGTGTGCATGTTTCAACTTGTTTGAAAACACGAGCAGCACGACTCCGGCTACTTGTCAGATAAATTTTCTTCTTCAAAAGTGAGAAATTTAGCATTTTTGTGAAGTTCTGCATTCTTCGCGTCATTGTGTGTGTGTGACTGTGAGCGACACAATAGCCTAAAGCGTCACCTTCTCGTTGATTGTCTCTAGTGATTTTCTTCTGCAGTCTTTTGAATTGGACCATTTGAAATCTTTGAAAATCTTGGAAATCTTCTGAAGAACGTGAGTTAAAACTTGGAATATTTATTGCACGAATGCGTATATATCCAATATTCCCATTAGATTCAACAAGTTGAGTTTTTTTAATTATGTATCACATACACAAAATCATACATTTTGCCCTGAGGGAATTTGATTTACGTTTATGTGTGTTTATGCAAAATTCTAATCTAGTACATAATGTACATATGATAACTTACAATGCATAACTATAATTGTATGTATACATATTCATTTACTACATATATACATTTATTTTTTATTATACATATCTACATATCCCTAATACATATTGCAATCTATACCATATGTTTTTCTTATATTTTGTTGTTACTTGTAAAATGTTCAAAGTAAATTTATTAAATTTCATTTTTTTTTTTCAGACGATGAGTAACCAAGCATTGCTGCCCGCGCCAAATTGGTTCCTCAACTCGCTGGCAGACTGTTCTGCTGATGGAACCTTAGCATATGGTTCTAGAAATGGACTGGTTCTTATCCAGTCAATTGCTTTTTCTGAAGGCCATGCACCTTCACCAGAGTTCAGTCTCATTCCTAATGCCCACAAAGAGCGAATCACTGGTGTCTCCTGGTCAAACAGGACCCTCAATGAAGAGGCGCCTAAGTATCTTTTGGCCTCTATCTCAGATGACTGTGCAGTTGCTGTTTGGGACACAGATTCTCTCTCATTGGTCCAAAAGCATCACGAGCATGTACATATTTTCCCATATATATTTTGCTCAGTTTTTACTTCCCGCATTTTTTTTCTATGCAGAAGTTTCCCATCATTGACGTTGACTGGACCAAGCTTGGGGACCTCCAGTTAGTGTCTGCAGACGACAAAGGCTACATGGTGGTTTGGGATTTGGTGCGCAGTGAGGTCAGAGTCCTGAAGCCACTGACTTCCTCATCAAAACTGCAACCTAACGTCTTGAGGTGCAGCCCAGTTAATCAAGATATAGCTGCGGTTGGCTGCAAAGATGGCCTTGTTTGCATTATTAATATCAAGGGTAATTTAAATAAAGAAGTAGTTGAAAGTATACTAAAAAATTATTGTAGGTCCAGGAGTTATTCAGCAAAGACATCGAGGTCACGACAAGGCAGTCGTCTCTCTTTCCTGGTGCCCTGATACAAACAAACTGGCTTCTAGTGGTATGGACCAGATAATTTTTGTGTGGAATAATGGCCAAACTGAGAAGACTATCCAATTGCCCAACAAGTAGATTTGTATATTATTTTGAGATTCGATTATTTTTAAATATTTTTTCTGTTAGATCCATAAGTGGAGTGATAAAATTCAAGCCAGGAGAGAAGTTACAGGGCAACATGAGACAGCCTGTTCTGTTTTTAAAACCAGATCTAATTGTTTCTGGTTCCATGAATGCTGAGGTTCTATCGTGGAATTTGACAGAAGAGTCTATTTCTCCGACCCTCCTTCACTCCGACCACAATCGAGGTCTCTTCTGCTTAGCTGCTCATGATAAAGTTGTTTGGTCGATGGCCCAAGATAGACTTGTCATCCACCACAACTTGGCTTCAAACACAACCTCTGTGTTTTCAACTTTGGGTGGCTTTGTTTACTGCATCGCCCCGTGCCCCTTTGCACCTGGAAGAGTAGCTGTTGGAGTTGGAGATGATTCGATTAGAATCTGGAGTATGACTGACACCACTGGGAAAAGCTCGTCAACTATTTGGAGTAGAGTAAAGGTTTGCTAATATAAAATGTAATTCTTGATATAAAAGCTAATAATTTTGCAAAGGGGAAAGTTTTGTCCTTAGCTTGGCACCCAGAGAAAGAGGGAGAGCTTGCTTTTGGAACTAGTGATGGACGTGTTGGAATTTGCAATGCTTCTAACCCTGCCAAGGAGGTGCTAATAATGCGTCAATATCACAAAAGTAGCATTTACAGGGTAAACTGGGGTCCTGCTGTGACCGGTGTTTACCAAAAAGATAAAGAAGCTCCTGAGACCAACTGGTACTTGTATGCATGCGATGACAACAATGCTGTTGTCTACATTGACTCCTACTCAATACCCAAGCCTCTGAAGGTCATTATCAGAGCCTCAAACCCTCAAATCAAGGAAGATATCAAGCAAAAAGACATCGCTTGGAAACCTGACCGATCTCTCCTTGCTCTTGGATTGGAGGATGGCTCGATTCAACTGCTGACTGCTCCACACCTCCAGTGCATTCACACTCTGCGATCTCACAAGAAGATGATCTTTTACCTTTCCTGGCACCCAAGCTGCACTGCTGTAGATGAGAAAGACGATGACAGGCAAAACTGGTTGGCTTCTACTTCTATGGATCAGCAAATCCATATTTACAATCTGACTTCATTGCTGGCTGAAGGTAATAATTATTTATTTTTTACTATTACATCTAAGGCAAAGTGTGGGATTTATTAATTTAAATTATTACAAAATCATCTGACAAACTACGTTATAACCAAATGTGCAAGGCGCATCATAGAGTTGCCCGTTGTACATGTAAACACATGCTTTTACACCTGTGCCAAAACTGTTAGGTTCACCATCAGCCCAAAGTGTAGAATTCACCAACTGTCCATTTGCCCAAGTAAAATTTCCAGGCTCTCCGTCGCTTCCAGATGTCCAATAATACCCTTGGCAAATAATAAATTATTCTATTGTTAATATTTACCTATTTGTTATCATACATAAAATAGGTGCTCCACTCCAAGCCAAATTTAATTCTTCCACAGTTTCTAAATCAGCTAGCAATCCACCTTGGATGCTGCAAATTTGTTTAGCAGTTTCCCAGTTAACCTGGTTAAGATAGTTCATTGTTAATATAGCTTTCACAATTTTTTTAACGATCTGCCTTACGTATGTCATAATGTAGTAATTGAATTCCTTTTTATCCTGAGCGCTTATTTTGTTGAATGCCAGAAAGGTAATCAACATTGAAAGAACTGTTTGGGACTTGCACATGGTAAAGCAAAACTCCGGCACTGCGATCAAAAGAATTATGAAATTTTCTGCTGCAAAGCAATAAGATAATATTATCAATACTTAAAATCCGCATCTAATCAAAATATTATCTTTGAATTTAAAATTTATGAAGGATAATTTTGGGTAAAAAATTATTGAACAAAATATTGCACTGTATTTCATGTAATTATTATTTTATTTCATGCATTTTTTAATTTGCAGGAACAGAAAAAGTTTGGAAAGGTGCGCCTCTACCACTGGAGCCATTATCAGAGCTCAAACACGGGGGAAAAGTGGTGTGCTTAGCCTGGAACCCTCATGTTGGAGGACAGCTTGTGTCATCTTCCTATGACATGTCAGTCAAAGTTTGGGATGCTGCCAAGGGAGAAGTGTTGGCTTGCTACGTCGAACACAACGGATGCGTCATGAGCTGCTGCTGGAGTGCATTGCACCCTGATATAATAATCTCTGGCTCTGCTGACTTCACCTGCAGAACATGGAAAATATCTCAATCACCTGCAGACAGCAAGCCGGTGTCAAGATCAAGTAATTTTTCAGTTAAGCACGATAAATTAATCTTATGTTTCAACTAATCATTTAGAGTTTCGAGAGCAGCAAAAGGGGCCTACAGTTCTACCAATTCCTGTGAACCCTTCCTCTTCTGAATTGCATGGTAAAATTGATTTTATGTTTACAAATCAGCATTCTAAAAATTGATTTTGTGTGAAGAACCTAAACCTGCAGCTAATGGAATAAAGCAAAGCACCAAGCCCCATGACAAACCTCAGCAGAAGCCTAGCACAAAAGTTACGGTTTTCCCCCTTTCCAATGCATCTTTTGTCAAAAATTCAATGGACTGCTGTGTGAAACTATTGGAGAACAAAGGATTAGAGCCTCCTGGCAAGAAAATCAAGTTGAATGAGAACAATCGTGGAGATGACCAGAATGAAGTGAATCATTTTGGCTTCTTCACTTCACAAGATGACGCTGTTGAGCTGTTTACTAAAGAGGGTATGTTACATTATAAATTGTTAAAGTGGCAAAAAGCATAAATAATTTCCTAATTATTCTTTGTCAAAGCTGAGGCACTGAAGCGCATGAACAACCATGTTGGATTTCAAAATCTGAAGCTTTGGCAGGGTGACATGCAGCAAGTGATCAAAGACAGCATCAAAGCAAAAAAGTTAGATGATTGGCTGGTTTCAATGGCTCCATCAGTATCTCACAAGTATGGATATTCATTTTGATTAATATATAATTATTATTATTTTTTTTTTTTTTTGCAAAAAAAGTCTTCGCAAGTTGAAATTTCATGAAAAATTGAAAAGAAAAGAAATTGAAGGCCTGTAATAATTTTCCCAATATTTTCTTGGTATAATATTACATTATGATTTTTTAGATTTTGGCTGGAAACCTGTGCAGCGTATGCAGAGCAGCTTGTTGAAGAGGAAAAAATCTTGAAAGCTGTATCTTACTTTGTTTCCTGCCATAAAATCACAGAGGCTGTGACTGTGCTTCAAAAGCACAATTTGTACAAAGAGGCAGTCGCACTTTGCAACTTGCGTCTTCCTGCTGGTGATCCCTTGCTTACTGAAACTTTGAGAGCCTGGGGAAAGTGCAGCCATGACACTGGAAACTTTGAGATTGCTGTGCAATGGTAATTAAATTTATTCATTTTTTACTTTGATTTAAAAAGGTTCTCCTAGTTACATTGCCGTTGGTGATTATGAAAAAGCTGCTACTGTTTTGTACAAACGAAAGGACCCCAACATGTGGCAGCTTGGCACTTACCTTGCCAAAGTGGCTAATTGCAATGAACTTTTCCTGAGCATGACAATAGAATGCTTCTACAACTATCTAATGAACCAAGATTGGGACGCTGCGAATGCCATCATATCAGAGATTCCTGAGCTTGTGGTTAGTATTAAAATTTAAAATGTTGGACACAATTTTACATATAATTAATTTTAGCACCTTCGAGGAGTTCTGAAAACTCATCAGCTAGTGTGCAGCAAGGATAAAGAGGGCTTGAATATAGAAAAAGGTTCAGATCTGTCAGAGTCAAATGAGTCGATCATTACCAATTTGGAGGGGGTGCTAGATGACATCTCATCTGAGCAGTTTCATGAATTGGTGCAGCAATTCCCTTTGAGCAGTCAGTTACCAGAAACAAAGAAAGAAGTAAAATATAATATTTGTAGGGACTTAAATTTTGACCTTAAAATTTTATTTGAAGCTCCTGGTGACCACTTCCAAGCTTCTTCTCTTAGGAGCTGCTGGAAAGAAGTGTGGAAATGAGGACTGGGAGCGGTATATCATCTTGGCTCTTCATCTGAATTACAGGAGGAGTGTGGTTGTTGTTAAAGAACGACCACTGCATCACTTGTTCTCCTGGCTGGGCAACATTGTTCTGACCAAGTATCTCAAAAGTTTTGAGTCCTTCAAAGCTGCTGCATATTTGGCTACTGCAAGCAAGGACGATCCTGAGCTATTGTCAAAAATCAATGAAAAAAAGTCATTGTTGATGGACACTGAGACTGCCTGTTTTGCCCGCCTTGAAGTTCTGATTCCAAACCTTGAAAAGAAGCTGGCCACAGCGCATGCAGGCAAAACTGACATTAGCAAGTTGCAGAGTCAACTGCTCACCCTCAAAGAAGAAAAAGAGGACTTGGAAAAGACAAGGGTTGCCTTCCCAAACCCGTTCATCATTTTTTGCAAACTGCAAGGCCTAGTTGAAAGTCTCCATGCCAGTTTGCAAACTGGTCAACTTGAAGAGCTTGAAAGAGAGATGGACACTTTCCGTGCTACCATTCAAGAATGAATAACGACAGCAAAGCCTACTGACCTCTTGAATTTAATTTTGTGATACACATAGCTGTGTAATCTGCATTTCCTTTTATTTCATTGAAAAATGGAGAGACACCATTCATAGAACGTTGCTCTCATTTTTGTTGCTGTTCCAAAAAGAGTATACAGCAAACTGAATCATTTATTCATTTCAAATGCAATTTCTTAAATTATATTGAGTAATACTAAAAAATCTGTAGGAATAAATAAAATTGAAGATAAATTATTTGTTTACTTCAATAATTTACTTGCAATGTATTTAACATACATGATATTAATAATAGCAATAATATAAAAAACTTACATACTTTTAAGAGGAAGTAAATGCTCAAAAATGATTTAGTCTGTACCAAAATACTTCTGACCAAAGTGATTGGGTGCCACTGGGTCTATCTCGGAAGTAAGAATAACCATCTGTAAAGTAAAAATTAATTTTGCTCTCATTACTGATAATGATCATAATCCAGTATCAATTTATATTATACCTGTGGAAATTTGGCTGTTAAAATTCGTGCTGCAAACGGAGTGCAAAATAAGTTTGACAAGATAATGTTCTCTTCAGGAACACAATGTTCTTTAAGGACAGTAACAGCCTTGACTACAGTGTTTCCAGTGCCTGCATTATGAATTTATTGAATTGTTAATTGTTTCTCAACAAATAGGGACTTACTCATTATAGGATACATGAGAAGCACTTTTCGACTGGATATATCGTCTGGAAATCTTGCGTAAACAACCCTTGCTTCGTGTGTATCTGCATCAGACTCGACTAGGATTTTGCCAATTCTGATGGATCTGCAGCAATCACGTAGTCCCTGAATTTTTTGATTCGTTAATTGTGTCTACTTAAAAAATCACATCTTTTACTTGCTCCATAGCTTCTCCGCTGCGAACAATACTGACACCACAATTTCCTTTTTCGTACTTCAGGCCATTATATTCACTTCCAGTCGGAGTTGTTATTGTGACTTTGGAAAATGGCAGTTGGTTTAAACTCTCTTCAATAACAAGTCGAATCTGATAAAATTGTCAAAAATTAAATTATTTTGCTGTATTTAAATATGAAGATTATTACTAATCTGTCAGCATAAAATTTGAAGTCGCTCCTTGAAGTGTTCCTTAGAAAATTTATATTTAGCACATTTGATTGTATATTTTAGTCAATACTATAAATTTTAATAAGTACTTGTCTCTCAGGATTGTTTGCAACTCTTTGATTTGATCATTTGTAGGAAGAACTTTGACATTTGGTCCAAAATCTTCAACCTTGTCGGCCTTCCGAACTTCCTCCATGGATCCCATGTTAAAATCTTTAATTTCCAAGTCCTCCCTCATAACATAGAAACTGTAAAAATCAGAAACCAACAAAGTATTAATTTACATACTCGTTCACTGAGCTTATTTAAACCAAGTTGACTCAAATTATCAATTTAACAAACTTACACGGTTCAATGAAACCATGTGACGAGATGGTGCAAAATGTTATTAACCCGTTTAATACACACAGCATGCGATCGGAGGCCGCTGCTGTCGGATTGGATTGGTGGATGTCATTTTCATTTTCTCAATGTTGCCAACATTTGAAAACTCTTCTTTCTACGTTAATTCATTCCAAAGTTGTAAAGAGGTAAATATTTGAGAAACAATTTACAATTTTCATTAGAAAAAGTATTAAAAATTTAAATTTAAAATCTTGTTCAAAAGTGAGACGTAAACGTTGTGAGATTTTAAGATGCTATATTATGGTGGCTACAGATTTTTCCACAGCTGGCTAGTTCCATTGTTGACATGGTTGCATATTGACAAAGTCGGTGTGCTTGGGTTTCACCTGGGTTCCACTCCTCGCGAGCTAAATTTTGGACTCACTTTCGAGTTATGTCTATTTTAGCTGCACACATCCGACCGCTGCAACGACTTGCTTAGGTGAGCAGTAGGGACTCGTAATTTAATCTACACACGGTGGTTAAATTAACAGTAAAAAGTGAGCTTGACCAGCATGGCCTAGAAATGCAATGGTTCTGTCTCATTCAAACTATTATAGCTTTTTCCATTTCTTCCGCCGCCGTGGTTGCTTTGCTAATTCTGATAAAAATTGCTTTGTGATGTCTCTAGTTTGTTGATATAAATTTTTACTCCGTTTGAACTGAATATTTCTGCTTTTTTAGATGGCATCATCAAGAAGGATAACAGTTTATGGTAGCAAGCCGCCTTGCGCAAGCCAAGCTCGCGTGGAGGAACGTCGAAAGGCTGCACTTGCCATTAAAACTGAAAAGGACCGTAAACCAGATAACAAGCCTGACGATTTCATCAGATATGAGGACAGCGAAGAAGAGGACGAGGAGTGCTCACAGCAGGCTGTCAAAATTTCGAACAGCTTCGTTGACTACATGAGTATCAGAGAGCGAAATGGAGGCGCAAAATCTTGTGAAAGACTGAGTGTGAGCTGCGAGCATGGCACCAGGCACATGCTCACACATGAAATGTTCAAAGAGCACAATGTGAAACTTGGAAACATGAACAAAGTTTTCTGCTCACAGTGGCTCAGCGACCGACAAGTGGTGTTTGGGACAAAGTGCAATAAGGTTTGAAAAATTGTACAAATCAAGTTCAAAGTTTTATGGATTTAAATAATCTTTTGCAGATCATGGTTTATGATGTGGTAACACAGCGGTTAGATCAAATTCCTTCTCTTGTTGGAAGACGGGAAGCTGGGCCTGCAGGCGATGGTGGACAGTGCGGGATACATGCAGTACAGATCAACCCCTCTAGGACCCTTCTAGCCACAGGGGCCAGAAATTCAAGTGAAGTAGCTGTTTACAGACTTCCAACGATGGATCCTGTTTGCCTTGGAGAGGTATCAATAAAATAAATAAATATTAAAGCATTTTTATCAAAATCTCTTTAGGGAGCTCACGGAGACTGGGTATTTGACATGTGTTGGCTTGACGACCAGTTTCTAGTGTCGGGCTCGAGAGACACGCGAATTGCTCTTTGGAGGATCAAGGACGAAGAATTTGAAAAAGGGCCTGGGACTGCCGACATGCCTAGTTACAAAACTATCCAGCCCCTGTCAGTGAAAGAATGCAAGTCGGCGCAGAAAGTGCGTGCGCTCACTTACAACAAGGCCTTTGAGGAGGTTGCAGCCCTGTCTCTCAATGGGTTCATTCACATCTGGAATGCCCACAACTTCAAGCAAAAACTGTCCCGAAAGCTGCCCTCTTGCCAAGAAAATGTTTGCCTGGCCGTCCAGGACACTGGAATGTATGCCGTCGGCTGCCGCTCTTACACTCTTCTGTTAGACCCAAGAACTCTGCAACCAATCAAGAAAGTTCCGTCTAGATACAGTGGATGTGGTAAGATTTCTGATAAAGAATCATCATTTACACCAAAATATAAATGTGTTAGTGATTATTAAATATGAATCGTTATTTATTTTCAGGCATTCGTTCTGCCAGTTTTCTAGGAGAAATCCTTACTATTGGCACCGGCGTAGGGGTGTTGATGTTTTATGATCTGAAAGCCGGGAAGTACATGGAGTCAAGTTTGAACCAGACTAGGACTGTGGCACTGAAAGCATCCAAGGGTTGGGTGGTAAGTACTTCATAAAACTGTTTATTTGAAAATTAAGTAACATGTACAAATTTTAATTCTATAAGTATCCTGATGAAGAGTTTATGGACGTCATACAGCACATAAAGTACACCCCTGCAATTTACACCCACTGCTACGATGCGTCAGGGACCAGACTCTTCACAGCAGGAGGACCATTGCCAGCCAATTTGTATGGAAATTACGCCGGTCTGTGGCAGTAAAGAAACACTCCATTAGTTTAATCAACTGTCAATTTGTTGTTACGTGAGAAGGATTTTGCGTCATTTTTGTGTCCTTCATAGTGAGAAGCAGGTGAGAAGAGCAAACGTAGTGCTGGTTTCCTATTACTTGAGCAGTATCAATTTTTCCTTTATTCCGAATTCTATGGTGAATTGAAAATTTTGCTTTTTTATTACGAGCTGAGCTGCTTTTGAAATACTCAAGTATTCAATATTTCAATAATATGTATTTCTTGCATCGCTGCAAACGGAGCCATTCTTGATTTATGTCATTAGCATTGCTTTTATAAGTTATAAAAGGTTATTGTTTCTAAAATGCTGAGCGCGACGCTTGACATTTAATCATTTTCTGTCTGTTTCTAAGTGTCAAAATTTTAATTGGTTGAACTCCACTAGATCCTAAATTTTTATCGATTTGAGTAAAAACAGCAATGGATTTTTACAAATCAGCTTCATACAAACATATACTTAAATCTTTCATTTTTTCCCTTTTATAGAAATTATTTAACTTGATCACAAGGTGTGTGCTTTAAAGATTAATAGAAGAAGTATTATCTTTTACAATCCCGTGCATAATGCAAAGAGTAGGGATATCCTCGAGGGTGCTTAATGATGACCCAGAGGAAGGCCTGTAGGTGGAGTGGAGGTGTTGTCTGCAGTAGCGAGTATTGATCCTCCACACGTGCTTTGCCCTCCGACAGATGGCAGGCACGCTCCGAGGGCTTGCCGTAATGGTGACAACAAAAACGTCACTTCCGCGAACATAACACCATTGATTGCCAGTCTCTCCCTATCGATTATTGAAGACAAGTTTGCATGCAGACCCCGTGCTGGCCAGTTTTCTTCGGGAATGCGTCGCGATTCGTCCGAAAAGTTGGTGCGTCGGCCCTGCTAGTGGCTGCCAAGCCCGCGGACACTGCGGTATAGGACGAGGAGTCAGACTATGGCAGTAGCACTCCCACTTCGACACTTTGCTAGGTAATCTTCTTTTCTCGCCCCTTCCGCGACCTTCCACCTGTCAGGTTACCCCCGGATTGACTTGCAGGTCACCGTCCAGGTCCTCAGTGACCGTTCGGAAGTGAAATGATCTCATTTCCAGTCGGCACGGGGCCGAATTCTGGATTGATTGACAGATCTCAACGGGCCATAAACACACACAACTCTGCCCTTGCGGTGTATGCGGGGTCGGTTTGGGCGAGGGTTGGGCCCGAGGGTTTATTACCAAGGTGCGTTGTCGGTCGGGGTCCTGCGGTTCGAGGCCAACGAGGGTTGCGGAACGCCAGGTTTCTGTCAAAATTTTCCTCATTTTACTGCACGGGTGCGTTTGTTTGCCAAATGCGGCACGATTTAATATTCATCATCCACTCTATTCCGTCGCAGACTATTCGGGCGGATGAATGGACCGCTTGCAGACCCTTTCTGCCTCGGGCTGCTAATTAACTCTGTCCACTGTTAATTGAGTGTCATTTATTTTCGTCGTTGTTGACGGCCGTAATTTGTCTTGGGACACTCTGCGCCGCTGTCAAGAAAGACGCTCGACCGCGATGAAAATTGGACGTAATTAGCCGTCCGACTTAGATTTTTAGTTTGGACACTTTGGACAGGCGGCTTGGGAATTCGCGAAGAAGTTTATCTGTTTAAGTTTTGAAACTTTGACTCTAAAGTAGGTGGGGGCTGGGTGCAGCTTATTGAACTAATATATGCATGGTTGCAAAACGCAGTTAGCAACAACTTTTTCATTGTAAAGCATTTTTCAAGTTTATTTTCTTAAATGAGTGTTTAAAAATAAATTCAAGTTATACAAGAGGGTAATCAATAAAAATAAATTATTTAAGCTCAGAAAATTATTATTGCTCTGTTATTTTTGCACTTTCAAAACAATCCAAGATAAACATAATATTTTTCTGTATTTTTCTTTCTCTCTTGCGCATGATTTGATTTAAAGAAAAATACAAAAAACATATTTATTAGGTTGTGCGCCTTTGTAGTTTTTTTGTTGTTCCTAGCACAAAGGACCAGTTTTTACTCGGATGATTTTTAATTTTTACTTCCTACTTGGAAACAAACCCTTTGAAGTCACCGAACTTAATTTAAAAGGGCGGCAATCGCTACTAAAGCGAGCAATTACGGACGCAACTTTGCCGGTTTCTGCGTATTTTCCTTAGAACAGAGCGACCATTGTTTCCTCCTTTTCTCTAGCAAGAGGGCACAAAGAAAATGTTGCAACACATACGTTGCGATAAAAGGCCTTAGCAGTATGTCGAATGAAAGCCGCGCTGAAATCGCAGTCGACCGAGATTGTGCGCAGCCATAGAAATATTAGCCATCGGCACTGATTCTCCGCCGGCCAAGAGTGCCGAAATTGCCCAACGGAGCCCCTCGGTGGGAAATGGATTGGAAAAACTGTGCAGGGAAGAAGGAACTTGGCGGCTGACTTTGATCTGCTGCCTGCTCGCTTGACCGAAATAACGAATTCTGAATTAACGAGGAAATGAAAAGGTTGAAAGGGCAAAGTAATTTAATTCTTGTCTAAAGAAATAACGCTCAAACAATTCACGATTTCTTTCTTTTTGAATTATTTTCCCAAGTTTCTTTTTGTTCACTCATACAAAATATTCAAGATCAGTGTTTTTATATATTAATAATTTATTTAAAAAATGTAATATAAATTCAAATTATTTTACTAAATTTTTTTATTTAATTTAAAAATAAAAAATTAATTAATTCCCTGAAACAAAGATTTTCCTTTAGCAAGTCCAAAGCTTTTATAATAATAAGCATTGTGAGGGACTCGTATTAGTTTTAAGAGCCGTTCTCTGTCGGAAAAGTGAAACTCGTTATGGCACACAATAAAAAGCCAATTTAGAATAAAAGCTGCGCTTAATCTCAAACAAAAGACCGATCCGCTTGAAGGTCCATTGAATTGTTCCCTGAAAATCTGCGCTCCCCAAGCTTTTCCACGTGTGGGCCGCCCCATATCAAATGGGAAAAATTAATCAGAAGAATCGCTTTTCAAGAGCTTGCCGAGCCGACTTTCCTCCTCCTTTCTCTCTCTCACAATCAGGGTATTATTTTTTCCTTTCCTCCTTATCTAAATCCCCGGTCCGCTTGGCAGGGAGCAAGAAACGCTCGCTCACTCGCAGTCAAGTATGTTTCCATTTCCAGATTAAAACTCGGATCGAACAATGAATCGGAGGCATTCTTGGCCCTACAAGACTTTAATTGGGTCGAGTGTGCCGCCGGAAATTCGCCCCCGGGGTGCGCTTGTCCACCCTCGAAGCTTTTTGGTCCTCCGCAGGGACACTTTGGCCGAGACTCATCATTATTGCACGCCAAATGTTGGACGTATTCGGAATTTCGGGTGCCGTTTCCGTAATGTCGTTAATGCGCCCTAAAAGTCGCTCAAGTGGCAATAAAGGCTGTGAACAGGAACAACGGGCTGAGTGATCGCGGTACATGTAATTTCGGCGTAATTGGCGTTGAATAATTTATTAATAGGCTGCCATACGCTTCTGTGGAACTGCTTCTCGAAAGCGAATTGCGAGAATTCCCACTTGAAAATCGCACTGCTCAAAATGGTAATGATAATCGATCTGTCAATAGGCACTCTCGTTCTCAAGAGCTCCCAACGCGTGTTTCAGGAAAGCTGAGATGAAGACGAATGGAAACATTTCCTTTTCATTTCCAGTCAAGCTTTACAGTGAGGCTGTCAATGATATAATATTTTTGCTCCAATATAAATCTGTGTTTTGAGCTGAAGAGGGCTTATTGAAATTCAGCAATTGAGAAACACTTGGGGAAAATTTTAAACAATTTACTCTCATGGTGATAAATAATTTTAATTTTTTAAACAGAAAAGGTCCCTCTTAAATTGAAAAATCACCATTTCAAATCAGCAATTTAAGTTAATGCCAAATTGATTGTAAAAGCAACATCGATTCAACCTTCCTTTCAAAATATGTCACTTGCTAGTCATAAAATACAAAAATTCAGTTAGAGTTTTTATGGTCTTCATTTCGCCTCATTATTAATCAAAATTTTTGCGATAGTTAAATATTGAAAAAGAAATCAAACACCTTTATACATAAAATGGGCTCTTCCTGTTTGTTGATGAAAAATTATATAACAAAACACAAATTTTACTGCATCTTTATACAAAAAATATATTTTAATTAAATTTTTTTAATACAATTAGTTTCAGCTGAAAAGAAATATTTTTATCAAAGGATCAAAATAGTTAAATACCAAATATTTTCCAAACAAAAATCAATATTCTGCCTTCTAATAGGCTCGTCCCTTCACAGTCGCCTTCAAAAACATCTCTTTCAACTCGCAACGAGATCCAACTTACGAATATCCTATTATGACTATTTCCCTGAATTATGCAAATAAATAGGTAGGTTGATTGGTGAGTGGCGTCCGTCGGAAACGGAATACAAAGCACCTAACCCTTCGTCTCTCCAATCCTATAATTACCCCTGCCTTCGACGACGAACGACCGAACGCTCGTTACAATATTACAGAATAGAGGAAAACCGACCCACGCGTTCTTGCTCCACAAGCAGCACTAAAAATTCATGAATGGGACGCCGGCGTCTCTTCTTTTCTAATACGGAACCCCCGCAATTCACCGACTTAATTTCCATACACAACGCGTGTGACACATGTTTTTTCTTATCGCTCTCACGAGACGTTTGCCTTCAGAACAGGATGCAATTACACAAGGGCGCGCACACACCATAATTCTTTCGTAACAAAAAAAAACTTGAAAAATTTCAACCTTTTTTGCCTCTAACCTCTCTCTCCGTTTGTGTTGCAGCTCGTCGTTGGTGCACATGCAATAATATTTGAAAAATGACTGCCAGAGACAGTGTGCTGCTGGTCTTGCTGGCCGTGTGCGGCCTCGGCTGGGCCGCTTGGCAGGAAAATATCCGGCCCAAGATGTACGTCCAGCTAGGTGAGTGTCTTCCTCCTTTATCTTATTCTTGTGTGAGAAGTCGCGGGGCGCCGCGCTCAATTATTCATAGCGAACACCTTGCTTTTAACGCAGAACGACTCGAGTTGCTGCTGCTGTCAGAATTAACTGCTGGCGTGAAAATAAATTACCACTCACGGCAAAGAGCAAAACCTCGTGCCGACGAGTCGAGTGGGTTTTGCACAAGAAAATGGGTTAAGCGACTTTTTATTCTATTAACTGCAGTGCGCAGACTGCTTTGCTCCTACTTCAAAGAATAATTTCCCAAACAAAGTAAGAGCTCCAGAGGAAATTTTATTTTCAACTTTTTTAACCTCGAGAGAAAAATCTTTTGTTTTCTTAGCTTTTTTAATTTCTCATTTATATATAAATGCAAAGAATCCTTAAAAAATACTATTTGGAATAACAAGGAGGTGTTGGAAATGAAATTTTGGAAATTTTCTAAATCATAGTAAAAAATAATAGTAAAATTTCCACATTTTCAAATCAGGGCAAAAACTATTGATTGAAAAAACGTTTGGAGATGGAATTTTATGATTATAATCAATCATACGCCCATAATTATCTGACCCTCGTCAAAATCAGTTTCTGATCAATCAAAACATATACGCAAGCTCGAACGCTTTGCAGAAACACCAAATTGGTTCTCCAAGCGTACAGTATAAGCTTTGGTGCCTTTATTAATTCCAGCAGGTCTGCGGCATCACATTCGGTCGGGTTCGCATCCCTTTCAATTGGCCCGGCAATCAGAGCAAATTGGGCCGCTGGCCGGTCCTTGTGTGTCATTAGACCATTGTCCGCTGACAAGTGTTTGAATTACTACTTTATGCAATCGAGCAGTGTCACATTCAAAGTGAATTATGAAAATTGGGCCGTAAACGTTTTTACAGCAGTGGTGCACGAATTTATTGCGCGATATTACCGACGGAGCTGAAGTACATGACAAAAAAAATGGAACGTGACGTGTCCTCCTCTTATTGATCCTTTCCTCTGAGCAGAAAATTGTGTTACAATTCCATTGGATATTGCGCCGGAGGCGTTATTTGAGTTGATTTGTGCAAACTAGGGAAAATAGCCGTGTTTGCTTGTTATTTCCAATCAGAAGGTAAGAATTAATCCAGATCAATTATAAAAGAGGGAATTTAATTCGACGATTGTTATGTTTGGCCATCAGATATAAAGCTGGGATTAAAATTTCAGTAATATCCATTAGCCGTCCGAAATAATCGGCAAACATTTATAAGTTAGTAATGAATAACAGAATCAAATTTTACTGTTTCAAAATGATCTGCAAAATTTCTTTGGTTGGTCTGTAAATCAATCAAATGATATTGTATGCTTTGAAGTAAATCTGACCAATTTTAGATATTTTAAAAAGTTGTTATAAATAAAACAACCACATATCAAATTTATTCATATTATGTTTGCTCTCAAGTTTTCAGTTTTAATGTGATACATAAAAGTATTGTTCAAAAATACTGCAGAATTTTGAAATTGATTACTTTTTGCATATGTTTGTTAATTATAATATTGGAAATAAATTCAATTAATTTATTCTCTAGCAACAAGTCTTTCAGCAAATAATGGAATATAAATAGAAAAAAAATGCGTTTTTATTTGAAAACATTATAAACGCCAAATGTTTTTGCAGTTCCAAGTTAAACATAATTTTTGTTTTCATATTAAAAAAATGGACGACTCCTCATTTGATGTGTTTATTGTTATTGTGTTTTTTTAACGGAAGCGTTTGTTTTTTGCATGTTAATTAAGCATCAAAGGATGCTTGTTTAAATAATTATATATTGCCGACGGTTGGAAAAATTTCCTAAAAACTTGGTAGGTAATGTTTACAAACTGATTATTTGAGCCGTAAATAGTAAAATATTTCACTTTTTGCTTCTTGATATTTGCACAAGCGGATAAACACGGTTCTGTTTGAGTAATGGAGCACTGAAAATGGTCATTCGTTGCCTCTCGCTTTTTTCGCGGGTTTCAAAAATAACGAGAGAGCGCACAGAATAATTAATCTTGCCGAAAAAAGCGCGACCTCTGGCATTTGGTATCAAAACAAAATTCGTTATCAAAACGGAACCTGCGCCACGCTCACAAACACACGCCCACGACGGATTAATCTCATAATGAAATCCACCATTCGCCCCAGTAAAAATAGTAATCAAATTGATACAACTTTGAAGTTGGCCTATGCTCTTCTCCTTTGAAGCGGTGCGAACAAAAGGCGCGTCGAATTTCGGCCCAAATTGAATTAGCAGTAGTGGGCGAAAGTTGGAGGCGAAGGCTGTGGTGCGCGCGCGAGGCGAGAACTATTTCAGCAAATAATAAATTTTGGCGCATCTGGCGCTGCGGGGTTCAAAGAAAGGCGCCATAAAATATGAGGCGCGCACTTTTTGCATGTCTTGCACGCCATTTTTCACACCGATAGATACACTCGCACACATTTCATTAGCCGGCCGGAGGGAAAAAGACGAACGAGCGCTTGGCTTGATTTAGCGTGCGAAAATGCGCCCCTTTTGAAGTGTGGCAACACAACACTGCTTGTTGCAATTACAAGGGGATATCGCAGGCAAAAGAGGCTTAGAAAACACGAGCTGCTCGTTTGTAATTTGATTGCCATAGTGTTTTCTGTTTCTTTTTCACAATCTATAGGCTGGCAATGCAATATGAAAGTTATCAAATGAAGCTTTGCACTCAAGGATAATTGAAAATTAACTTATCTATAAAATTAGAACTTTACTTTCTCTGTTTAAGCTAATCACTGATAGAAGTTTGATAATTGAGGTTGCTGAAAATTTGTTTATTACCCAAAGTTTCATGGAACTTTATTATTGCGTGACATGTTGGATATTTTGTAACTATTAAAATTTATTACCTAATTTCATGGGGTCAAATTTCATTGAGTGAGTTATATTGCATTATATTGTGGGATTGTTAACTATGAGAAAAATCTCTACACGGGGGGTAATATTGCTGTCTACTTTTTACACGTGTTAAAATGGAAACTTTTATCCCATGTGAATTTGTGCTACATATTGTAAATTTTGTACAAGCGCTCATCTGAACCGAGGACACGTCATAAACTATTATTACTGAAATTTGTCATAAATTTTGTTTTGTGTGATAGAATGATGGAAATGGTAATAATAATGTTCAAGATTAAAGAAACACAAATATGCGCTAGAGAAAAAAGACGCAAACTTCTTCCACTTGCAAATACAACGTATTATTTTTAGTTCCAATTGGTTGAACTGCAAATAATACTTTATCGATTGCCTTTCCATTCAAACAAATCTCGATTTAAGCTCATTCTTCACAGATGTCTATTGCAAAAGCGACGCGAGAGTTGTAATGTATCTCGTTTCTTGTTTTGCGATTCACCTGCTGCCCCGATATAATATTATGTGACGGCGAATAATCCTGCGCTCGACGAGACTCGAATCGAATTTCATTCTGCTCTATTTGCAGCGAAGAGAAGTTGGCCCCGGCGAAAGCACGTGAATTTATGTAACGCTCAGCCGGCAAGAAAGCTTTGAACTTTCGCGCATTATCATTTAGCCTGATAAATTATTCACGTGCTCTTCTACTTGCTCATTATAAATATAAAGGCAAAAGTTTGAGCCCGGCAGCTCCCTTGTTGTTTTTCGTTCGGCTTTTCGCAAATTGTGTGCGGCTCGAACTCAAGTGTGCGCTCCTCGAAGGAAGCACCGACATGAAACAAAAGCAATCAGGCTTGTTTCCATTTTCCATGGCGCATGTGCGTTGTATAATAATATTTTACATTTGCTGTCGCAAGTAAACAAGTCTGTAAGATTAAGCAAAAAGTTCATCTCTCATGTGCTTGTTCAGCATAAGGGATTACTTGGGAAATCTGGAATTTATTTTAGTACTTCAATGACGTCAAGAAAACTTAATTCAGATTTGAACTGACGATAAGTTGTGAATTAAAATCTTAAGCAACTTCAAAACCAAGAGAAATTCCCATGTTTAAGATATTTCATTAACAACAACTGACTGAATTAATTATACTAAATAGCTTCTGGAATCTCATTGGTGGTAATTAAGATACTGGAATAATTATAAAGATTTCACATTAAAATTTAAAAGCCCTTCTCACCGAAAAGCGCTTTGGGGAATGAATAAATTGGTCAAGAAAATTTATATTAAACATTAAAAAAAAATTCTTTTATTTGGAAAAATTAAGAAAAAATACAAATGACCTTAAATTATATTATATTTTACCCGATTTATTACATTTTAGATTTTCATTTTGTTTTTAAATCTATGTGTCTAGTAAATATTTGATTGATTGAATTAAAAAATCTAATGTTAATATTAAATAGCCGTATCTTATTTTGAATTTAATGAATTAATTCTTACCTTTTTAAAGCATGGTAAACAAAAATTATAACGTAATATATTAAAATTTTTATGATTAAAAATTTTCTGTTACATGTAAAATGATTGCTTTGCTCACTTTCAGATTTTGGGGAATTTTTTACTGTGTGGTTTGATAATCCTCCTAACTATTTTTTTTATAACATTTAAAAAAATGTTTGATCATGTTTTGCGCTGACAGTTTCTTTTCCTTTTAAGCATGAAAGCAAAATAAAATTCCTTCCATTTTCCTCACTGTATATTGAAATTAATCAGACTTGGTAGCTACGCGACGCATAGTAATTGCGCTTATAAAAACTCCTCTCATCCAAGAACGTCTACATTTTTTTTATGCAAAAAGGCATTCCGCGTATTTTCGTCTAGTGAAAACATCAAGTATTGGAATTATTCTCTCTCGGTCTTTTTTGGCGTGCTGTTTACCCTGCAACACCCCATTAATTTCGGCTGAAAATTCCAGACATTGAGGGAAAAAGGCGGCGGCGGCGAAAGAGAGCATTGCGCGCAAAACTTCCCTTTCAAGTGTGCGTCTGCGGAGGGAGCTTTTCACGTTGCACGCCCAAACGATCGGCGCACGACGCGCGACAGAGGAAAAGATAACTTTAAACCGCGAAAATCATTTCAAAAGCAAGCCGCCGGCAGCACGGCGTAAAATTAAACTCGAGTGGCAGCGAATGCAAAAAACTGCAGGAAAATTCATGAAAACCGCACAAAAACTTCAAAGAAAAAACCAGCGACGCAGAATTAAAGCGTCGACTTAAAAAAGTGCACAAAGCGGTCCAAAGCAAAGCGAAGGGCCCCCTTCAACAATGCATTCCATTGTTGGCCCAATGAGCGGGGGCTTGGGCGAGAGAAAGAGCGAGAGAGAGAAACCGGCACTCGTCTGAAAATGCTCCATTGCGGTGGCTGCCTCGGCGGTAGGCGAATATTGATCGGCGGGAGCGCTCGCTCTGTTGGTCAACGATGGAAGTTATGTGTAGTGAATGTGTCTGCATCTCACCCCTCGGCCGAATTAATTTCCTCCGCCTGCCCCGTTCGTTTGCAGGCAAAAAATAAAACATGCCCTGGCACATACACGTACTGAACACACCTTCCGAATTGATTCGCTGATTATTTCGATGAAAGCACTCTTAGCTCGCCTCGCTCGCTCGCCCCGCCAGACCAGCGTCCATTCCAATTTATTTTGATGCCCAATCGATGCTGTCGGCGAAAATGAAATCGCGGCCAGATTTCTGTTGCTGATCGCAAATGGATGCTCGCTCGCCTCGTGCGGTGGATTATGGCAGGTGCAGCTGTCCGATAGGGATACCCAGACAATCATGATCCGCCCGTACCAGAGAGCAAATTGATAATTGCGGCTTCGGCTCGGCTTTGCGAAATTGAGCACGGGCTTTTCTTCCGACCACGCGCTGCTGCCCTTTATATAGATCGAAAATGAAAAATTGTGCCAAACAGAAACCCATAGGAACAGCAGCAAAGATGAGCTTATGCAATATCTCGTCACGTCTGTCGCGCGGGATGCATAACTTCTTTGAAAGATACTGTCTCGCTCAGCACGTATATAGGAGGCGATCGCTTACTCCGGAGCGCAAATTGATTACTCGTGAAGTGAACCTCACGGCGGGAGTGTTATAAAAGTTACAACCTCCCTAACTTTTGTTTCAATTTAATGGATTTGGTTAATCCGCTTCGGAATCGACTTAAATCCGCAGTTATATTCAAGAGAAAAAAAGGATAAACAAGAAGTCAGTACAGCACTCACAATCAGCTGACCTAAATCATTATTTCTGCCACTAACTAGTGTGAGCAGCCCTCGGGTCGATACAAATGTAATCAGCAGTGTGTTATTAATACTAAAAAACTACTCAAACAAGGAAAGCGTCCAGGACGGATACTAATTACCAGCATCGCTAATTGTGACACATCAAACATTTGTTATTGATCACCTAACGGAATAATACACGAACATTTCTGTCTGAAAAAGTACCCCTTGCTCAAATTGAAGGGTATCGATCTTGTATTTACTGCTTGAAAATATAAAAAATATAAAAGGAAACTATTTGTAAGCCTCAGCAAGAGCTCTTATTGATTTCAAAGCAAATATTAATCCACATAACAAAACCCGTTGTGTTGCTAATTTACAGACATAAGTTTATGTTAATGCAAATATTTTGAATTTTTTTATAAGTCAATCACAAAACATATGCTAAAATATTATCACATACACAATGCTTGAACTTCATTCAGGAGCAAAAAAACCATAACGGCGATTAAATTGCTATTTTATGTACTCTGATCCAGCTTAGCACACTTTGTAGCTATAAATTTTGGCATAAAATGTTAACACACAACCTAAAAATAAAAATTATTGGAAATATTGATAGACAAACTTTGTTGTGAAAATTTTTCATCTATGATGTGTGTTGATGGAAGAGCAGTCACAAATTAATATTGCTGAATTTTTAAATAAATTATTTGGCCGGTGAATATCATCACAGCAACAGCGTCATTCCAGCGGCGAACGCTAAAGCAAACAGGATTCATAATCCGCTTTGGTCGCGAAAATAATTTGTGCTTTTTCCACCGGCGCTAATAAATGAATATTAATTGAAAAAAAGCACCACGGATGCATTATTCGCACGCATGATGCGTGTATGTTCCTTTGCGCGTGTTAATGGCCGCGACAAATTGGCCATTATTCACGCACAATTTGCCCGGTTTTGCGCATCGCCGAAAATTCCCGTCGTCGCTTGATTGGCGCGGCAGCTTTCGCGTCCGCGAGCGTCGAACAATATCTAATATTTATGACGCAGAAGTGTACACCATAAACTTCATCTTTTATGAGGATTAATATTGCACGCGGCGTTCGTTTTTTGTGTGCGAACTCGAGAGGCGTTCGCTTCTTGTTCTGCCTCAGTCAGTAGGCTGAGATTAAAGTTCCGAAGGGAAATATGAAATACGCGCCGCCGTTTTTTCTCCATTCTTTTTCTTTTTCCTGTAAACTCTGCGTGTGCTTTTCTTTTTTGCGCCGTGGCGAAAAGCAGCAGAAGTGAACGCGTCTCATTTTTCACGAGGCGCGCTGAAAATGGGACGGAATCGTCGGCGGAAGACTGTTCCTCTGGGGCGGCCCCATCTCTGACAGTAAATCCATTAAAAACAACTTTTTGCCAACAACAGGCGCCCTACTTTTCCATGTGACGTAATTTTTCGGCTGCAATTTGCGTGCAGAACGACGAGAATGAATTCAGTCAATTTTTATACTTTTTTATTCCACCCAAACGAGCGACGAGCAAGGGTTGCCAAACTGGCCGAGATGGTCTCGCAAATGCCCTGCAGGCTTCATGTGTGAGGCAACTGAGGCACCCTACTGCGTCGAAATTTCTGTGAAAATTCGGCTGTTTAAGCAAATCGCTGGCTTACGGCAATATTTCAGGTACTTTGCATAAGTACACACAAGGCCGGAGCCAAACAGCCAACGCTCGGAAGCCGCTTTTAATCGAAAAATCGGATTTCGTCATGCATATTTCATGACTCGTGGGATTGAACGGAGAGGAAGTTCCGAGGGAATCATTCTTATTTCCATCCCTGCTTTTCTCTCATCCTCAATTTTTATTCTGTTGAAATATACATTGAATTGCTTGGATCAAATGTTTTGTAATAGAATTAAAATTTGGACAGGCTTTATAATAAACCTTAAAATAATTTCATTCCATTGCAATTATTACATTTTTTTCATTGTTCTACAGTCAGACGATCTTCATCTTTGCCATTCAGGACAGTTGAAGCATCAATTTCTCCATTATCTTAAAATTAGTGTGAGCTACTGTATAAAATTTGAGGAAATATGGTATGCATCCTGCAATTTTATTTTAAAGTGAATTGATGCAATTTTATATTTATATTGAAATTAAAAGTGAAAATACTATGGAGTTGAAATCTAAATTTTAAATGATCATAAGAAAATTCAGCCTTTTTTCATTTATCAATTCATATCCGGGGTCAAAGTGCAGATTTGACACGCCCCACGCGATCCAGCTGCCGCTGTGGAGAACTACCATGAACACTAAACTCAAGGGCGTGGGTTGACCTTTTTGCAATAAAATCTCATTTTGTCGCCGGAAATTGAATTAGACGATCAAAATACTTCTCGGCTTGTGTGTTTTTTTCCATTCCTTTATTGACTTAAAACAAGTTTTGAGTTGGAAAACTACAGTTTTATTTTTGTAACTAATTTTTGTTAAATGACTCGTTATTGACATAGTCAATCCAAGTCTTTACAACAATAGAAGCCATTTTTGGCAATTATTGGAAATTTAACTAACCGATGTTGTGAAGACTTGAATTGACTTTGTAAATTAGGAGTATTTAAACTATCTTTTACAATAAGTCTCCCTTTGATGATTATTTTTTTATATTTTTAATCAATTATATATAAAAATTCATTCGTAAAGAAACTTCTCAAAATTGCTGAAAGCAAATCGCAAAAAAATATTATAGCCCAGTACAATTGCACAAAATTGAACAACTCCATGTGCTTTGCACCGTGTTACCTCACTATGAAGACATTAAGGAAACACCCTGACCGTGCCGCAAAACACGGACCCACGTTGGGGCTACTGAGTCCATTCCGTGCTCGACTGATACAATCGGAAAAGTTTCGCATGCCAACTAAATATATTCACACATAGAGCCAACGTGGAGCTAACTCATTTGCATTCAGACGAATTGACAGAGCGCGCTCGCAACACACAATTCGCCGACTTTCGGTCGGTCGCGTGGAAAGCGCATCTCATTACGCGATACGTCAGCCCGCGGCTTGGCATTTGCATGATAATTAATCGTGGGGATGATTTGGTTTGTCTGCAGGTGCGGAGGACGTGTATCGCTTCACAGGCAACGAAACCCACACCGACTACTTCCGCCTGGTCGTCCACGACGGACACAACCTTCTGGTCGGAGGCAGAAACCTCGTTCACAACCTCAGCTCTTCGGACCTCGCGGAAATCCAGGTTTGCTAATGAGAAAACCCGCTGGTGAATCGGATCAATAAGCAGTAATGTTGTGCTCACCTGACACATTCCGTTCCACATACACGTTCGCTGCCTTTTTGCCTTCCTTTTTCTCCTTCCTTGGTAAAGAGGAAACCTTCTTTCGTCGAGGCAGCCAATAAGTTTGCCAACTGAGAGCCGACTTGTGGATTTTTTACAGAAAAATGTCAGGGGAGGACTCATTATACGGTTGTTGCTTGCGTTTGCGTCACATTTTCTCATTAACCTTTCTCGTGTGCGAGTCTTTTTATTTCTATACAACGTAACGCTCCAATGGAAAATAAGTGCCCTGTTGCATTTTCTTATGAAAGGATATTTCAATCGAAAGGAAATAAATTGAAAGCGCTCGTAATTGGCTTTTTCTCAGAAGCCTTTTTGGAACATCACAATTATTTATTTTCTAACACAATCTTTTGCAAGCTCGCACAAACAGCAGAGTTTTATAATATGCTGCGGAAAACTTCCGACAAGCCTGCAAACAATAAAACTAAAACTATTTCTACAATACTTTGCAGAGACTCACGTGGTTCTCGCCCGAGACGGACACGAAAATGTGTTTGATGAAGGGCAACGACGAAGAGAACTGCCAAAACTACATTCGTGTCCTGTCAAAAATGTCACCAGGCCGCTACCTCGTGTGCGGCACAAACTCCTTCAAACCGATGTGCCGTGAATACTCCTTGCAGGTAACTTTTCCCCTTTTTAAACCTTTTATTTTAAATTTTAACAACCTTGGTTAAAAGTCGCAAGTTTAAAAAAAACGTTTCAGCAGCACACTTTCAATTCCATTAAATTTTAGACCTCCGGGTATCTGATGGAGAAGGAAAAGCTGGGGCAGGCCATTTGCCCTTACAGTCCCAGAATCAACAGCACCGCCGTTTTTGTCGACGGCGAGCTCTACACCGGCACTTACGCAGACTTCTCAGGCACAGACCCCAGGATTTACAGAGACCCTCTGCAAACGGAGCAGTACGACTCCATTTCCCTCAACTGTAAGTTGAATCTCGGAGGAGTGAGTGAGTGGTGCCGGTCGATCTAATCGCTCGTTTCGTTTCACAGCTCCTAATTTTGTGAGCTCGTTCGCTCATGGCGACTACGTCTACTTCTTTTTCCGCGAGGGCGCCGTCGAGTACATCAACTGCGGAAAGGTCAGTCATTTGAAAATAAATTTCTCAACCAGTTGATTAAAGTATCGTAGAATTCAACTTTGATCTGCTTGCCAAGCTATTTTTGTCAAAGCTTTGTTTGATGTGTGGCGTTTTTTATTTATTTATTGGCCTCTGACCTGTTCTAACTTGACTATCTCACTGCAGTCCATCTATTCGAGAGTGGCGCGCGTCTGCAAGTCAGACAAAGGTGGTCCGCACCGCTTCCGAAGTGGCTGGACTTCGTACCTTAAGACCAGGCTCAATTGCTCAGTGCCGGGCGAGTTCCCCTTTTATTTTGATGAAATCCGTAAGTTTGCCAATGATAAAGTTTTTACAAAGTTTTAATTCATTTAATCCTGATAGAGTCCACTTCGGATCTGATTGAGGGCTCGTATGGCGGCGTGAACGCTCAGGTCATCTATGGTGTGTTCACCACTCCGCCCAACTCAATCAGCGGCTCGGCCGTGTGCGCCTTCAACTTGCAAGAAATTTCTGAGACTTTTGAAGGCTCTTTCAAGGAGCAGACAGCCATAAACTCCAATTGGCTACCTGTCAAAAATGCCAAAGTTCCAGATCCCAGACCAGGTCAGTGCGTCAATGACTCGAGGACGCTGCCTGACTTAACCCTCAACTTCATCAAAATGCACCCATTAATGGATGAGTCAGTCAACAGCTTCTTTGGTCAGCCCATTGTCATCCGCACAAGCTTCCAGTAAGAAAATTTCAAATTTAAATTGAATGAGTCATGATTTTATCTCTTTCCTCAGTTACCGCTTCACTCAAATAGCAGTTGATCCTCAAGTGAAGACGCCTGGGGGAAAATCCTATGATGTGCTTTTCATCGGCACCGACAATGGAAAAGTGATCAAGGCCGTAAATGCCGAGTCTGCTGATAACTCAAAGAAAGTCAACCCAGTGGTTATTGAAGAAATCCAAGTTTTCCCACCAAATGTTCCCATCAGAAATTTAAAAGTTGTTAGGGATAAATCTGTTATGGATGGCCGACTGGTTGTTGTTTCCGACTCCGAGATTCAGGCCTTAAGACTTCACAGGTGCTACAGTGAAAAAATCATGTCCTGCAGGTAAAATTCTTAAATTTTTTTACTGTGGCAAATTAACAACTATTGGTTTGCAGTGAGTGTGTGGCACTGCAGGATCCATACTGCGCTTGGGACAAACAGGGTCAGAAATGCAGATCGATGAACTCTGCTCGATGGAATGACGACAAGAGCTTCTACCAAAGTATTGCTACTGGAGTTCACAGCTCATGTCCAGCTAGTAAGTTTCTAGTGTTTTTTTAAGGAGTTAAAAGTTAAAACCATTAAATTTTGATCTAGGCAAAATTGTTGGAAAAGATGCTGGAAATGTTGGAGGGCTTTCATCCAGCTTCCCAAAGTCCTTCAGTGACATGGGCCGAGGTGGAAAGGAAATTCCCGATGGTGAGGTCATCAACATAATGCACGATGAACAGGAGCGAAATGGTATTTTAATCTTGAAGCGTTTGATTACCATTAAATAACTCCTTAATTATGTTATAGGACCAGAAGTGAGCTCTGCTGAGAGCACCATTCCCCAGTACACAGTCGAGACTCTAGTTATCGCCGTGGTTGCTGGATCCGTGGCTGCCCTGGTTGTTGGATTTGCTACGGGATACCTGTGTGGTCGAAAGTGCCATAAAGATGACGATGACAACCTTCCATACCCAGACACTGAGTACGAGTACTTTGAACAGAGACAAAATGTCAATAGGTAGAGATTAGGAGGGCAGCCCAATTTTCGAATTATATTAAAATGTTTTTTATTTGTTTGTTCAGCCGACTGACTGTTGAGCCGAAACTGTTGTCCCAAGAGGAGGTGACCTACGCTGAGCCAATCCACATCCCTCCAACCAAGGCCATCACCACCTCGCCCAAGGGAACATTGCGCAAGGGCGCCCACCCTTCTGCCCCGCCTGCTGCCGAAACCATGTTCCAGTTCTCGGACAACTACACGCCTCCTCCCCGCGACCCGTACGCACACCAGCGTGGTCGTGACAACTTTGGCACGCTGCGCAGCCACAAGGAAGGCTTCAGCAGCCACCGCACCCGCAACCCCATGGGCGATGGCTACAACACGACGCGCAGCGTCAAGAAGGTTTACCTCTGAGAGACAGAGGGGAGAGGCAGATCGGGCACTCTTGGCGCGGTGAGCAGGAGACGCAAAGGAGGCGTCCACCCTTTGGCGACCTCATCGTGCTCCTCCTCGTCGTCTCCATCCCCGCCTGAGTCGTCGTCGCCCTCTCCCCCTCCCACAGGCTCGCCGCCCCGATCCCCTCATAGGGCACCGTGCAGTTTCATTTACCGCACCTAAACGGGGCAGCAAAATTCTCCAACTTTAGAGAATTAATGGATTTTCGGGTTTATGTTTTTCTGGTGCCATCCTGGACTTGATCAAGTGCCAAGCTAAACGGTGGATTTCATGTTCCTTGTTTTCTCAAGCCCGACTTTTCTGCTCTGCCGCAAAATATTGTGAAGACGATTCGACAAGACACCAATGACGGGATGGGTGGGAGAGGCGCAAAGAGATTTCTAGGCACCCTTCACCAATTTTTCTGGTGGTTTTTAAAATTTATTTTTTAGCCAATGTGATTGGCTAGCATTTATGTAAAGAGAGGATTTCAGTTTTTTTAACAGTTTGCTTATAAACGGAATCTAATTACATTTAAACTAACTATAAAGAAGCTTTTGTAATTGGAATCCAATCTTTGATTTTTGAAAGTCTGATAATATAGTGTTTAAGAGTTTTATATTTTATTTTTAATATTACTGCCTTAAAATAAGTTGTATTGAAGTAATTTCTTTGCGCCTCTTTAATATGCAACAGAGGAGGTGGGGTTGGCAGCCTTTAAATTATGATGTCGATTTTTGAGAATTACAAATCGATTCACTTACTGTTGTTCATTGCTTAGTTTTGCTGCACTAACTCTTTCAAACACTTCTGACTTTGAGCATGAAATTTTACTGAAAATAATTATTATTGAAATAATATTGTACTAATTGACTTTGCGCCGCGCAGACGTTTTTTCGAGCAGGCATAGCTGCGGCGCGCAATGGATTGATCTTCTTTTTATAAAAATATAATAGCCTTAAAGTAAACCGCGACAAATGTACATATAAAGAAGAAAAAACACATGTAAACACAATTTGTTACCAAGTGGTATCGATCTTGTGGAATGAGAACATCTTACTGTTAACGGACTGGAAGAAGTAGATGAAGATGAATAATACTCCTACTCTTACATAAACCCAAAAGAACAATGTAACTGATTAACCAGATATTGTGCGTTGAATCAAATGCGCGTGAAATCACGAGATTAAGAAGCTGTAGTGGAGAACTGTAAATTTTTATATAAAAAGTTGCCCTCATACGTATTTCATGGGGCAAGCGACGAGTTACGCAATGTAAACCGTTTAATTAACTTCATTATCTAGTAATACAGTACTTTAGTGTTAAATGACAAAGAGAAAATGGGTACATATTTTAATGTACCAAAATAGACATGACACACAAAATAGAATAATTATAAATTACTCCAGACCCCTGAGCTTAGTTGTGGATGTGTAGCTTGATTATCGACAATGTCATTGTGAGCCTAATTGGACTATAAATTTTAAAAATTGCAACAAAGCAAAGAACTTGTTCTGTGCACACAAGCTGTTGTACTTAGATGCTTTCCTGGTGCATTTTCTGCGTGAATTTGCCTTGAATGTGCTGCAGCTATTCATATTGTTTCTTGTGCGGAGATGATATCATTGCCAATGAGGTTGTTGTTTTTGTACACATTTTTCATTTGGCACAAGCACGAAAAAAAATAATAATATTAATATTCCGACAAGTGATTGCAGTTGATGTGCATAGCATAGATGTGTATATCGCCTGAATCGATCGGTGTGCAAAACAGTCGATATTATATTTTCGTAAGATGATTTTTGAAGCAAACGGCAGAAGATGTATTTTGAAGGCGAGCTAACTGTACTCTTACAAATTGATCGTGTAAATTAATACTCATTCAAGTTCAGGGGTCAAAATATTAACAGCACCGTTCACCAGAGATTAAAAAAGTAAATGAAAAGTCTTGAAGGGAAACATATTTTATAGAGCACTTCTTGCGATTAAGAAATTTGCTTTTTACCAAAGATGATTTTTACACTGTGAAAGTTGATTAATTGAATGATTACTTACCGAAGTTTAAATTGCGTCCATAGCACACTTTTCAAATTCAGTTTCGTGTAAATCAAAAGTGGCAGAAAAATTATGCAACTAAAATGGGCAAGTAGAGAGTTACCAGCAAGGGTTTCCAAGGCCTAGTTTCAGCCGAAAGCCTTTTAAAATATTCAGTTTCCAACATTGCCGCACCACATAATAATAATATAACACAATCCAAGGGTTTCGAAGTGAGCACCTGGTGGCATCCAGGCTCCAGAAAAGGCCTATCGAACACGAGACATTCTTCCATTAAGTGACCCACAGTACGTACGGAATTGTTTGATCTGTTTGGGCATGAAATTTTTCAAGTGACTCAAGATTTAAGAGTTGGAAACTATAATTCTTCCCATCATTGTTGTACTGACGATGATGTAGTTGTAAAAAACCAGCAAATAAAAAGTCCTGCATTTTTCCAGCCGGGCCAGTCAATTTTCGTGTGTGGTGGATTAAGCACTATAGAATAATTAACTGTCCTTGCATTGACGTCACACACGCCGCATAGATTATACACATTGTTGCTGGAAGGGCTTGTTGGTCGCTGTACTCTCTACTGGGAAAAAAATGAAACGATACATCTCACATTAATAAAGCTTTTTCGAAAGGGCGTTGAATTTTATTTACCAGGCAGGACTCCAAAGATTGGTTTCGTTTCACTATATTGTTTTTTTTTTACATTGGGTAGCAATGGAACGACTTTTGAAAAAGCTCTGTTACTCTGTAATAGCACACAACATACACTGTAATACGAACATGATCTCGATGCATGAATATGTATATTATCAAAGCTGAACAAAAGTTTGTAATATTTTTTTATGTGGGTGTGACGTGATCGCACGCTATCAAGATTTACCCAGGCCCTTAGCGGTTAATTGATTATACATCACGGCTCTTGGCGCAATGAAGTCGGAAGTTAATTGACTCCGACACGACTCTGCCAGAGCAAATCTTTTCAGGCATCAAAATGAACTAAAAGTTTACTATTCGTATTGAAATAATTACATAATTATATATAAAGATCTAGATTAGTTGCAGGCGTTGCAAGCTTTGCGGATTTTCTTACTCGTATGATATCATTAATAGCGTTTAATGCACAACTATGCTTTTTTAAAGATAATTTTACAACTAATACGCCCTTGATATTTATGAAGAGAAAAGTGATTGTTGCACGAACCTGTGCAATTAAAGTTTAGTTTTTAAGGTCCAGCCATATATAAAAAAAGGTGTAATTTATTTAGTTCTCTTTTTAACTCTTTCTGTCTCAAACATTACGGCTTGTGGAATGAAATGAAGCCGAAGGTTTTTCAATATTTTCTCCAAAAAAGCTTGTCACTCCTACTTATAGACAATTTTGTATTCCAAGTTGAAACTCATTCATCCTCTCACCCCAATTAAAAATAAAACATCATGATCGACCGAACACATCAGTCATGAATGTAAAGTCTTGTAAAACTGCTTTCTCAAACTACGAACTAATGAAAAACCCAGATACACACATTTTCGGTGTCACTAGTGAAACATTTAGCGATTCTCCTATTTTTAATAAAGAAGTGAGTGCTTAGAATGGATTTTAGTGCTAAAATGACGATGAGACTAAACATATTTACAGGACAAAAGCTCTCATCTGAATGTAGTAAAAGGATTCTCTTTCTCCTCTATTCTCTATCGTTCTCTGTGGTGTATGATTTTTATATCAGAAAAAAATATTTGCATAATTATGAACATGACTCGAAAACAAAAGTGTATATTGAGAAAAGAGAATTGTTTTGCGATGATTAACGTGGCTTTGTAGCTTATGAAAAAATAAAAAGCTTTGTATAACACGGAGATTCCTGGAAAAGAATTAGTTGTCATGTAACCAATTTTTGGAATTAAAAAGGATGCAGTCATTATTACTAAGATTGGATTTACCTACATTGTATTTGTAGAAAAATAACAAATGAAAACAAATAAAGTGCTAAATAAATTTAGAAAATTGAATTTTATTTTATATAAATAGATATACATTAACCATTTATTAAATATTTGAGAAGTAGAACATGCATAAAAAAAATTCAAGGTTCCGATTTCTCGCCTTTGTCAGATACAGGCAATTTTTTCAATGTGTGCGCAATTTCTTTCAACGTGGCAAGATCAGCCGCTAGGTTTGCATTGACCTGTTCCTTCTCGTCATCATTGTCGGTCGAGAGCAAATTTATCACCAAATCTGCAAAAATATTTTAATAAAATATTATGCTGCTTAGCTTAAATAATATCTTTACCATGGTATTTTTGAAGGGTGCTGTATATCTCCTCAGGCAAGCTAGGCTTCAAGAAGATGAGTATTGGCATGACAAATTTGCCAGAGGCATGCAGGGGCTGTTGAGTTGCAGCCTGGAAGAGCAGAAGGACGGTCAGGTGCAGGGCCAGCGCAGGATCACTGCACTCGTCCAGTTGGCCAAGAAGGGTCATCCTGTGCGCCAAAAGGCCTTGTCTGGAGGAGAAGTTAATTTAACTTAAATGCTTTTTGTAGGAAGATTTTTAACCTTTCTTTCTTCTTGTCTGGCTTCCTTATCATGACGTCACAGGCGCCAGGAGCGAGAGCGGCATCGATGGCAGTTTGGAAATCGTCCAGTGAGGTGCCGACTAACGATTTGTGAACAGGCTCCAAAACTTGCTTCATAGCAGCCGGCAGCTCATTTAGAATTTTTGTTCTCAGCTGAATAAAAATTATCAGACTATTACAAATTAAGACAAAATAACAATACCTCTGGTGTAATGCTGCTGGCCTCGTTTGGGACGGTTGTGCTGATCTGATTTTCCTGGCTCACATACTTGAGGAGCTCGCCCAAAATTTCTGAACCTAGTGACTTGAGCATGTACTTGGTGAGACCCTTCTGTGTCTCTGAGTCTGTCTGGAAGAATTTTATTCCCTTTTCAAACATCCGTATGCTTGACAAAAGGTTGGACAGGCGTTCCTGCAGCTCGCCGTGGGTTCGTCTTGACGACTGCACTTGGGTTGCTTTGACAGACTCGGAGAGTTTACGAGCAACAGTATTTGCCTGTTGCTGAACAGAGCTGAAAAATTATTAACAAAAATAAAAGATGTTTATCCCAAAACTTATAGAGGAAATATACGGAAGAAGACGAGCGGACAACTCGGCAATCAGCTCTTCAGGACAGTCGGATAAACTGGCTTGGCTGCTGAGCTCCTTTTTGATATCCTTAACTGAAACCAATTCAATCAGACCAGTTTTCTTGGCAATAGGGGGTGGAGTTTCATCTCCATCCTCGTCAGAGTCAGCATGGCTTTTCCCATAGGTCTTTTTCTTGATTGATTTTGTTTTTGTTTCACGGCCCTACAAAGGACAATTTCAAATTTATATTTTTAATATAAGGAACTTCTACACACCTGCGTACCGCCACCTCCTTTTCCGCCTGTAGCCTTTTTTCTCCGCTCTTCTTGCTTCGAGGTACGTCCACCTTCATCGTCAATTGACGCTTTTTGCCTGCCCATTGCTTGGATTCGCTGTTCAACCTCAGCTTGCACAAATTTGCCAGAGCTCACAGCCTTAAAACAATTATTAAGTAACTCTAGGTAAACAAAAATGATTAATAAACCAACTTCTTGAGCTTTAGCCTGGATCAACGGATCCAAAGCTTGGGTCAGATTTGAAATCAATTGGCCAGGAACAACCATACTGCCGCAAAAAACTTCCGCCTTTACTTGTTTGATTTTCTTCAGCACATCTTGTACAAGTTGTGCTGCATCTTGTTCAGACAACACAGACGGAAGAATTGGCTGTAACATAAATTCACCAGTAATAATAATTTCACTAAAATTTGGCTTAAACAAACCATCAAATCTATCCACGAGCCTGTGGAAACTGCATCTTCTATTGAAGCTTCCACCTGATCAAAAAGTAGAGATCCCACGGCGCAAGAGGGGAGTTGAAGAAGTTTCTCATTGGCAAAGTGCCTCTTGATAAATCCCTGAGGGTCTGATATTCCCAGACGATTCAGAGACGAGTATTCTAATGAACGAAAATAGCTTATAATTCATACATTTCTTAACAAGCATCCTCATCCTTACCCAAATATCCATTTTGTTTGTAAAAATTCTCAACCCATTCAGACTGCCCCTTGCTGTAAACGGCTGGGACGAAGAAAGCATTGGAACCTTGCTTTCCGCTCATGACGCCTGCGATTTGTTTAGAGTCCTTCAGACTTTCAAAAATTGCTGAAATTAAAAAATATATAATAAACGACATTCTGTAAGATTAAATAAAAATGCTCTTACAAAAGAACATTCGCTCGGAGACACCACAAATTGCCATAATGTTGGAAATAGGGGTTGGCTGTTGGATTCCAATTAAAGCCCCTCTAATTGCAGCTCTGCACCGTGCCACAAATCTTTCAGTGAAGAATACTCGGGGGTCTTTAGGATCTTGTTGTCCATGAATGGACCTGTTCAGCTCTTTCTCCACAAGCTAAAATTTGACATTAAAAATAATTATTGGAAATTTCGATGGTGAAATTTTCTTACATGTTGCAAGTAATCTCCTGGCAAATCGTACTGGGTGGTCAGAGTGGAAATGTTAAGGGTACCATTCATTTGCAGCGTTTCATTGATTTGGATGGCCAGGTTTTTCAAATAACTGCTGTGAATGAGCTGGCCCAAGACGAGGGTGCAGCCAGTCTCGGGCGACCGCACCAATTCCTGGCAGCGAGCTTCAATGTGCGTCAAATCTACGTTCAGGAGATTGGCCAATTCCACCATATTGATTCGACCTATAATTTAGATGGTTTTGTAAGTAAATTTCAAATGCCTTATCAGTTGATTCAATAGAACCTTTGCTTGCATAAAGTTCATCCTGAATTTCACGGCTCAAGTGTTGTGGGGTGACGTACTCTTTGCCATCAGACGTAGAAATTACTTCCAGCAGTTTCTCCTTTATCAAATGACTGACCACTATGACACAGTTTCTCTCAGAGAGTCTGTTGAAAATATTTTGTTATAAAATTGAGAATATTTTTGTTTTATAAAATGAGAATAAGATAAGAGAACTTCAGAATAAAGATACATATTTATTTTTGACTTCTAGTTTTTGATGATTTATTTCAATGAAAATATTTAATATTTATTTTATGCTAACTCATGGTTGCTAATGGACTAAGATAAATGCTTAATTAATCAATCTGGTTTTTAGTTAATTAAGAATGATGATTTATAGTTAGCATACTTCTGTGCCGCAGTGCTGAGCTGGGCCTTTTGGAAATCCGCGGCGAGCCTTTTGACTTCATCCCAATCGACTGCCGACATTTTTCGCCAGATGATTTATTCTTCATCTAAAAGTGATATAGATTCTTCTTCAATAAAAGTATCAAGGAATTTAAAATCATTAAAAAAATAATTTAAAATCCCTTACAAAAATTTTGATCACTCGCAGCAGCTGTTTCACGAAAACAAATTTCCCCCAACGTGTCAAGTCAAAAAAGTGGGAGGGGCATCATCCCTTGCTCGGCTGCGGCGCGAAAAGGGTTTTTTTCGCATGTTTTCGCATTTGCTATGCGCTTCTTTGCCTTCTTTTATATTATCAAAACGTTTATATTTTTTTTTTATTTTTTATGTTCAATATTGTAAATTTGAATTGGTTCAAGATACAAATTGAAATTTGAATTATCCATTAAATAAAATATTAAATTTATCTTGTGATACATTGCGTTGCACAAAATGTTGAAAAAATAAATTTCTTTTTTAATTAAATTTTTACAGAAAGAAAGCTATGGCAAGAAGGTAATTTTTAAAATTAATAGTTAGTTTTTTCCACATAGCGTCTAAATAATTAGACAAAAATATTTTATTTTTCCATAGATTCTAGATTAAGTAAATTTCAAACACACTCAACTTTATGAATTACTCAAATTATATCATATATCTTGGGAGAACATAAAATGTGATCTGCTTTTTACACACAAAAATAAAGCAAACACAAAAAATATGATATTTTAGTTAATTTAAAATGTACCATCGTTGCATCAAGTAAAATTTGTACATATAAATTCATTCGATTAATTGAAAACGTATTATTTACTACAATCACCAGCAGGCACATCACGTTTTTAGCTTCATTTATATTGGAATGATTATTACAAAAGCAAAATATACATCAAGAGTGGCAGTGCGACATTGTCAACTTGATCCGTCTTGGCTTCAACAATGGTGATGACAACAGACGCAAAAATAATCCGTAGAGTCAACAACCAAGTGAGCTGAAACATGCCTGATCAAAACAGATTTAATTTAATCTGACCACATAAATCTGGTTTGTTTTAAAAGTCTTACCACTAAAAGAGAGTAGGAAGACAAGAGCTATCTGAGCAACAACACACGCGACCGATCCTTCGATTGATTTTGGAGAACCTGAGTAAAATTAAAAATTAGTAGTGCGTTATTGAATAAATTGAATTCCTAACCAGGCCATTTATTTTTGCCAAAAAGAGAGCCGATAACGCTGGCTGCAGTGTCTCCACAGCCGACTGACACCAGGCCTGAGAGAACGGGTAAAGTCACTGCCGCCCTGAGGGCACATCTTGTGGGGTGGATCCACAAGGGCAGAGAGCAGCCTATCAAAAGATATATCGGGGTCAGAGAAATGCCCCCACTATCCTTTTCGTCAGCAAAAACGATAAAGCCTTCTTGCAAGTAGTCGCTGAGAGCGCCCAACTTTAAAAGGCGGATCATCTGGAAAAATAAACAAAATAAATAATCATTGCTCGAGACTCCTTGATTAAATTTGCTCCGACCTCGACTAAAACGAGGAATGCTAAGGCAATGCCACTTGATAAGTAGAGCAATGTGCACTCCCACGCCAAGCCTGGGAGATAAACTGCAAGGATGAGCACATGGAAAATTTTTCGAACTGCCGACGAGGCGTGCTGCTTGTTCTGAACTTGCACGCGAACTGATGTAATGGCAAAGAAACAGCACATCACCCAGTACAGTAATAAATAAACCTAAAACACAAAGTTTTAATTCAAGTAAGAAAGATTTTTATGACAAATTACCCTTTGAATGTCATCAGTGATAAAGTGCAACATCCACAAGATAGGATTTTCCTTAAATATTATGAAAAGTGCTGGCAAAACTGCTCCACCCATTATTCCAACAATTAGGGCCAAAATGGGCCTCAGTTGTCTCAGTCCCGGAAAAGCAGTCACCAAAATGCAAATTACTGACAACCCAAGTAAGCCAGTCTGCAAAATAAATTATTTTTTAAATTTTCAAATATTAAAAAAAGCACTTTTATACCTGAAGAATAAGTGTGCATTTTTCCATCGAATCAAAATGAATGTCTTTGCTTCGATTCAAAATATTTGTTACTGCTGTGAAAAGAAAAAGCAGTATTCCTTGGAGGACAGCCGTGATTTCTCCCAAGGTGAACGTGCCAGGAATGTGCTGCAGCGCAATAGGAACGCCAATGCTTATGGGGAGACTGGCGAAAATTCCAGAAGAGAGACAGAAGAAAAAACCTGAAGGAAAAAATTAGTGCTCGAAATTTAAAAAAAAAAACTGCTTGAGGACCTTTGTGACAAATAAGCCAAAAGAGGAGAGCGGTGACAATTATTGGTCCGACGAAGATTGGATTAAACTTGGAGAGAGTGGGGCCCTTGGACCCCTGAAGGTGCAATACCAAGGCCACCGATGCCCCAAGAAGCCCGGAGGCAAACACTGCTGCAACATTGTATTCCGCACTGGGATGAACAAAAGAGCCAAGGATGATGGCAAGGGGCAGAAGAATCACAAGCCAAGTCCCTACACTTGCTCCCAATCTGAAATATAAAAACGAGGATGTCAACCTGTGCTATCGCAATCCCGCATTTTCATCAATCAAACCTAATCGACAAACCGGCCTTCTTCAGCGTTATGTCAACACTGTCGTCGATCTTGGACAGCATTTTGCGTTGTTTCTAATTCGCGTCTTATATATTCGCAGGTGGTTTTGCATGCAGTGTCACCTCGACATGTTCGCGGCTGAAACATTCGGAGAATTAGAATTAAGTATTTCGCACAAAAGAGAGTGAAACAAAGGGAATTACGTCGTCACATTGGGGAAACTCCTTTGGGTAACTCGATCTTGCTCTTTGGTAAACACCACCAGCTGGAATGAATGAAAGCGAAAAGCAAAAAATTGTCTTCCCTCTTCCCTACAGCAAGCATCGATACTATCGTTCGTTTAAATGGCAAGACCGCTCCCCTCTCCACACATCACCCAACTCTAATGTTCTCCAATATGAATTAAATTGGTTTTTTAATTTTAAACAAGTATTTTGCAGATGATTGCACGAAATTATTATTTTTTCCTAATTTCTGAGCGTATACCGAGCTGACAACAAAATGAACAAAATCACACGAGGCCCAGCTGTGGCCAAATTTGCAAATTTCCCCTCCAAACGGGATGGGCGTAGTATCGATGAGGTGTCCCCACTCAAAGTTTTGTTATGTTTCGTGCAAAAGCAAACATGTTCGGAATCGCCCGCCGGCCGTCGCACGCAAACATCGATAAAGAGAGAAAGAAAGAAAGGGTTCTCCGCCGCCGTGGAGTAGGAGGAGAGGCTGCAAACAAAAATCTAGCAGTCCCGTTATAATTTTAGGCATCAGTCGCAGGCGCGAGTGGTTGGTGAGTAGGCGCTTGTCATTACACGTTCCGACCGCTAATTAACACCTTGGTTATCAGACAGTAATGTGAGTCACCCCTTTTCTCCTATCAGCCGGTGGAAAGAGGACAAGAGGCAAAAAGCCGATGCATATAATTTGGTGCAGAAGAAGAAGTACCGAAAAGCCACCCAGTTTTCAGCGGAGCCGCGAAAGACGCCGTTCTTGATGCCAGGCAGTTAGCGTGACGCTCCGCAAAGGTGACACGCAAAACGTCCTGGACTTGAGGCGCCGGCGTCCATTCGGCTGCAGAGATGACTGTGACCTACACGGCCGAGGTAGCCACCTGCCGAGGCTTCGGCTGCTTCCTGAAGCTACTTTTCAGGTATATATAATTAAAAAGCAAAAGAAAGGTTGCCCAGCAACTTTTTTCGGTTTTGACATTCGACCCACTTATGTGCGGGAGATATTTTGTCGGTGCTGCATTCTCGAATAGCGGTATTCGGTGATTTGTGAACATTGCATTGTTATTTTTTTTTTTGCGGTGTATTCTTGAAACCGCAGACTGGTTCATTTCATATTTTATCTAGCGCATCCGTTCCTGTTTAAGAATAATTCCAAATCGGTTTTATTATTCATGAATTCCCGTGTGCAATTTTTCCTCTCGGATTTTTGCGCCTGCCGAGCTTCTCTCTCAACACATAAAAGTCATTTTCTAGCATGTGGCTTTTATCGAACGGTCAAAAGCTTCGACTGCATGAATCGTGTGTGCTTGGAATTAATGACGAGATACAACACCCGCCGCTTTTTTTAGATAGAAAAGGGAGTGACTGAACTGATGATCGTTGCCCTTGAAAACGCCGGCGGCTTTGAACCTTTTTATTGCCCACAATGCTTTTCGCCCCCCAGAGAAGTTTATCTTTTTGTTTCACGCAAGTGCGCGCTTGCCAAAAATTATCCTTGCCCAGATAGCAAAAGAGTGAAAAGTAATGATTTGCAGTTGCAAAAATATCCCAGTTGGAAATTTATATTGAAAATTTTTACTGTCGCGGAGAATCATATATTATTATCATAAATTTTTAATTATTTAATCTTTTCATAAAAATCCCAATAGTCATTTTAAAATTCCCACACTCATTGTCAGTCAATTAATGTCTCCATAAGAAGATGCTAATGAGTAATGACGTTCTGTGGCACAAATTACAAATTCAACCTCAATTTTTTAATTAGCACTTCAGTAAAAAAGGTCATTGATGAAGTCTAAATTTGAACTTCACAAACGCATAGAAAATGCAAATGAAGATTCTTTCTAGCAAAGTTAACACCATCTTTTTCATAAACATATTTTTTTATGATTGTATTAAAAACCAAACCACAACATCCCCTCTAGCATAGGTAACGCCATTAAATTTTTACGTCGGTCAGTGTCATGATAAATATTAAAATTCGAGGAATTTCCCACAATGCCATTCTGAAAAACGAAAAATATGAAAAAATATTCTGAAAATCAATCGCCCCAGCAACTAATAAAACTATAAATATTTTTCTTGCATTTTTAACGTGACAAAATAAATAAAATTTCAGTACAAGAAAATTTTTATTAACTTTTTAATACAGAATTTGTTCAAAAGAAATATAATTATTAGTTTCCACGAACTTAATAATCTACATTAAAATTTTTATATCGAGCAAATTTTTGGTTGTTTTTGTTAAAGCTGTACGCTAATTCTTATATGGTTTATAAAATAACGAAAAAACAAAGGGTTAATTTAAATTTAAACTTTTATTAGTCCAATTCTTTCAACACTTTCCGACGTTAAATTTAGAATAGAGTTCTTCAAGAGAAATAAAATTTTAATTAATTCAAGGGCTCAAGCTCGCTGTTCGAAAAAAGCAATTTGAAGCCGGACGATGTGTCATCCTCAAGCGTGTGTTGATGGGCGTTTTGTTCAAAGCCTCCCATCTCAAGTGAAAAGAAAAGCCAGCATCCGTCACAACTCTTGCGCCGTTTTATTTGCGAATATAATTTCAGCCCTTTTTTTCCCACCGGCAAACACCTGCTCTCAACTCTTGTTCCCTCAGCCGGCCATTTTTGTTTTCCACAGATTACATCGAAATTCCTTGAACAAGTTCAAAGGCAGGGCCATTTTTTGACCTTGACAACACGCAACCGAATTTTTGGTAGGAAATAAATGACGTGCTCAAAAAAAAAATTGTCGCGTTAGACGCGACTGGGATCGTGTTGCGTCAACCAACCATTAATGTTTAATTGTTTTTTTTTCCTCATTGCGCGAACGAGACAATTGACGTTTGGCCGGCTTCACATGATTTGGTGAAGGTTGCGTCACGGAACGTTTTATTCCGGTTTTATTGATTGGCCGGGTGCATAATGAGTCGGTATGAGGTGCCGAGGGAGACGAACTTGCGGTTGCTGTTGAGCGAAATGCTATTTCTTTGAATTCTATAGTCGCAGCCATCCAGCTTGACGTTTACTCATTCTCCGAATCTCTCATTCACGATAAACAAATCAAGGGAAATTGACTGATGACAATGATTGATTGGAGACTGCACAATAATTTTGTCAATCAAATTTAAAAATTTATAAAAAAAAAACCAATCAGAACACAAATAATCTTGAAGTTCAATAATTTATGAATAAAACAAATACTTGCCAAATCTTGTAGAAACAAGCTATTCTTGAACGATTTTTCTCATATTTGTTTTTTGAATAATTTTTAAATTATTTGAAATTTTTTAATTAACAATTGTTAAAAACAGATATAAAATACCATTTCTGTTTTTGACGTGTTTTTGTACAATGTTAATTAAACTCAACTTTGGACTGTCCATAAAATAAATAATAGAATTATATTGACGTTTTCTTTGTACACATTCAAACAATAACAAGGACGACTGCACGAGTGATAAGTTTCAAGATTTCGCCTTACATATTCAGTTTTCTTGCGCATTTATTATGTAATGAAACATAATCATTTAGTTTCACAAAATGGAAAGTGAACAACGCAACGAGCGTGTACTACACAGACAAATCTGTTGTACTAACAAACAAAGTGACAAGTAACAATTAGTTTGTCAGACCCCAAACGGGTCTGCTGACAATTTGACAAGGTGTCATTTTGTCATTTTCCACTAGAATAGTTTGCAATACTTTTTTTAGGCCAAATTGTGTTAAAATACTTAGCAATTTCCTAAGTTAGAACGTTTTGTCTTCTTGGTTTTGAGATTTTAAAAGTTGATCATCCAAATAATTATATAATCTCTATTATACATTCTGTTTTGTTTGAAATAAAACATACTGGCAATTTTCATTTCTAAATTTGCAACATAAGTTTCCTAAATACATATTCTATATAAGCTAATTTATTTTGAAGTGTTATATTTTAAGTGTCTTAAATCAGCATAAAAATACCTCGCTTCTATTGTTCTCACTTTCATTAAGCGTGTACAAGTCGATGAAATTGCTTTATTGCTGAGTACTCGATCCTGAATCATCGCGTGCAGTAGCAACGGGCACGTGCAGCCAGGTCAATAAATTTTCCGTAATTACCGATAATTGCGAATGATACTGCAATTTGCAAGGTTTGCCAGGCAATAAGTGACATTATAAGTACATTGCTGATCTGGAACAAACAGATCGATTTGCTTGCTCAGAAAGAGTTATTGCTCCCCCTATTTCACTTTTTATTGCCCCCGACATGAATTGTTGTTTTCGCCCGTTTTTCATAGCACGGGATAATTGCGGGACCTCCAATTTAGATCGACCGTAATTGCCCCCTGAGAATAGCAGGCGAGCGCGTGTGTGCGTCAGTCAAAGAGCGAACCTCTGCACCACTCCCTGGCCGATCAACAGATAAAAAAAATACCTACTGCGCTAGACACGAAAGAGTTTTTATTTTTTATTATTATGGTTAATTTCGCTTCTTGGCAACGATTCGGGAACCAAGGGGTTTGGCGAATTGCTTTTGTCAGCGTCTTCTCGCGCAAATATTTTGTCTCTACTGATGAGATAGAGGAGTCAATGTGTGGAGTTGGCTTTTTTTCTAAGGGCAATAAAATAAATTTGGTGTGCGTGAATCCAACCGAGTGAATTAAGTCGTTTTCGCTTCAATTTTCATCACTGCTTTTTTTCAGACTGACGCTTTTAAACAGGTTCAGCACTTGTTTTCCCCCAAAGAGAGTTTTATAACAGGATTTTTTTTATTAAAATTGAATGTGGCAAAAAATAAAAGAATTTTTTAACTAACCACGTTTTACACTCTAATAACATTTTGACTGGCGTAAATTTGGTGCAAATAGGTTTTGGAGTCTGACTCAATATAAATTTTTAGCTTGGTCCCCTTGGGTAGTTTTGCAATTGCAGAGTAAATAACTACTGATAATGTCATTCGTTATCAACAAAGCAATTTAATACATGAAAACTTGAAACTGCAAACAAGGAAAGTCCTTATCTCTTTATTGCTTCTTAAAATTGGGTCAAAAGATGTGCCAAACTTAATTATTTAATGGATGTACCACTCCTCAAGGAAATCCAAGGTACAAAAAACTTGAACTTTGTAATAATAAAAACAATTAAATATGAATTAATTAAAGTACACACTTACACAGCACTAATGCATGCATGCTCTTGAACCAATTAAATGATCTAACCGCTTATTTTTATTGTATTTGCTCAAGCGAAGTTAGCATGACGTACATGGATTAATAAATTAGCTTAATTTTCGATTTTGTGTTTAATTTTTTATGTAGGATGTTGTGTTATTTCAATGTGTCTGAAAGAGGAATAAATAAATTAATTTTAATCTTGAACTTATTCTTTTCCCCAGATGGAGAGGAAGCATATACAAATTAGTTTGGCCAGACTTGATTGCTTTCCTCTTTGGTTACTTCAGCCTAAGTTTGACCTATAGATTCCTTCTTGACGCACCGCAGAGAAAGTAAGAAAATAGGAAGCCTTTTGTAAAGGTGCCTTTTGTAATGTTATTGAATTTAATAAATTTTTTTCCACTTTCTCAGACTATTTGCGGACATAGTGCATTACTGCGACACATACAGCGATCTAATTCCCTTGTCCTTTGTGCTCGGCTTCTATGTATCCATAGTTATGACTAGGTGGTGGAGCCAGTACCAGAATATCCCATGGCCGGATCCAATCGCTGTGTTTGTCAGCGCTACTATTCACGGCCAGGTAAATTTAATTTGCCACAGTATGTCGACGGGCAAGTGTATGCTATGTGTTCATTAATTTGGGCCGCAGGATGAACGAGGTCGTCTGATGCGCCGAACCATTATGCGCTATGTTTGTTGCTGCCTGGCACTTGTCTTCACCATGATTAGCCCTAGAGTGAAGAAGCGGTTCCCAACGCTGGATCACTTTGTAGAGGCAGGTAAATACAGAAAAATTTCTTATTATTGAAAAAAAAAATTTTGATATTTAAAGAAATTTTATATTTAGTTTGATCATAATTACTTTAATACGAAGACTAAATTTGTCATTGACAAAGAAAATTATATTAATAAATTAGTTCTCCTTTTCATTTTGTACAACTTCCATTGAAATGAGATCATTAAAATTAAACAGGTTTGCTGATGGAAAATGAGAAGCTCATCATTGAAGATCTGAACCAGAAATTCCCACGGCACTCCAAACATTGGCTTCCCATTGTCTGGGCTGCCAGTATTGTAACAAGAGCCCGCAAGGAGGGTAGAATTCGAGATGACTTTGCCGTTAAGACAATTCTGGATGAGCTCAACAAATTTCGCGGTCAGTGCGGTCTCCTGCTGAGCTACGACACAATCTCAGTGCCCCTTGTGTACACCCAAGTCGTGACCCTGGCTGTTTACTCTTTCTTCATTACTGCAATTGTTGGTCGGCAATGGGTTGACGAAAGAGAACACCCCAACCATGCTGGCAAGCACAAAGATGCAGTTGACTCGTTTTTTCCAATATTCACCATGCTGCAGGTAAATTTTTTATGACTTGCAAATGACTGTTTGCTTATCATTGTGTTCAGTTCTTCTTCTACATGGGGTGGTTGAAGGTGGCTGAATCTCTGATAAATCCATTTGGTGAGGACGACGATGACTTTGAAGTCAATTGGATTGTAGATCGCAATCTCCAGGTTTGATAACATTTTTATTCATTAATAGATGAGCTATTTTTTTTGATAATTTAATCACAGGTGTCATATCTAATTGTTGATGAAATGCACCACGAACATCCTGAGCTGTTGAGAGATCAGTATTGGGACGAAGTGTTCCCAGCCGAATTGCCTTACACCGTTGCTGCTGAGCAGTACCGTGATAACATACCTGAGGCCTCAACAGCCAATATTGAGATAAAAGACTCTGACGCCCTTATATCTTCAAGTGTACCTCGCACAGATGAAAATGTAAGTTGCATCTCTAAATACAAATTTGCTATTTTTCTTGATAATATCAAAAATTGATTTTGCATGGTTAGTCTTGATTGAGTTTTGAGTTGATCTATTTTGATCTGTCTTTCAATATAGCAGCACAATTTAGACGCAAACTTTTTCGGAGCACCTTTGCTGTGATTTAACTCCCAAATTCTCTTATCTAGTTCATGAATAGATTGGCCAGTGGAGAGTCAATCAGAACACCGAAGAGAGCCTTAAGTCGGCAAGCCTCAGCCAGGGAAAGACAGCTTTCCGGCAGGTCCAGTGCGAGTTCTAGCACCCTTAACGAAAGTAACCACGGAAGCCAGCCTGCAATGTCCATGCCCAGGGTTGCCTCTATAACAAACGTTTTGCGCCGAATGTTCTCCAGGGATCGCGAGTCTAATCTAGGTTCTTCCGTTGGAACAGAGTCTGGTAAAATTATTTTAAAATTAATTTGAAAGCAAATTAAAACTTTGATAACAGGTAGCAGAGTGGACATGTTCCATAGCAATCAGAGCCTCCACACAAGAGGAGGCACGGCTGGCACCACTGCCATTACAGACCAAGTGATCCCTGAGCTGGACGAGATGCAGGCCACCGTCATCTCGATGCGCAAACCAGAGAGTCGACCTCACATGCAGGACATTTTTGCAATCGCTGTACCAACCACTCCAAGTCCAACTCATGAAACCTCAAAACCAATCTTCATCATGGGCTCCAGTGCAACCCACTCTCCTCAAAGCACTTTACGTGAGGTGAGCATAGAGAGTGGGTCGGACGATGAGAAAACACATCTGCGACCCCGGGACTTGATGGAAGTTTCAGAGTCTGCGCCCTCTGATATCCACACAATGCTTCTTGAGCCGACCTCATCAAACATCAAAATTGTCAAAAGTAACGATAGTAAAGAAGTGGTATGACCCTGCACATTTCCGACTGAGTCGGTGTATGTCTATTGATTTGACAGTAATGTGATCATTCCGATTTATTTGTCGCAACTGAGCACAATAATTTTGGTTGAGGATTATTATTAATTTGCTGAGCAGATTGTGCTTTATATGATTCTTAAGTTGTTTTACAGAATTGATTTTAAATCAACGTTTGGGAGACAAAATGTGAAACTAGGTAATTGTGACTATAAAAGAGCACTGATCTTTAATGTAAATTTGGCGCTCTTGCCTTGGATAAAGTAATTTTGCGTCCTTTAAAATGCACATCTTATTAAGTGATGCTTGGTGCCTTTCTGTGAACGCTTCAACAAGAATCTCTTTGTTAAATGATTAATCTCTTAACAGAACAATAATACAGATTTGTATTTGAATAATTGCAGCTAACAAATGTCACAATTTTGAAGTGCCTGTTAATTAATGGTTGTGGATGACTATGTAAGTGGAGAACACCATTTTATGATTTTATTAATGAAGCCAGTGAAAATTCACAACTTTGATTAATTTCTTAATTGTATTGTCTTTGACTTGTTATGAAATAAATTTTATAATCATATCTAATTTTATTAATGTCTATTATGTTTGTACGCAATGACTCAAAAACTTCTTCTGTACCTTTGAAATTAATTCATAATTATGGTGAAAATAATGTAAGTTGTAACTTTTTATCTTGTTCTATGTCTTCACAGATGTCATTTAATTTATTTTTGGCAATAGTAAAATGTTCGGAGCTCATTATGTTCATTTTTACAAATTATAAGAGATATAGATGTCTATATATTAAAAAATAACAGAAGTTTACACAAAATGTAACTAATCAGAAAACTGCTGCCAAATTATTCATTTTCATGAAAAAAAAAAAAGAACGAGAATTTGTCAGAATTTTGTTTTTAATAAAAAGGCCAAGGATAATATAATAGACAATAGGAGTGCATTATTATTTAATATACGGTCTACAACAATAAAATTACATCAGCCATTAAAAGCGGCAGAAAAAAGCTAGTTTTATATGGTTGCACAGAATTTACTAAAAGTGTGAATTCTTGAAAGGGAGAGAATAGGAACAAATCACATTTTAACTTGCTAACATCAAAGCATTGCAAATACATGTTTAATTGAATGGAATGATGATCCATTAAAGTTCAAGCTCCAGTATTTAATTCAGGGAAACACCTTTTAGAGAATATCTTGACAAACAAGAAGTATCCAACTTAACAAAATTCAGATAACATCAAATTTTACTTCTTCGACAGAGCCATTCCGACCAATCCAATTATTCCAGCGGCTGCCAAGACAGCTCCACCCGCTACAGCCATTCCAGTCAGTCCCTCTGGAATAAAATCAATGCTTAAATTGATGTCCCGGTGTATTGCTGCTTTTTTTATTTACCCTTGGTCATTCTATTTTTCACAACTTTTTCCAACTCCTGAACTTGCTTGTTTCCTGGTTCGATCTGAAGAAATGCTTTGATGAATTGGAGAGACTTGCTGTACTCCTGCCACACCAAAATTAATTTGTCAAACAAATTACATTGCTAAAAATCGATATACACACTTTTATTCTGGCATATCCAGTTGCTAAGTAGTAAAGGTAATCTCTTTTGTCCAGCGCTTGCGGATTTTTAAAGAGATCCTCGAGGAGAAGAATTCCTTTCCTAATGTCTCCATGGTAGCTACTCCTGACCAGGCACCAGGCATATTCAAATTGTGTCTGTGGGATAACCGCTGAGCAACCAAGTTGGCGGTGATATTCTTCTTCAAATTTCTGCAAATTTTTAAAATATTTGTGCTGTGAAATTAATAACAGTAAAAAGTGTTAGTACGCATTTTCAATATTTTTTAAATAAATTATATATAAAAATTGTTAAAAATGTCAAATTTTAATTGCAAATAATTAAAAAATTGGCGGTGTTTCCCTGGAGACATGGAAAAACCTGGATGGTACTGGAATTCCAGAATCATCCTTGAAAATTGATATGTAATACTTCAAACAATATTCTGATCCTGCTCATGGATCACAAAACAATTATTGCTATTTGATATAAATACCTTTAAGTCTGCGGAGGACACAACGTCGTCTAATATTTCTTCCATTTCAAACAAGGGGTGAGAACCTTGCTAATTCTGATGAAATTATTTGCAACAACTTCGCCGTTTCTTTCCTCGACTCCTCAAAAACGTAAATAATAGCAAATGGGGTTTTAGAAAGGACACCTATAGTTGGAGATTCCGCACGTATTGAAACAATGTAGTACTTCTGGAAAATCGTTAGATCCTTTATACACTACATACTATTTTGTAGACATGCGCACTCGATGAAGTGACATCTATCTGAAGGAACTTCAATCTTTTGAAATTTTGGCAGAAACACAAACACATAAAAAAACAACAACCTGCAGAGGCAGAGTTTGACATTATTTTTCTGGCAAATTTTCCGTAATTTTGAATTATTGATCCACGATTCCGGAAAATTTTACGTTGCTTATTTTTGAGTTATGGATTTCTCAGACATTACTGTCAAGCACTTTGAGACTACTTTGAAACCCGTAAGCGAAGCAACATTTACATTATGTACATAACTTTATTGTTTTGCTTTACAAAATAGTCATAATAAAACGTAAAAATTATTCTTTAATCACTTATCATTGAATAAAAATTGCAGGAAGTGATCCGAGAAGTTGCGAAACTGGGGTTTACTGAAGAAAGCACTAAAATTTCTGATGACGCCTCTTTGATGCTTGCTGAGTATGCCAGAATTCTCACTGTGGAAGCTGCTCTGAGGGCTGCTCAGAACTCGTACAGGTCGAAGACCACAAACCAAGTTGACGTCGAGGACGTAGAAAAAGCCATTTTCCAATTAGTAACGGAGAAATTTATATTCTATAACAAAGTGGCTATAACAATTTTCATATTATAGATGTTGGATTTTTAATATCAACCGTTTTGAAGGATGTCTCTCTTTCGGTGCCGATTAGCATGGAGCCAAAGTCTCGGTGATGGCGATGATCAATGTGGACAAAATTGTCTTATTGTGACTTCAGACCTCACCAATGATAGCAATCAGGTAAATAAATTGTAGGACCAAAGAAATAAAATTAAAATGTATAAAAAAAAATAAAGGAGCTACTCGTTGTTGGGAGCTATGCAGGTATGCTGCGAGTCTTCAGACCTTCGCTCAGCCCTGCAGGTGCCTCCCAGCCTTCTGATCTGATTCTGGAAAAGCAGCTTGGATATCCAATTCTGGCATTATCAAATGCCATTTTACGAAGGTTTATTACGCTTATTTTATAATAAAATAAAAAAAAATCCAAATTTTCCTAACTTTTATGCACAAAGTGGAATGAAAAACCACCAGTTGGCTGTGATGTCCACTCAGTGTGTTGCTGTATTCAACATAGTCATTGCGTTTTCAAATTCTGACCTGGCTGCTTCGTGCAAGCTGGAATTTTGTTTTGAACGTCCAATTTCTGAGTCACTCGGGACCTGCTGGCAGCTTGTCGTAGGAAAATTCGGAGGTGGTGACGAGTCTAAAAGTGGCCTTGCTTCAATCGGTTTGTCTAAAATATCATTTTATTGAAAATTTATAATATTATTTTCTTCTAGGCATTGTGACCTCTGGAGGAGCGCTAGCAGTGTTTGAAAGGGAGTCGAGGGAGCCCCTGATTGTGAAATTATTTTCACCAGACTCGACGCCCTTATTGGGTTCCACTGTTGCTTACAGCAGCATGCGAGACAGTTTTATAATAGTTTCTGCTTCCTGGGAGATGCAAATGCACAAGTAAGTTAAAAATTAAAAATAATTTGATATAGATTTTTATTATTATTTATTATCATCAGGTACAGTAGTCTGGTAAAAACTGCTAGAGACTCCGCAAACCGTCAACCAGATTGGTCAATAATCTTAGCTGATCCTGTTATTGACTTGCAAGTTGTAAATCAGCCAAACGATGGACCTGGAATATTGGTTGTGGGACAAAGGTCTCTCACCTTTTGGCAGTGGTCAGGTGTGACAAAGTTTAGTAGACGCCTACCGTTTTCTCCTCTCTGCGTCAGTCATCACTTTGCAGGTATAACAAAATATATTCATTTTTTCATTAAAACTTAAACTAATTAGTGTAATTTTCCTCTTTAAGAGGAGTGTTTGATGGTCTTGGTGGCAAACGAAACTCTGCTTTTGTTTCGAGACGGTCAACTTTGTTGGTCTAGCCAGCTGCCCTATCCCATTGTGTGCATCTCAACCACAAGGTTCCAGGTACATCATAATTCAGAATAATTAGCATGGAATTACTATTGGACTTCAGGGAACTCCCGGCTACCTGGCAATGCTCTCAGACTCGCTTGACCTGCAAATTAGTTATCTGGGAACGGAGCCCGCAATGTTTGGCACTCCAACCCAAAAAGAAGGCTTTAGAGCAAACATGACAATTGAAATGATGACTGAAGAGCTGAATAGAATCAATGCAAGGTTAAAATCTTTTACCACTGGTAGGATATTTTAGATATTCTTATTTTGATTTCCTTAAATAAATAACTTTTAGCTGCACCGACGAGTCAGGGGGATTTGAAAGTTTCGGTGATCATGGCGAAGAGAGCTACAAGAGGCGCGATCAGACTGAGCGTGGTGGCCCCAATATCTCTGCTCAGCTTATCCGTGATGGTGTCAAAGCCAATTGAGGCCAGCCCAAAGAGTGTCAGCATAAGCAGCTTATGTACGGGCTGAACAAAATATACCATTGCAGCTTTATTCACTTGCGAACTATCCGCGTGCTGATTACTTAATTAAACGGTTTACTGCATAACATGCCCCTGATTGCAACATTTATATTTCAGGCGACTCGGTGGAAATCCCTTTGACGTTCACTATTAATTCTGACAGCACACCTCCGACCAGCATGGATGTGGATATTTGCGCCAGTTATGCACAGGCTGACGGAACACCACAAATTATTCAGACGGGAGTGACCAAACTGCCTCTTTCCATGCTGCTCTTCCCTGCCAGAGAAGCCGCCAAGGATGAAACTCACAAGTTGAATTTTTTGTTCCTTGGCCCTTACAATGACACCGTCCGAGCCTACATTCCAGGTACGGCGTCCTTCTCAGAAAGTAAAACTTAATTATTTAATTAACTGTATAGGTATGCAGTCGGGAGGCGGAACGGCGCATTTCTCCGGCTCGTTTGGAAATATCACAGTTCACTGCTCTCCGGGAGACCCGTCCAAGTGCTCAATTCAATCCAACAGCGTGACTCTCCTCAGTCTGGTTGCCAGCAGTGTTCTCGGGACACCTGGACTCCTGCCAACAGTGCAGAAGTCACCCGAGCCGCTACAATGGCTGCTGAACTTGATTGATGGTCTTTTCGAGAAAAGGAAGGAAAGAGACGGCTTGATGGTATTATTTGCATTTCTCTCTTTGAGTTTATTCAGTGACATTATTTTCTCCTGCAGGAAGAGCTGAAAAATAAAACATATTGGGCAAGACAGGTGCAATTCAGTCTACTCACCCGTTACCGAGATCAAACTGCAACAGTGCTCAATGGCATGGACACTCTGCTGATGGAAGCCTTCCAACAAATCAATGAACTGTCTAATAAAATCTCTGCAATAAACCAGGTATTAAAGCAATGCTAATCAGACGTTGCCAGAAACGGTTCTTTTTTAAATTAAATGGAATAAAAAAAGCAATAAAATCAATAGGAATTGGAGAAGCAGGAGCGTCAGTTGGGTTGTGCAATAAAACTGTGCTGTCAATTGCTGCGCCTCTCAGAAAATCCCCCGAAAACCGAGTTGCTGGAAGCAATAGAAGCCTCTGTGAGCTCGTCTTTCATCCACAAGGTGAGAGCAAATTCTTTCCCAACAACTTCCAATTTAAATGGGCGCCTTTGCTCTTTGGCAATACAGAATTGGGTGGAGCACACAACCTCTGCTCTAGAGCATTTAATACTAACCCTTTGGAGCTCAACTGGAATCCAAAGAGGCTTCGCCGCGGCCCAAGAATCACAACCCACGAAAATCAAATCAATATTCTCCAAAGTGTTTTCTGCACTTCAATGATCTCGATTTCCAAGGTGATATTGCATTTTTTACTTTTTGTTCAACACTTTATATAGACTTTGATGTTGCCCTCGCAAAATTGTGACTTTGACCGATTTGATTTTTTATTTTTGCAAAATAAAATACATTGAACTACAAAATCTAAAACTGAGGATTTTCTATTAAAGCGAAATCCAATTCTGCATAGTGAAAGAGTTTAATGATGTGTGTGTCGCCTGAGAAGGTCTTATCGCCCTTTCCAAGCCCTTTGACACAACCATTAAGCGTACGTACGTAATCTCACCGCCGCTACTTTACATTCATGCTCCAGGAATTTTAAATGGGATTTCGTTTTAAATTATTTACCGCGCGGGGCGAGTGCAGATTGGAAAACTTCTTGCGAGAGGGTAGACAGAGATAAATGAAAGCCTGGTCTAGTTTTTCATCACAATGATTATTATTTTGTTACTGACTTCCTAACAAACAACCCCATTATAAGAGTTAAATATAAGTAATAGCTCAATTATAATAATAACAAACATCATTTGATTCAATGATTGATAACATGCACTTCAATACAAATGTTATTTTTCTCATATTTATGTGTGTGTGTGTGTTGTGTGTGACTTGTGTGGATGGCGGCGAGGGAGCGTGTACGTCCGTCGTCGTCCGCCACAAACGAAGGCGCGGCGGACGGACGAGGCCGCCGGCTCGTTCGCCGCCACCGTATATTATATAATGCGGTACGCGTCTCATCATGGCTATAAATTCATATGTTTAAAGTGTCAACAACCAATTAGTAAATCGTTCTTAATAAACTGCTTTCATGCTTACATTTTTCTGTGTAAAAGATAGGACAGCTTTATTTCTTTCTTTCTTTGTCATATCGGTACGACTGTGGTGAAGAAGCAAAAGATACAGTACAGTATTTTTTTCTCGTCTTAAATCTGTTAAATCGCTTCGTTTTCATCTCCTTTTTAAATTAATTAATCCTGGTATTATTTGAGCAAGCACCAGTTTGATTGAACTGATACTCTCTACTACACTGCAAATCTTTTTTAAAGTTTTTTTTTTATCTTTTTATTTTTACTTACATACCAGGGACAAGTAACTATATGTATAAATTTTCCGTACTGGCAATTTAAAATGTACGTACACGCTACACGCCTTCTGCACAATCAGTGCCAGCTGTATTGCAAAAATTTCATCTCGCGTCAAATTAGTTATACATACTTTCAGTCCCTGTGAGCGCGCCGAAGGACGAGCCCACAGCCACTCGCGGGCACTATTTGCGGAGGCCCTCGCGCGCTTGATTGACAAAGGGAAACAATGAGACAAGAGAGAGGGTTTACTTCGAGAGGGCCTCCTCGTTGGGCTCGCCTCGGCGGGCTGAATCCGCTTACTGAATGACTCTTTAGTTTGTTTGTTATCAGCAAAAATCGAAAAAGTGTCAAATCGTGGGCATTGCTTACACAGAAGGCTCAACAGAAACAATCCTCCGAAGCCTACATGACAACCATCGGCAGTATTCTTTTTTTGTTTTAATTATTAATTGTGATCAGATATTTTTTTTTTTTTTTTTTTTAAGAAGAGTGTGATGCAGGGGCAAAACGATTCTTTCTTAGTTAGGTTCTGGTAAAAACGCAAAACGGCGCCAAAGAGTTGGAAAAAAACGCATGGTCTGTGTGTTTGTGTGTGTCTGGCTCGCAAATCCAAGAAGTGTGTGTGTGTATCCTCAGGGCATGCTTGAATCGTTTTTTATTTTTCGTTCTTTTTATATTTGGACGGATTATGCATCTTTTTGCTGTCCTGATAAAATCTCAAGGTGAATCACTTGTAAAAGAAGCATGTGGACTCGAGGATGATTGTTTAAAGGTACGCATATTAAAAACCATGCCCATGCTGCTGCGGAGCCAATACATATGTATGGAAAAAGGAGCCGACAATAAAAAACGTTCATAACACACACGCGGTTTAAAATTTCACCACTATTATATTCAACGTACGCTTCGTGAGCATCAATCCGGCGCGCTGTTTGAATCAAATTTAAGTCCCGACAAACTGCTCCAATGGGTTAATACAATCAGCGGCTTCATTGGCTTATGAGAAAACTGGTATTAAAAATCAATTATTATATTATAATTAGACAAACATACAGAGTTCGTTGTGGCAAGGAAAACACTTGGATCGACACTTTTCTTGATCCGAAATATTTTCCCTGGCGTGCCGAAGAACCAAAACTTTCAATTCAACTGAGGGTCTCGTTAAAATTGATTCTCACAAATACCACACTCGGCAGATTTTTAATTTGTCAACACTGCTGCGGTGTTAGTTTCTCCCTCTTTTTTTTTTTATTTCTAACGTGATTAGATAGCAGCTGCCTAAATTACAGATACAATTAAGAGTGTTCTACTGTAGGTTAATGAATCAACGACACAAAAGGCGGGCGCGACAAGAGCGGTTCACCAAGCGGAGGTGCCCTTTTATTCACTAGGCGCCCGCCGCGTTCGACGCCGCCCCCGCCGCGCGTCGATCTGACGCAAAATGAGTTCGGAAAACATTTTTAGCGTTATTAATTTCTTTTGATGCCATTTTTGATCGCGAAATTTATTATTTTCTCATTTTATTTTTTAAATCGCTTTTTAAACATTCTTAGTTATCCGTTGCTTTTTTTCTCTGAATGCAAGTGTGTTAAAATATCTTATTATATTTGACACTCCTAAAGTGTATACACAGACAGTTATTTACTCCTTGTTCGTTATAACAATATGATGAGAAAGGGAGGCGTATTCTGGATTTTTACACGTCTTTTACTTCGTCCCAAAAAACGAAACTCACTTCACCTGAAAACAATTTTAGTCTCGGAGAGTTTTATTATTATATATTTTTTTAGGATTTTTTGTTCGTTTTTTGTTTGTCATCATTTAAATGTCATAGAGCGCGCATGTGATGAGAGTATGCAATTATAATTGAATTGAGAATTAATTACAACTAGCTGTACACAGCTCATTGCGTGAGGAATGCATTGCTTCGTGTCAATTCCTGTTCGACAGACATATGCCTCTCTTGTGTGCAAATGGATGATCTGCCCTGTGTCCCACTCCCAGAAAAATATGCAGAATATGCAGTGTTTAATTACCCCCGGATAAGTTCGTAATAATCGTAATGTATAACAACCCATCGCGTGTTCTTTTTTCGCCGCGTTTTTTGTGTTTTTGCTATTATTCACTTTTTATCATCAAAAAGACCTTAGTACAATAATATTATTTTGAGCACACGTGTTCTTAGTAAGAGTTAAATTGTTTCCAACAACAATTGTCTCTTAAATTTCACTCTTTTAATTTAATTTGCACTGTAAAATTTCTTGCTCATCTTTTTTTTTATTACTCTTCTCTCTTTCTTTTGTCGCTAAAATAACACCTTCAATGTAAACAGCGCCCGTCTTGCGGTCCAAACTTTGTCCCACCCGCAAGCCACTGCGTCGCGTATTTGTAATAATTTCCTTCAACGTTCGTTTAAAAATGTGACACACCAGCGACGAGTATACATGCGTCCAAGACTAAAGGGATGGCAACAATGATAAGAACATTGATTATATTTGTATTGATTAAAACGTGCACACCGAATAACCCGTTTTTAGCCACTTTCAACTACTGACATTAAAATTCAATCGCAGAGGATATCGTTTATTTTTTACTTTAATTATTTATTTCTTTAAAACACATCCATTGTACTGGCGTAGTACGCGTATATAATTATTTTAGTAGCTCATCCACCCCTGTGTGTGTGTGTGTGTGTGTGTGTGTTTGGATCTCGCCTGTGTATTCAGAGCATTGCTTAATTAGCTGTGGCTTGCTACGCCGCATATGCAAGCAGCGCTCCTATTTGCCACAATCGTTTCCTTTGTCGGCGGGGCCGCACTCTTTTATTATTTTCGAGGGCCTCAATTAACAGTAATTAATTTTTTCTTATTATTCATTATTAAAAATTTTAGCTAATTTAAATTTGCTTTTTACTTCAGGAGGTGAAACATTCTGAACCACGAAGTTTTTTTTAGTTTTGCGAACCGTTGGCGGCGCTGCCTGCACATTTGGCGCTGAGTAGGAAAACTTTGGATGGCGCCGATTGCGCAGAAGGCATTAATCAATTAATCAATGAACCGTAACAATAGTAGTCTGCATCCTCACATTCAGCCATTTACACGCAGCAAAACTCACACATACAGCAGTATTAACTTAGTCAACATGAGATGCCTTGGGTGTTTTTTACCTTACCAATAACGTGTTTTAATTAACTCGTCAATAAATTATCATTATTGTAACAAGCATCGTTATCATTATTGTGGTAATAATTATAATGTATTTATAAATTTATCTTCGTAGAGAGAGTATTGTTTACAGCGTTTTTGCATTTCTTCTTCTTTTTTTGTCTCTGCTTATTAATTTAAAATACTGCCAACAAATCAAAGTCAGTCATTACTTCGGAAACAAACGAACATGACACCGACGAGAGACTACCGGAAAAATCATCAATTAACTGCTCGTTCGCGGCGGCGGGTTATTAATCATCGTTAATCTGCTTCACTTAATGACATTATTCGTAATTTTATTGAATATCGATATCAATTACACACAATTTTTTTAATATAAGTGTAACTCATGCGTTAAGATGATTTATGCACACAATTGTTCTCAGCTTTAATTGTTTGCATTAAGCATACATGGGCAGAGCGCAATTTGCGCTCTGCGATCTGCGCTCGCGCTCTGCGCTCATGAGCGCGAGCGCAGAGCGCGATCGCACGATTTTCAAAATCGTGAGCGCGAGCGCAGAGCGCGAGCGCATTGGTCGCTGAGCGCAGCGCTCAATTGCGCTCATTTTGCGCTCAAACCAAAAGTAAAAATTCCCGAATTTGATCAAAAATTGTAATGAAAAACAGTGTTTTTATACCAAAAACTTCAAAACTGATCCCAATTTTGGTGATTTAACTTCAACTTTATCATTTCCAATTGCCGATGTATTTTTTGTTATATTAAAAAATTGTCTTAAAAGTCGCATTTTTCTTCGGATAAAAATATTTTTGAGCGCAACGCGTGAGCGCAAGACTTTTTAAAAATTTGAGCGCGAGCGCAGAGCGCGAGCGCAACATTTTCAAAATCTTGAGCGCGAGCGCAGAGCGCGAGCGCACTGTTGCCAGTGATCGCGAGCGCGAGCGCGAGCGCAAAATTGTTGAGCGCACCCATGTATGGCATTAAGAATATTCTTCCTCCCACATAGACTTGATTATGGTGCCTACTCACTCCTGCGACCGCTGCCGCGCCCACGCACATGTCGTGTCCCCGCAAAAGAGAAGATTAACCCCCTGAGTCCGCAGAAGGTCGCGTCAAAAAATATCGCGCATCCTCGTGAAAAGTCCGAAATAATTTTTGGCCCTGCTCTGCTATCTCTCCCTCAAAAGTAGTGCACAGGAATTCGTAAGCACCATGTTATTTGCGCTTTTTATTTAGATATTTATTTTATTTAAATAGTGAGCCTCGCTGTGAAAGTGTGTGAGAATGTTTTTGATGTTTCTTCGTTTTTGTGTAAATGTGTCTGTTTCTCCGCTTTCATATCAAATATCAAATAACTGATAATTGTGTATAAAATGTTAGGCTAACACATTTCATCCGCCGTTTGATGCAGCCAACGCCGCTTTGCAAATTATGCCCGCTTGTTTGTGTGTAACAAGTATTTAATTTCAATTTCACGCGGTCTTGCTTCAGCACAGTCCCGAAATTAACAATTTCGATAAGATCTCACGCCCAGCCTTTCAAATTTGATGTTTTCACCGTTTTTACAAATAAGTGGCCCGTCGATCGAAGGAGACTAATTTCATTTAAAGATTATTCAAAACGAACGATCAAAATCTGACTGGCCCAAAGAGAGCGGCGGCGCTGACTGTCGGCGAGTGTGTTCGTGTGTGAAAAAGAGCTTCTGTCTGCCAGTATTGTTACACATTTACGTTAATGACATTCGAAACAACCACACAGCTTTAAGCAGTTGGAACCAAGTATGTATGTTGAAAACATCTCGTTTTTTCACTGCTTGTTTTTTTTTTATTAATTGTATAGTTATTATTTAATCCGTAGTTCAGGCTCACCACGATTTTTAGGTTTTAAACATTAGTTTTTTAATCGATAGTTCCTTTTAATATTACGTTAGAATAACAAAGAACATTAATCTCTTTACTTAGGTTTTCGCAGTAATTATTTTTCATTCAGATCTTCTTCACCTTCATACTAGTAACAAGTGTTAATTCGCTTTGGCAAAGTGTCTCTTACTTGCCTCTGTAGATTTCTATTATTCTATCTTGATCAACATACTCAAATATGTGGGGAGCGTCCATGAGGATTCCGATTGTGCCAGCAGTTGTAACAAGGAAGAAAATATAAAGTTGGAGACGATCAATCACCATCGCGACGTACTTCCAGTCCTCGCGAATCTGAAATCATAATTAAAAGTGCAGAGTCAGAAAGGCGTTCGTACGAAAAACACGATTGATTCATTTAAAAGTTTTATCTCAGAGCCTCCTAAATTAATTTCCCTCCCTCGCCCGCCCTGGGAAACTGACGTGATTTTCGCCTCCGCACCCGTACGTGATTAATTTAGCCAGATTATCTTTTATTTATTTGCAGGGGGAATGATTAAAACTTTGCCCAGCTTCTCGGCATGGATCTGCGCGTTCAAGCGCCTGAAGATTATTTTTACATGCAACCCGCGCAGCCGACGAGACGTGCCGGTTGCATTGTTAAAAAATTTGCAGCTGTTTGATTTATTGGATTTCATTAATTTGAATGTTCAAATATTTTGACGGTGATGAATTTGATGAAGCGGTTGATTTTAAAATAAGCTTATTTTTAACCCTACGCGCAGAGCACCGGTTTTATTTCCATAAAAATATATTTATGCTAATTAGTATAATGACGTTATCTGCTTTGCATCTAGTGAGGGAACGTAAACAATTTATATTGAAACAATTCTAGATTAATGGACTCAATCAAGATCAGCAATTAACTTGAAGTGCAATTGAACTCTACAAAAATATTATTTGATTTTATAAATGGATAAAAAGTAAAATTTTTTTCTCGATTGTGGCTCGCTTTTTGAACTAAAATTAATTATACAAGCTCTCGAATTCCGGCTCTTTCAAATTATAAGATCAGTATCAGTCATCCAAATGGATATAAAGTAATTAATTATTTTTACGAGCAAAGACCAACGAGGCAAACGATGCAAATCAGTGTAATAATTGCCAATTTTGATTTGCAACGGCCTGCTCAAATATTTGTGCCAATGAAAATTCAAACACCAGAGTGGTCCAATATATATCCCGACAGCTAGAATAACCCTCTTTCACACACCCAACGCGATCCATCACCCCTGTTTGCAGTGCAAATCAAACAGACCGCGCGTCGGCCGATTCAAAATTTGCAAACCAAACATCTTGCAGCTCTCTCTCGCTCTGTACGAATTAGCTGTCAAAACGAACCGACACAGCAGAGGGATAGCTTTAAACCGCCGCAATTAAGATCTATCGAGCGCCGGCAGTGTGCAATCCGTTCGTTCCCCACTTCCTCATCCAGCAGCGAGCGAGGAGCCGAGCTCCGGAGCCGGTCGCGCTCGGCAGCATCTGCTGCGGAAGCGGAAGTGCAAACCCGCGACCGAACGGGCCCGAATACCGCCCGGCCACGCCCTTCTCGCGTCCCTCAAAGTCGCCGAGGGCCCCGACGGGGTCCCACTTGGGGCCGAGGCCACACGGACGCACGTGGTGGCGGTGTCATTGCAGGCTGACGCCACCTGTAAGGGAAAATTGGGTACTGCGCAGGGTGCGGCTAGCTCGCCTGGGACCCCGCACAAATCAATGCCTACAGCAGGGTGCGGCTGCCTGCATTTCGCCTGTGTGCGATGCTGTTGTACACTTCACCTCACAATAATTGTATCCGTACATTCATGAATTCGCAATCGACGACGCTGCGGGCCACGCTTTTTTTTGCCCAAAAAACCCGACGGGGCATACGGAGCCCCGACCCCAAATACTTAATAAAAAACAAGGTAGAAATGACGCAGCTTCCTACAGGGCATGCAACGCAGCCGTACGTCGCTGTAAGGCGGGTTGCTGTCGCTAGTATTTAACTAATATATTATTTGATTTATTTATTTATGAGCGTGGCTTTCACGATAAATTAAACTTCACAAAAAAAAAAATAAAAAAAAATCATAATTTTTAAAATTCCGGTAAGTCCTTTTTTATGAAACGAAAGATCGTCAATTCGTCAGTACCAGTTGCTATTTTTGTGTTTAGTCAGACTTACGTTGACGCTTTGTCTCTATTTCCAATGGCATGGCCTAAAAATAAATTGATACGTGGACAGCTGCATTCCTAGCTGAGTCTCCTTTAAAAGCACCAAACTTTAATCAGTTTTTAATTTTCTTTAATTTTATGGTGTTGTCTGTTCTGATAAATAATTTCTGACAAATCATTTATCAGAGCAAAAAAAAAAAGGAAAAAAAATTCATAAATTTATCTGGAAACACAACAAGTAAATTTTAAGCATGAGAATAATTAAGTTTAATTTTTCCTTAAAAATTTATAGTTAAATTCATTGTGATACATTAATATTTTTATTTACTGAATAAGGGAGAAAATTTCACCAGAGACACATATTGCTTAAAATTTGCTTAATAGAGCTTTAAAATTTTACGTTTTTTACGACCTTTTCAATAAATGGAATGTTAAAAATTCTGACCTTTCATTTTCTTACTTTTCAATAAAAAATATCTGAACTATGATTTACTGATAAGACATTTTCTGATCAATGGCGAAGACTGTTTTCTGAAAAATAAAATTATTGATAAATAGCGGCGACAGAGGAATCAATATTCTTTTCACTCGAGTAGATAAATTGGCTTGCTATTCTACTGTTTAAGTGTTTTAGTTTCTAAATTTTCTACCAAGGTAAAATAGCGCGTTAATAATAATTTTTTATTATAAATCATTTAAGTCACTTTTAATACGTGTCATGTTTAGTGATAGGAGAATGAAGAAATCAACAATTCTATATATTTGTAAGTAAAATACCAGCGACAGTAACCCACTTATCAGCAGAATACGGCGGTGTACCCCCTGCAGGAGGTTGCATCATTTTTACCTTGTTTTTTTAATATGCACCCCGGAGGAGGCTCTTTCGGGGGGTGGAGCGAGGTCGGAAAAAGGCTGTTGTGAATTTGCTGATGATAAAGTCGTGTGGAACGTGACTCATTTGCGAATTTGTTTGAGCCGTTGTCCACCGATGGTTGTTTCATGTAAATTGGGCGCGGTTGGTCCCCCCGAAAAGCTGGCGCTAGATGGACAAGTGCTCGCTCGTTTGCCCGCCCGCCAATTCGCTCAATGTACCCGCCAGAAGCTCGCCGCTCTCTCTTTCCGCGACGTGATTTTGATGGAATGTTTTAATATGCGTGCTGATTAAATTCGTCTTTCTCTGTGTGTGTGTGTGTGTGTGTGTGTGTGTGTGTGTGTGTGTGTGTGTGTGTGTGTGTGTGTGTGTGTGTGTGTGTGTGTGTGTGTGTGTGTGTGTGTGTGTGTGTGAGCGAGCCGCTTAGCCGGCTGCGATTCATAAAGTGGTGCTCGAGAGCCCTTGATGAAATAAGGAAACGGGCGCATCAAAGTGAAAAAATGCAAATCGCACACCGGCTCAGATTTCTTGCTCTAGAGAGACGTATATATATATCAGCCACGCTTTCAAATTAATTACTTGCGAGAGGTTTTCAGCCGCCGTGCGCTCACCTCAATCATTATTTCGCCTCAAATTTGTGACAACCCCTGGAAAGCTTCATTCAAGCTGGTGCGAACGAATACACGTGTGTCGCCTTTCGCTGTATTTTGTTCTCTTTGATCCCACTTTGCAGTGTGTCGAATTACATGGCCCTTGATTTTGTATGAGCAGCAAGAGAATTAGTAATAATATCTGATTTTTTCATCAACGAGAGCTTTTCTTTGAACCGCTCTAAAACGTTGAAAGTAAAAAAGCTGTACAATTTATTTATTTATTTAATACATTATTATTTATTAGTTCAAAAACTAGCGTACATTAAAAAAAAATATGCGTCAACATTTGTCCACTGCACTCTTGATGACTTATTTGGGTCCTGCTTATTTGCTTATTTAAAATCTTGAACACAAATGTTTATTATAAATTAAAATTTATAGCGTTTTAAGATAAGTGTTTGAAATATTTGACGCAGAAAAAATTGCTGGGGAGCTTATATTTCCATGCAAGGCTTCGCAACAAATGCACTGCGTTCCGCTCTTTGAGTTCTTAATTAAAGTGTCATTTTCCTGCGAGGCGAAGCCACTCGCGAGAGCAAGCAGCGCGCATTCAAGGAAAAACTTGCAGAGCAAAAATGCCTCTTAAGAGATTTTTCCTCTCCACGCAGCATTCGAGCCATTTAACATCGATTTTTGTCCACTGCTCGGCAACCCCAAAATTTCACGCAGCGTTTTGTGCCGGCAGCGAGAAACGCTCATAACTTGAAATCACTTTGAGTCGAGCATAAAAAGACACGCCAAGCGGCAACAACAACACGCGGCCCCTTTTTCCTTTCTATAAATAATATCTTGCGATATAAGAGCAAAATAGATGCAGAAAATTGCACGAGCCGCTGCTTTGAAGTCGACAAAAATGCCTGGCGCGCGCGCCGTCTCTCGAGTCATCGTTCGTAAGTTTAAGAACACACAGGGCACAATTAATTACTCAAAAGAAAGCAGCTGCTTTTGTTGCACCTCGCGCACTGCCTCAAAGGTGCGCCCCACACCAGAGACGTCTTTTTATTTCATTCTCAAATTTGCACCCCGACCGAGACAAAGTGGAAAAGTGTCGTATTTGCACCTCTTTGCGGGTTCCTTCCTCAGGGCGCCGACCCTCGAGAGGACACGCCTCAGGGTGAAGGCAGCAGTCGGCTTTGATCGCGAAGCCCGCGCAGGACAAAAGTGCAGCGGGCGGAACCTCAAATGGCGCCACTAATGACCACTAATGACGAAGATAGCGCCAGGGTCGTCGCACTCCTTATCGCTAATGCGCCCTGAAATCTGCTTTCGTCCCAGCAAAAACCACCCCAAGGGCAGCCGAGCGCGATCATACCGAGCGGGGCGAAAGATATCGCCAAATTAGCCTCGCAAAACGCCCCGGCTTGCAACGTCTATTGAATATGAAAGTCATTACTATGAGCGCAAGAAGATGAGTGACAAGTTTTCATAAAAAAGCTGTGAACAGATTTCTTTGCCTTTTTCTATTTGAACAATTTAAAAACAATATTTAAATTAAAAATTTATTGCTGCTCTTATTTAAAACTAGCTTTTAAAACATATTGGGCAAGATAAGCAATGTTGAGTAAAAACTCAATAGATATTTTTGATTAGTAAGGAGAGTTTTATTGGCCAAAATA